CTTTGGTTAATTACTATAACCCTTATTATATTTGATCAGATGTAAGCATGGCAATAAATATAATCTTATTTTACGTAAAATAGTTTGAATAATATTTATCATTAAACAAATCTTGCAAATTATTGCGCGTAAATTATTGTGTGACCTTTTTGCACTAAAAAATAACATATTTGGGGTATTAAAAAACTTAATAGGCAATAAAAAATTTTCTTATATCAAACTTTTTACGACTTAAGTGCTGATCAGTCATAAGTATCGAGTAATTTAAAATAATGAAAGAAAAAGGTGGGGTCAGTGATATTAATTTTGAAATATTTGTCAAAATATGTGATTTTCAGGCAAAAAATGGAGTAAATTTGATCTTGACTTCTTTAATATATTTTCATTTTTTTGAAAAGTTTGTTGAGGGAAGGTGTAAAACTTGGTCTAAAAATATAAATTAAGACCTATATTAAATATTTTTAGCAATATCAAAACGGAAAATATTCTCCGAGTAAAATTATGTGAGGCTAAATTTCCATTACATTAAATTTTATAAATGTGCAGATTTGCAGAATTATCTGCTAAATATCCTTCCACCAAAAGAAATAGTCCCTCATAAATCTTGCTTCTTTGTAGAATTTTGAGCAGTTTTTTCATTGAATGTTAAAAAATTTACATTGTTGAATTTAAATATGTTATAAAAATTGAATTTTAATAAGTAGTTTTGAAGTAAAAGCTTCTGCGTGAACTTTTCTAAAAAGCTGACGAGTGACTTACCTTAAGCTTCTGTGACAGAACGCTAAGGAGCATATCACGTGACCACCTACATCACGTGATCCGTGCATGGGCAGAATGGTTGGAGATGCGCATCAAATTCGGAGAGGACTACTTTGAAAAAAAATTTAACACTGAAACCCTATATCATTTCTTTATTGGAAGTTATTCAATTAGTTCGCGAACTTTTTGATCACCCCTCGTATTTGGATATTTTACTAGAAAAAGACGTTAATAGTAGCCTAACAACAAACGTTCTCGATAAACGTGATGACACTAATTTTTATACAGTCACTTGTTAGCAAATGCAATTCATTATTAAGTGGGATGCTTACTGAAGATTTTCATACCAATTGTAAAACCATTAATTACACACTGAATTGTCTGATTTCCCCCCTCATTTTCCCGATATGACAAGGAGAACAAAGCGGGTGTGCCCGATCAAAAGGGGATGCTTGCCCCTCCATTGAACCTAATCCCACCTCTGATGTTTCGAAGGTCAATGTTTGCTCTACCCCCGGTTTGTGTTGTTTCGGTGGATTTTGAAACTTGGTTACTGTTCATTGTCTCAACATTTCAATGATATAGATACATGTACGAGGGGTGTTAGAAAAGTTCGCGGACAAGTTCTATTGTGATCGCGCTATTTCCATGAAACCGGTCAAACTTTCCAGATATAATCTTGACATTTTTTCCAATAAATATACAAGAATTTGGTGCTCTCCGGTGATTATTGAAAAATATACGGCATTTTTATTTTGATAAATCTTGCTTCACGGAGCATGCTGCATTGTGGCACGTTTACATCACAAAGACTCTTTATTAAAATTAAAAATTGCACAATTGTAGTGCCAAGAGATTTATGATAATTTACCTGCCGCTAAAGTATGCAGGAAACGTCACTGGGAAAAATTTTGAACTAAATTGGAGGGTATATGGCTGTTTTATAGCTGTTTATAAATGATCAACGCGTAAGAACACAGCCAAAAATCGGAACGTCATTGAGCGTCATGGAGCAGTAAACTACGTAAAAATTATGTGTGCAGACAGGAAAATGTCTAAAAAGAGACTAAAATGTTTAAGATGCTGCCGGGAATATCCTACACATACAAAGAACAAGTTTTCAAGTGGTTGTAGCTTCATAAGAATGGAAGGAGAAACATTTTAAATGATTAACTACATCGATACTTCAATACCCCTTTATCGCATGGACGTTGCGTTTCGCCTATGTTTTGCATAGTTTCCATACCTGATCGATTGAATGCACAGCCTTTTTTATTTTTTAAGATCTCAATAATATCCGAAACAGATAAAAAGACATTATAGTTGTAAAGTAACATGTCTTGATATAGATATTCAATTTTAAAGTAGAAAAAATATGAGAAAAATATAAAGAAATTAAAGATTCATAGAACTGCGACAAAGCTTAAAGGGTTGAAATCTGGTTGTCACATCGCCTTACGTCAAGTGATTGCTCCGTGAATACCATAACCCCATAGAAAAAATAGTTGTAAAATTTTAAGATTTTATTATGTTGACCTGATTTTTTACATACCAATAAACAAAATGTAGGAATTCATTCAGTCATAGGTCATACTTCACACTAAACAATAGATTTTCTGTAATTCAATGTGTCCGCGAACTTTTCTAACAACCCTCGTATGATCTTATTTCGATATTTTTCTCGGTAGGATTTTTCCTGTGGTTATCAGTATTACAATCCTCTGTCTGTTTATATATCTCCTGCTGAGATAGTGTCGTAATCCTTAGTTTATCAATTTATTTATTGTAAATTAGTAAATTCAACGACATACGAGACAATTTCATCAACTCATATTTATAAGTACACTAAAAACTTTGTTAATCACCGGAAAAGTATATGAGTATTTGTACATCTACTGGATTTTATTCGTATGCAATGCATTTCATGGTATTTAAGTTTTTCTTTAAACCACCCTTTCTATCGTGTTATTTCGTTATACAAGCCATTAATTAATCGTTTTTACAAGCGTTTATCACGATATAATATTTCCGACGTTGTTAACCTAAACCAAACGCACTATTGCGGTTCAATTTGTTAGAATAAATGCATTTTCAGGTTGATCAAACGGTCTCCGAAACGGTTTTAATTTTGATTTAAAACTGTAAGATGGGGACGTGATAAACTAATATCTCGCACATTACTAGCATTACGTGAATTTGCACAAAGATATCATCAATTTGTCCGAAATATAATAGCAAATAAATGAGATCAGTTGCACTTTATTTTAAAGCGGCAAAGAAGCGGAATGCTTTAAATTTCGAGATTTGACAGACGCCAAGATGCGAGTTTCCTTGCAAGAAATCACCACGTGATAAAACTTTTAATGACATAATTGTGGTCTGATTTAAAAAGCAAGAGTGGTTAGATTTAATTTAAAATTTTTGAAATTCTTAAATAAAACTACTTGATGGAATTTTTTCATGCTGCGATGTTGCATGATAGTGATACAGCGATGTTTGCCTATAATAGACTAATGAAGTCAATTTTATAATGCAGGGATAAAATACTATAACGAAGCCACTTAACAGTGCTTAAAAATTACCACATTGTTAAGCCAGGGAAGTCAATTTAGTAGTGATATGTATAATTCAGCAAACTTACATGTAGTACCTGGAACGTCGACAAGAAATTATAGCAAAAAGATTGTGGCAATATGACACTAAAACAAATCATATGAGAAAAATTAAAATAGAATTTGATTAAAAGGAGGTTTGAAATGTTTATACATATATTACATACATTTTTATTCCGATTTTTTTTTTTTTTGTGGGAGGGGGGGATTTGATAATTTTGAAGAAGTTTGTTTTTCTCAAAGGTGTTGTCATTGCTGCAAGGAAAGGAACAGTGAGAAATCTAAAAATTATTGACGTACATAAGACTGAGAGCTATTGCTCGACCTCTTTCTGAAGTGTCCTTAACAATCAATCACATCCGAAAATCGATCAACTATAAATTAGATAATTATACCATCTATATTTGTAAAAGGAATGAAAAAACAACAAAAAAGCCAAAAAAGCACACCATTTTTACATTTGATAAGGATACAGGTAATATCTCTCAGCAGTCTTTTAATTTTTAATAGATTTGTAGTTTAATAAATACAATGTTATAGAAAACACAAACATAAAGTTTCCTCTTATATTGAGCTATTTCTCTCATATTTCATATAAAACCCACAAAAGTTATCATTTATTGTAAAGATATTAATTCTACTTATTTAACAATTCTCGTTTAACATTATTTGAAAGTTCATATATCGCAATGATTGAATATCTGTGTAGTGATGTATTTTTACTGGGAAGGCAAATGTCAACAAGTTGTATCACATCGGTAGAGAACAGTTGTGTTGTGGCATCAGTATTGGTTTGTTTAAACATCTTGACAATTCAGTTTCATTTAGGCAATCAGAAATTATTTGCAAGAGGATAAAGCTACTTTTTGTGTTTTATCAGTATTGTTTTACAAATCAAACAAATTCTTGAATCTGGAATTCCAGAACTTTTCTTGATTAGAACTTCTGTTCTTTTCAGATTATGAGATAGTTGTGTTTGTTTCACTATATAATCACAATAAACATTAAACAAAAATGTCTATGTCTACTTCACACACCGAGTCTGCTATATCTCATTCCAAAGGAGAGCAATTTGTCCGAACCATGTGGTTAACATTCGCATAAAAAACAAAATTCTTCCAGGCGACTCCTTTGAGTTATCGCTAACATGAATCTGCTTTTGATGAAATGTTTGATAATTCATTGAAATCAACCAATAATGTCTATTTATTACTGGAGATTAATGCTTTTGATTTTGATTATTACGTTACCATCGACCATCAATCATGTTTTATAAGTACAAAAAATATCGAGTACTCGGAGAAAAAACAGAAAACTAATCCTATTTGGAAAATTAAAAGAATACAGAAATATTTGATTGATTTACTTATTTTTTGCTTGTGTTTCATTGTAAAAGTGCATTTTCGAGCTTTTAGAAAAACGTTCAGGGATACTAATTAGTGTTATAATGTAGTTAAAAAAAAAAAGGAAATGAACACCCAGACATTCATTAAATGAACCAAAAAACACTTAACTATTCAGCTTCATTTCTCAATTTCATTATCATTTGAAATTTCCAAATTATCTTTTAGATCAAACCTGAAAATATGAGTATTGTTGCTGAGGTGAAAATGAAAAAAAAATTATTACCTTTTTTGCTTAGTTTCTGTAATATGATATTTCCCCAACAAAATAATTCACATCAGAAATGTAATCGTCGTCTTCCTATCTTGCTGCATTGTCTTTTTGTTATGAGCGATTTTTTGTGCGATCGGAACAAGACTTTTTTCTCTGTATTGATGAGAGCGTAGTGTTAGTCAAAATCAATCCGCCTCTGCAGCTCGCCACCGGTTCTGACAATTAGGCGCCGACAGACTGTTTCCGGACAGTTTAAGGCGATTGGTCGAATTTTGTAGTACCTTTGTTTATCACAAATTTCCATGTATACTTGAATAAAAAACATTTGATAATAAATTGTGATCATCGTACGCACAAATGTAAGGAGTAATTTTATATTAATACTATCTGATAGCGAGCTACTGGGAATGATCAATTTAATGGAAAAAGATGTGTTCCTTGATACCACGTGAGGTACCATGGTACAAAAAAGGAGACTGAATAATTGAATTATTTTATTTGTTTACTGTGTTTAATGGTCTATTGAGGATATATTGTCGCCAAACTGCACTAAAATCTAGATTGAAACAGTTGTTACCGGCTTAAAAACATGCATGAGTGCATTCTTACTCCAGATGTAAGTTAATCTTAAATTATATAAACTCAATTATTTAGTTTTGAACCGTAAACCGGCAATTAAATTGTTTTGATTTGTACAAGTAACAGAGTTTAATTTTTTTTAGTTTAGAATATGCCAGTCATGAACATTTTTTAAACTAATGTTACACTAAAACAATGCCAATCTTACAACATTTATATTTAATGCACTTTGCAACATTGTCAAGATACCTTCATTACCTGCATACGAGGTTTATACAATCCGATTTGATTCAATACACAACAGCACGCTCTACGCATGAACAATTTTTAAAACGAGGTAAGGTATTGACAAACAAGTTGCTGAAACAAGAATATCAGCAGTCTCGTTTAAGTCATCATTCCGAAAGTTTTATGGTCGATACAATGACATTGTCATCAAATACAATTTTTCATTAAATCAAATGCTGACTGCATTTTCATAATAACTGTTACATGTAGGCCATCATATACACCATGAATTGTTGACGGATTTTTCAATTATTTCCCGATCATGACAAGGAGCACACGGCGGCTGTGACCGGTTTGCAGGGTATGCTTACTCCTTAATGGTACATGATTCAACCTTTAATGTTTGCTCTGCTCCTATTTGGTATTATTTAATGGACTTTTGAGCTTGAATACTGTTCGATATCTCCATATATTTCATTTATTGACTTTTTTTTACGATATTTCTCCATATATTTCATATTCAAATCATTTTCACTGTTTGCTTAGTAGAAAACACAGCAAATGTAAAATTAATATTATTGAATGAAGCTAGAAATTATTATTTTGTGAGCAGAAATTTATTTTCAAAAGTCATGTTATTTTTGAAACATGCTTAAAGGCAGAGATTTTAAGCACCGCCTTCAAAAATACCTGGTCTGGGTAAATCAAGTGCACTGGTTGCTGGAACTGATACATTTACTCACTGGTCCCTGTGTATACCCTGAACACCTTGTTTGGGACTCGTGGCGACCTTCTAAATAACTTTTGATCCTTTGATGTTTACTGAACATAGTATACAGAAACTGTATTACTTTGAAAATATTGATAATGTTTGAATTATATATACCTTTAGTATTCGAAAGGATTATTATAATATGCATTTTTTTTTTTTATTTAAATTAACCTTTAGCATTTTTTTTAAAATGAAATTTGCTAAATGGTAAACCTACAGTGGAAATGTTATTAATAAAGTCCAGAGCAGCACTATGTAAAGAAAATAAATAATTTAAAAATAATGTTTCCAATCATGGGTCACTTACATGTATATTTTCCTTTTTTATTCAGATAAGAATTTACAAGATGATTTTTTTAATGTTTTATGTAAAGTCTTATTTATAAGGTTTGGGTAAACCTAGATATTTTTTTAGTGAAATGTGATTAACACAAAAGTCAGAAATTACAGGAGTTTTTAACACATACATTAACATCTAAAACAATCTTTGTTTTAATATTTGAATTCATAGTGTGATAAAATAATAATTTTTTAAATGGGTAGGGGTGTTTTCAAACAGTAAAAAATGAATCAATATATAATTGAAAAAAAAAACAAAACTTTTTACTACTAATTTTAAAATTGTCTCAAAATCCTCAATACAGGTAAAGTTTGACACTTGGGGTATTTCGCTGTGTATTAAATCGCTTCCTGTGTAGTTTACAAAAATCAATATATAAAATCAAAACACAGTTCTTGCCTTTAAAAAAAGAAATCACAATAGTTTACAAAAAAAATATATAAAATCAAAACTTACAGTTTTTCAACTTTATACAAAACCATATCCCACGATAAATCAAATACATTTTGAGATCACTGACAGCTGCTTTTTTCCAAAGGAAAACAATGGATTTTGTAAATTAACTTACCTTGTCATTGATCATTTGCAAAACTACAATGTTAAAATATTCTGATTGCACACACAAGTACTCTGAAGTTGATATTAAAAAGATGCTTGAGATTCTGCATGTTTTGATTAAATATTTTTCAAAATATTTTACATGAGAAGAAAACACATGGTGTGGCCTTCAACTCGACATTTATATATCGACGACGTATTATGAATTTTAATTTTCATTCATAAGTCGACATGAAATATATACCAATGAGCTTGAAATAAAAGATACCACAGAGTCTGACACATCTCTTTCATATATGAATATTTTACTGGAAAAATGCGTTAATTGTAACCTAACATTAAAGCTATATAAAAAACATATATGACTTTTCAAAAGCCATACTTCTTTCGTTATCCTATAGGGCTACAGAATCCTTGTCACCTGCATTCGGGGTTTACTCTCAGTTAATTCGACAAGCAAGAGCATTATCCATACGTACATGTATAAACAATTTCGAAAACAATTTCTACAAAAAGAGATAAAAAGCGACAACAAGATGATGAAAAAGAATATCAACAGTCTCGTTTAACATTATCATTTTGTAAGTTCTATGGTCGATACAATGACCTTGACAGCAAATACAATCTATCATAAAGTCAAATGGTGACTGATGTCTTTCATACCAATGTTTTGGCTATCATAACAATAGTTAGCCCTTGATTATCTACTGACTTTGACTACAGAAAGTTCTAACTACCGGATTAATGTACGGTGGGTTTGAAAACAGGGATGCGTGCTCCTCCTAGGTACATACCTACCTTTGTATTGTACAAAGCTACCACACAGTATCAAAAATTTGCAATTTGTCCCAAATTCTAAGGTACTTGTATTTTTTTTTTACGCTAATATGAATTCGTTATCAATTTTCATTTAGAAATTGCATAGCAGGTGTTTTTATTCGCATTTCCAGAGTATTATTTTCATGAAATTTTGTTGATTTTGTTGAAATTTGATATTTCCTACATAATACGATTGACTTCAATGACGAAGTCTGAGGAAATACCGTAAATACACCTTTCCTTGAGAATTGAGAGACGGTTTATCAAAATGTTATCAATTGCTCCATAAGCATACACAAATCATGCACTGATGTCATGTTTGCCATGTTAAGTTATATGATTGTATGATTCCTAAATTTTACTGCAATCTCAGAATGTCTTTATAACAAGTATGCAGAGGAGAATGGTACTTAGGGATCACTTTACATGACGTGTGTGTGACTGTCTTTCGTCTATCAAACCTAATATTGTGAGAACTCGACGAGGTATGGATTTGATATTTTGCAAAGGCATGTTTATTGTTTTATATAAAGTTTAATTTTTCAAAGCACTATATTTCCTATGAAATATATGGAGATTACGAACTTAAGCTCAAAAGTCTATAAAACAATACCTTGGGAGCAGAGCAAACACAGACCTCGTATTCCCCATTTTCAAAAGTGAGTTATCTCCCCTCAAAATCGGAACTCTTCAACACTAGCATAACTTCCGCGGACTACATGATACGATAATCCAACAAAATAGTGATCAACTTACACGCTGTATTTAAAAATTTTAAAAGAAGGAAACGGTCTGCATTTTTTTAGATAATAAATTATTTATCTAACCCCCCCCCCCTTTCTAGAAAGCTATACGAATTAGCCTGGCACGTAGCATCGTCTTTAAAAGGGGGGGGGGTTAGCCAAAGAAATATTTTTTTTTCTTACCTGGAAAAGTTGGCAAGCAAAGAAAAACCTTGCCCAAAGTTGAAAAAGCTACTTATTTCAGTACCAGTTCCTTGGCATACAATACTACATTTTCCTTATATAACTTTACCGTAGTATAGACTGTGTGTGTGTGGGGGTGGGGGGTGGGGGTTGGCAACCTGTCTATCAATGAACATTTTCAATAGAAAAAGTAATATTGGGAAAAAAGTGGGGGTTGGGCTAAACCCCTTGACCCCCCCCCCCCCCTCCGTGCGTACAGGTACAGAGAAGATGTAAATGGGTTGAACAGTTGAATATGAACCATAGTTGTGAAAATTAAAAATTATTAGAATTTTTAATTGTGAATTCAATAAAATTAGGGTACATATATTTTTTTCACAGATGTACATGTATATGTCAGTTACACGGAGTCTCTCTCTCTCTCTCTCTCTATCTGCTCTCTCTCTCTCTCTCTCTCTCTCTCTCTGATATTGTTTTTTACACACTTTGCAAAAAAAGAATAACTTATAAAAATAAATACATGTACTTACACTGAAATGATTTTAAAAAAATAAATAACACTTGAGAAAAGATTGTTTTCAGTTAATTAACGAGAAACACGCTAGGAAATTATTGTATCAATTTTGTGTTTCTGCTCTTAATTCTCTGATCTAAAAAAAAATGTGTATTTTACTCGGGAATATACATGTACATATGCTTAGATCCTACACTAAAACTTTGATTAAATGCAGCTCAGACTTTATACGACATATGTAACACGAATTCAGGTCGATGCTATTTTAATTAGTCTTTCTTCGTTACATGAGCACATGAGATTAAATTATTCATTTAGAATTCCATTCAAAGTTTTAATACTAAATAGTGAATCAATTATTTTACAAATAAAAAATTCTAGAAACACGGTTAATTCAAATGAGGTAGGCCTTTAATTGTCACCAAATGTGTTCTTGTAAGTAAAAGTTCTGTGTTATGACATACAATCGAGCAAAAACGCAGTTTCTTGGTATTGGTCGCGGAAGACGAACTACTGCTGTATATGCAGCAATTTCAGAGGTAAAACTGTAGATGGACATGTCATCAGTCTTCAAAAAATTCCTAGAGATACAATGAAAATATGGCTGCAGCAGGCTAGATTAATTCGTAAAAACTTTATAACTAAAAATTTGTTCCGCACATTTTGTAAATAATGATGATCCGTCTGCAGAACATCCGCTACCGAAAATTAGCTTTTTTTTTTTTTTTTAAATAGGCCTATTCGAATATGTATCAGCATTTTATCAGTAATTTGTTTCTTTTTTTTTTGTAAAGGGGGGGGGGTCACACAGCACCTTATTATAGTACTACACAGATTAATACAAATCCAGAAAGAGACTATGAGTGGGCAATTTAAAAAAAATACGAATCAGTTTTAAGTCTTAAAAGATTTCTTTTTATTCACAAACACAATAATAGCGAGCGCAAAGTTACGAGCTTCGCTTAGCGTTCACACGGAGAATTTAATGCGAATTAGTTTAATTCGAATTAATTTACTGCGCATTAAATTACTATTAACTCCGTGTAACGCTAAGCGAAGCTAATTCGAATTAAATTTTGGAAATTCGGTGGTTATATATAGGTATTTGTGCTATATTTGATTCAAAAATTGAGGGAAAGTATGTTAATCACTAAAATTAATGAATACCTGTAGCCACTACAAATTTCTCATGACGTGATTTACAACATTAGACTTACTGACGCCTGATTGTAATTTAATTCCATTAGTTTACTATTAGCTGTCCAATTTAATTCCATTTTTGCGCGAATAAATCAAAAATAGTAAAAAAAAAAAAAAAAAAAAAGAACATTGTTTCTTACCGAAATCTAAACGAAATGATTTTGCCTTACCTTATTCAAAAAAATACCCCCATGCCACAACACCGGCTTTCACCTTGCCCTTCGAAAATGATACAAATGACGTCACCGGAAACTTACGAATTTTGACGAATTTATGTCGGTTGCTTCCGTGAAACTCGGAAAACATGTTGCGGTGCATAGTGACATGGTGGCTAAAACATAGCAACAACTTACTTGAAAAGAACGATTTAATGCAATCTCTTTTCCATAAAACTAGCGTTTGCATCCTAAGTCAACAGAACTTTTTATCTGACGTCATACTTTCGTCACTTCAACGGTTCGGGTATTTCCGATTTTGTCGGAAACTTCCGAGAAGTTTGGAATCTCGATCCCGATGCTTGGGAAATGATTTCTTTTTATTGTTTTGTTTTATTCTTTTTTCTTTCTTTTTCTTGAATGATAGACAGTACATGTGTAGGTTTATGATAGTAAATAAACTGCGCTCGCCTCAACGGTCACACCGTAAAACATGTTATTTTTCCATATGACAGAGGCATACACCATGAACATGTTTACATCAAGAACGTCCGCGGAAGTGACTTTATTTATAGCGCATGCGTATTAAACACAGTAAAAGAGTTCCCTTCAGGGGAAATAACTCACCTTTTGAAAATGGGGAATACATCAAAGGTGGAATCAGTTGCCATGGAGGAGTAAGCCAAAAAATAAAAAAAAAAACGATGAGTACATCGATCCCGATATGAATCATTTCTTGCTTAACCCGTCAGGCACGCACTCATACCCTCTACCAGCAAACCATCCCAACAACCACCCATATAGAAGCCAATTACTATTATCACTGCTCAGTGAGTGCGTGACGAAGGGATAGTTATTGTAAATGATAGCATCTACATAAGACTATGATATAATACTTTAGTAATATATAACAATACTAGTATTAGGTATCTGTTACAAGGGTAATTTAATACAAATTGTACAGAATGCACAGTTTAACATTTACAACTCAATACTTGTAATTTACACGCTTTCACAAAAATAGACGAATTTTTCACCGGTTAACAATATGCAAAATTAAGCAGACTGTGCGTCTATATTTTAATACGGGGAATTTTTTCCCCTGACATCAAGCAAGGACAAACGTTTTAGAAAAACAATTGATTTAAATTTAAATATTTACATTCAATAAATATAATTTTCCTTTACCTTGAAAATCTATAACGTTTAATTTCCTTAAACACATAAGGAAATTTCCACGGCGCAGTAGAATACACAATTAGGAGCTATTTCTTGAGACAAATTAAATGCAGTAGATGGACTTAAATGCCCATGGGTCAATTATATTTAGAGCAATATGAGCTGCATTTTTGAGAAATTTATTTTGATGACAAAATGTGTTATTATGATCAATTTGTGTGTAATTTAAACCCTTGTGATCAATAGGACCAACATAAAGTTTTAAAAGTTTCAGAAGAAATATTTCTGTGCAATCAAAGATATAGTATTATATAAGAAATTCAGGACGACAATAATGTAATTTAGCTTCAAGCAAAGCTTTAAAAAGTTCTTCGATCGCAAATATGAACATCAGAAGTTTATAAATGTTCTATTTTTCTTTCATTGAAATATTTTATTAAAAATTTGCTACAAAATTTTTTCATGTCAAACATGCAGCTCATATTGCTTTAAAAAAATCAAAGTCTTGTAAACATATACAAACTTCACATTTAGTTTACATTAAATTTAGAAATTGTTAAATCAGAGACTGGCTTACGATACACTGTATTTTGTTTTTTTTTTCTTCGAATAATTCATTGATAAGTTTATTATAAAGATCTTCTCATTTTGTAAGTTTAAATATCAATATTTGTTTTTCAATTCAATTTTGAAATGATATGAAAAAGGATCTTGTCAATGAATTAAAATTTTCTGCATTTTCTGCAAACCGACTAAACATGATACGCTCAGTCATGACTTAAAAAATACGGCTTAAAAAACAAAAATATTTCACAGCACAGAAAAATCTTCACAAAATACTTTTATATTTCAGATTCAATGGGAGGATGCGAAAATGTCTTCATAAAGGCGGAGTCGTCTTCCTCTTCTGAATCATCACCTATCCGATCTAATTCAGGCGCTGATTGAGATTTGGCGCCAATATTTTCAGAACGAGGCTCTGTGTCCAGAGGAAAACCTATATCATCAAGAGTGTTTCTTGAGGCATCTATCCAAGGAATATCCAGTGTCTCCTTACTTTGGTTCAGATTTTTGTGAGAATCCGGAATCTGGAAGAGAAAAAAAAAAGATTTTTTGAATTTAGTGAAGCTCCAATTGCATAGAAGAAAAAGAACTGAAGCATCAAGACGATCAAATAAAAGATCTGAAATAATGTGTTTATTCATAAAAAAATTTTTTTTTGGTTGTTTTCTGTATTTCTTTTAAAGTGAGTCTATGCTTTTCTTTAGTAGATTTTACCTATATAACTCTAACAGTCGCCTAAACATTTTAGCCTTATGCACACTGCAACAGGTACTTTGGCTATTCAGCCAGGAAGGATAAAACTTTAATTTATCATTTAATTCAAAAAGTCTCAAAATGGAACTTGAATTTTAAATCTTTTTATGCAACAATTAAAGAAATTGAGTTTCTTTTAATCTATAACCATATATACCAATGTTTATTAACATGAAATATGAAATTAGAAGTGATTTATGGTGTTTTGAAATGATGGAGAAATCTTTATACACTATGCGTTGTAAAATGATGGAAGTGAATAGACGGAATTAAGTACCTTATATGTATAAAAATAGTACATTTTCTTCAAAAGCCTGGATATTTATTTCTAAAATGTGTTTGTTGATCAAATTTGAATTGCAAAATGCATACTAGTAGTAGACGTTTTTTTCGCATTTCCAGAAAATTTATTGGAGATTTACTAATTTTCCTTATATACATGTAATATCATTATTTTTAAAAATGAAGTTTGAAGAATTATCATGGGTAAAAGCACATTACTTTGAGAATTCAGAGATATTTTTGTGGGTATTTCAATTAGTCACTGTCTGATTTTCAGAACCTGAGGACCGGAATACCTAAAACTTTTTGCCGTAAATTTCCTCGTCCTAGAAGAACCTCATTTTTAAGTAAATGAGCCAGTAATGAAGAAGTTAAATTCTACATAACAATACAAAGTATTCTCAATATAGTGTCATCTTATTATACCTTAAATTCTACAAACTTCGAAACTTGAAAACGGCTTATTTTTCATTAAATTGCAAAAAGTTTGTCTGTAAGACGCTTTGAGATATTTTTTAAATATTGAAGTCCGTTGCCCAAGTCTGTGTCCTAAACAATCATCAATGTACTGGACAATTCGTAAAATGATTGATTCGGGTTAACCCAAAATGTGGAAATTAATTACACTAATGAAACATATGGAGATAACGAACAGTATTCAAGAGCAAGGTCATAAAGCAAGACAAAATAGGAGCAGAGCAAACACGGATCTCCAAAATATCAGTGGAGGGATCAGATGCCATGAGGAGTAAAGCATCCACTGCTGTTCGGGCACACCCGCCGTGCGCTCCTTGTCATGATCGAGAAATAACGGAAAAATCCGTCGTCAATTCAGTGTATAAATAATGAACTAACAATTAGTATGAAAAACGTCAGTCAGCACTTGACTTAATGATAAATTGTGCTTGCTGACAAAGTCATCGTATCGACCATAGAACTTACGAAATGATGACTTTAAACGAGTCTGCTGATATTCCTGTTTCATCAATTTGTTTGTCAATAATTTACCTCGTTTTAGAAATTGTTCATACGTAGAGCATGCTCTTGCGTATCGAATGAACTGAGATATACATGTACAAACTCCGTATGTATGTGATGAAGGTATATTGCTGAATAAGTAAGGGAAGTTGACGATAGAAAAGATAAAGTCATGACGTTTATCATACAGCTTGGTTGTTAGATTACCATTAACGTCTTTTCAAGTAAAATATTCAAATATGAAACAGATGTGTCAGACTCTGTGGCATCTTTTATTTCAAGCTCACCAGAATATTCTTTTTTTCACGCATAAGATTTTGCACAAATTCTGCTTCATATGAATACAAGAACAAGTCTGCTAATAACGTGACGCAATTGGTACCCATGGGAATTCAAATAGATTGTTGGAAGACCTGGTTTCCAAAAACAACATAGATATTGTCAATCAGAAACAGAATAAAGCATCTTTTTGATGTCAACTTCAGAGTACTTTTGTGTACAATCAGAATGTTCTTTCGGAATAATTTTGCAAATGACCAATGACCAGGTATAAGTTAATTCACGAGTTCTATTTTTATTGAAAAAGCAGCTGTCAAGGATATCAAAAAGCCTGGACTTTAATTTATCATGGGGAATGGTTGTGTATAAAGTTGAGAAGTCATTTTAATGTTTTTAAGCTGTTGATTTTGACAAAATCTTGTGATTTCAAATTGTCTAAAAGTTCCTTGGAATTTTTAAGTATCCATATCTAATTTACACCACTCCATGAATATATTGCTGCATAGTACTCTTGAAATTTCTCCTTCACTACTGTTAATATCTTTAGTGAAGAGTAGAGAAAGAGGATTGGTTGAACATTAACGTGAACCTGCTATGTATCTTTGTAAGGATTTATATAAAGTTTCGAAATCCAATATATATGTGGTAGTTCAAATTCATTTTGGTTCTTTGGGATATTAAAAATATTCAAAACTGACATATGATTTTAAGGAATTTCTTCCTTGGAAATGGAACTATCAGTATATGTTGGATTACAACTTGTAGAATTAAATCCAAGTTCTTCTAAAATACAATTTAAACATTGAACCTTACAAACGAAGACAATGTTGTTACATGTACGTGCTTTGTCAGCAGGGACCAGTGCATACTGATCATGTAATCTATCTAATTCTTTTTCCACTTCTGGATTATTGAATACAGAAGAATAGATGGTTTTCATATTGCCCATCAGTCTTTTAATATGTGATTTTAACATGGATCTGATACATTTAATCCATTCTGACAAAATGTCAACGTCTTCTTTTTTTCATATCTGGCCCATCGTCTGGCGTAATCTTCTACAGAATCCATAAAATTTATGAAATTCCGACGCCAGTTGAAGGATTGGGGTTCCCTATATTTAGGACCTTTTAAAATAAGACCCTCATTATCAACTATATTTGCGTCACCTGTAATAAGTAATGATAAGTATTTTTCAGACCAATAAACACTAATAAATAAATCATACGTTGGCTACTAACATTAGCAATAGCATCGAGGGAACCTGTATTGATATCAATTCTAGGTAATGGCTTAGGGGACAGGTTTGCCGACTTCTCACTATATGATCTTATCAACATCTCCTCTTCTCCTTTGAAAGTTATTTCAGTACTTGTTCTTCTATTCAGGGTCACAGATTTCCTTCTTTTTCTGCGGGAAAAACGGAGAAAATTACACTTCATGCACAATTCATTATTTTCATTAATGTGCAAGGTAAAATTTAATTATTATTTATTTAAATCGAAAAACATAATCATTTACTATATATACGAATATTATTTTTGAAGTTTATGCTATTTATAGGAAAAAGAATTCAATGTGTTATACCTAATGAACCACTGCAGAAAAACAAAAACTGCCAGTAACAGCACAGCCACGAAGATGACAATCACAACGATAAGCTCTAAAAACAAGTATTCTTTGGTTAGCTGTATTCTCTTCAATGTTTTCAAACTTTGACTAAGCTTTTTCGTGTAAAGAAATGCAAACGAAAATCATCAGAGGTGGGATGTTGATAGTTTTTACAATAATTAATCAAAGTTCTGAAGTTTTCATTATTGTTAATCAAAGTTCCAAAGTTTTTACTAAAGCAAATTTAAGTTTGAAAGTTTTTAGCAAGGATTAATTTTGTCTAATTCTCTTTTTAATTATGTTTTACATATTGTGTATTATTTAACTTACTGGATACCTAATTTCTATTATAGGTTGAGCTTTCGTGTCTATTTCTTTATATAACTATTCCCTAATTAATTTTTGGGATCATTTTTTCTCACTTTATAATTTACCTGTTGTAGGTATATGGCTGACATGTTCACTTGACCTCTCAGGATTCGGATGTATTATATCAGAGGCATTTCCAATGGATGTTGACTCTTTGTTTGACAGTGTTGACTTTCCTTTCATGTCCTCTTCTTCTGTTGTCTTGCTTTGTGTAACTTTGGTTGTAGTTTCAATACTGTCCATAGATTTCGACAATGTGAATTCCATTCCATGAATGATTTTTGTTGAAGGATTGATAACAGCCTTTGTTAATTTTGTTGTTCGCCTTGCTCCTTCTGTTGGCATTATTTTTGTTACCTTCGTAAAAGTTTGTTCAGTCTTTAAAGTGGTACTTTGTTCTGTAGATAAAGGGGTTTGGAATCGAGTTGTTGACATTCTAGTGTCCATTGTTGTTGCTGGAAGCGACGTTTGTTGCACTGCTGATGAAATATTGATTTGCTTTGTTGTTCGAACAGAAGTTTGTACAGTTGTTGTTTGTTCTGTTGGTAGCACTGTTGATAGTTTTGCTGTTGTGGGAAATGTTTGTTTTTCTTTCTTAAATGTAGTTTCAACTTCTGTAATTGGAGTTGACAATTCTTGTGATGTTGATATTGCTGTTTGTGTTGTTTCTTGTGTAAATAACTTATTTGTAATTTCTTGTGTTGCTTCTTCTGTTGTTGAAATTAACTGGTGTGTTGTTACCTCTGTTTTTGGAAATGTTTGCTCTGCTACTGGTGTTGTTGGTTGTTGTGTTGTTTTATCTGTTGTAGAAAGTGATTCAAATGTTGTAACTTCTGTTGATTGAATTGTTGTCCGTTCTATTGTTGACAACTTTGTTTCTTGTGTTGTTAATTTTATTGTTGTTGGAATGTTTTGCAGTGTTGTTACTTCTGCCATTGGAATAGTTGTTGGAATAGAAATTTTCTCTGTTGTGGGTTTAGTTGGAGTTGTTTGTGGTGTTGTAGCAACTGTTGTTGTAAAAGTTGTTTGTTGTGTTGTATGTTTCGTTGTTGGAATTGTTTGTGTTGTTTCTTTTACTGTTGGGATCGTTTGTTGTGTTGTTGGAGTTGTTATTGGTTGTAATTTAAGTTTGGTTGTTTGGATCAGTTGTGATGTTGTAACCTCTTCTGTTGGGGGCTGTTTTGTTGCTGTGATGGTGGTTTGTTTTGTTGTTTGTTCTGTAGGAATTGTTGATTGTTGGAGTGTTGGTGTTGTTTGTTTTGTTTCTGTTTTTGACATAGTGGTTAGAATTGTTGATTGTTGGAGTGTTGGCGTTGTTTGTTTTGTTTCTTCTGTTGACACAGTGGTTAGAATTGTTGATTGTTGGAGTGTTGGCGTTGTTTGTTTTGTTTTTTCTGTTGAAACTGTGGTTGGAGATGGAGTTCCTATAACTGCAGACTCAACTGTTGGCGATGCACCTTCTGTATAAAAGTTAATAATTTAAAAATACGAAGTTTATTATTCAATTCAAGGTCAAGCTATATATTTGTCAGGCAAATCAAATTTCAGGTATTGATATTTTGGCACTTTTAATGAAATTAATACCAATTTTGTACTTATTTGATAACGAATTCCATTCAACTCGGTATTTCTTTACTTCACAGTCTTTATTTCCTTTAAATGTACATTCTGAATTTATATTAATATTTTTATAATAATATTTCGTTTACTTGTGATAGTGTAAAATTTCATAAATTAGAATCATATGCATTAATTTTATACAAAAAATTTATATTTTTCGACGATGTCCAATCTATAAACAATATTCATTTTTTCTACGCTGATTCGATATTTCTAAGGAAGCCGGTTGGTGCCAGGTAGAAAAAAGTAGTTTATCTGACGGTCCCCATATAACTTATCTGGCGGCCCCCAAATAATTTGGCCCTTTGAACTCGAAATAAGTTACAATGTATATGGCGGCCGCCAGAAAAAAAAAGGATTTTTCTACCTGGTACCGGTACCTATCGGCTTCCGTATATTTCCTTTTGAACTCGAGATAAATATGCCACAGACTTTAGAAAAGTCCTAACAACAAAATTCAATAATAAACCCGATAAACTCATTAACTTTTCCATCGTCAATTTCCCTATTTTTGTAGCAATGTAACATTACATGTAACACCTAGATATAGAGTTTATATCTCATTCTGAATCGCGGTGAGCTAATGACAAAAACATTGATAAAACCACAAACACTTGTGGATAAAACAAGGATATCATTAGTTTCGTTTCAAGTCAACACGTTTTCTCTATAGAAATGGAAACAATTTTGGCTTTGTACGCTTATAATGTAAAAGCTTTTTACATTGTTCGATATAGTTTGATATTGAAAAAAGAGAGAATAATAATTACGTTACAATAACTACATAATAATTACAATCAGAAAAGTAAAGAACAAAATTACTGAGTAGCTCAGAAAATTCAGATTCAGACTGACTCAGATTTAACGAATTCAGAAGATATCTTACCGCTGAGACAAACATATTTATTCTGGGTGTAGCATGGCTGCCATGCTCTGTCCAGGACTCCATAATTATTCTTTTGAATGGCTAGACAGTCTTTTGGATTTTCCTTCATATCTACAACCAATGCTTTGTGCATTTTACAAAACACTTACATGTATATGTCTCGCAAAATTATAATGGATTAAATATACAGGTACATACCAACTTAAGAAGGTTACTAGCAGCTTATATAATTTGCAAAACGTTTCAAACCATTATTGAAAGCGTGCGAGAATCTAGCCGCGATAAGGATATTTTGAGGTCATCCTTTTGGGTTACAAGATGTTCAATCTTAATACAAGCAAGCTCTCTACCATTTACCCCGCAAACCAAAAAGAAGGAAGGGCATCGTCGGACTTAAGAGGAATTTATGAGCCTTAAAAAAGCCATGCTCCTTGTCCTGATCAAAATCATGGATTGAATGTTGTGGTTTTTTTGTCTTGCAATATTCTCTCCCTCATTTAAGTATCTTTTATTAGGCAAGGCCAAGGTTTGCGTGTGTGTGTGTGTGGGTGTGTGTGTGTGTGTGTGTTTTATAGAAATAACCTCCAAAGTCAATACGTAAAACTTTGTTATCAGGATCTGTCATATGTTTACACATGTTTAAAAGTTTTTAGTAAATTAAATTTTTTTTCCCCAAAAGAATTAAAATCCCAAGTTCAATAGTTAAAAAATGTTAGTACCCAAAGAAAGATCTTGAAGTTTCATGCAGTTTTATGAAAGTTTAATCAAGGCTGCATATTTTATTATGGATAGACTAAAGAATACACAGAGAGGGTAGTTAAAATATGCTGTAAATAATTGCATCTCAACCAATGAGACATAGAAAGTCAACTGACCTTTATTCTTTGATATTAAGTTTTTACTTATTTGTTTGGGGAAATTTTCTTTTCTTAGACGTAAGACCAAGCCAAATTAACCTATTCCTTGGCCCACTTACGGCCAAGTTCCTAATAAGTGCTGTACAGCCCAACGCACATTTTAAGCTCACGTGTTTTTTCGCACAAATTAAGGTCACATTCTTTTTGCAATAAAATGAGTATTTCCGACCTTCAATACGAGACATACTCTAATATGTATTTAATATCTCAAGTTAAATTTTTAGATTAATTATCTTGAAGTTTTAAAGTCGATGTTTTAATTGAGACTTCATCTATAAATGATAGGATGTTACATCTGTATGATTTCTCCATAGGTATTTACAAATTAAAATAATCCAGCTTTCTTTGATGCAATTGAGTTGAATTTTTAAAATTGACATCTTAAATATGAGTATTTTTCGAATTACTTTGCTGCACATTTTCCATACTCGTCATGTTTTTGTCGCATTGTAACGCCAAAAAATGACAATGCTGCATTGAAAGAAATAATGCCAAAAGACAAGATAAAAAAAGTATTGTTCATCTTCTAAAATAGTAAATTGTTACCCTTAAAAAGAACATTCTTTTACATTTACGGTCTTAAACGTTAGAATTTTGCGGTCGGATGTATCTTTCATGATGCTAGATTCAGAAAGTAACCCTAACAAAATACCAGCTTTTTAACATGAAAAGCAGTCGAACAAATGAGAAGTATTATTATTATCTTGTGCTTTATAGAGTCATGTTATTGTACGGAAAAACAAATGTTATATGATTTGCACTGTTTTTGGTTCAATACAAGACAGAGAACTGCTTTACAAAGAACGGGTATATAGATGGCTACATCTGATGAGAAACCTCGAAAAACCATTTCGGAACTATCAAAATCCATCAGCCAAGAGTATATCAAATTCCTACCAATAATTATCTGTGAATTATGTTTTAAGTTAGTGAAATAAACTTAAATGTAAGTTAGAAATCACTTTTATAATGTATTCTGTTGCCTCGTTACACAATTTTGCATTGTGGCAATGTGAGGTTCATTTGTTCGAAAAGTCATGTGAGCTTAAAAAGTGCGTTGAGCTGTATATGTATGCATACCTACGTCTGTCCAGCGATCTAAAACGTGTCTATAAAGGGCAGTCCAGATATCTATTCTTGTACTGGGAGGTAGACTGTTAAAAGGACGCTTCAAAGTATCACTGAGAGTGACCACCGCCATCTCCAGCTTCTTATCCCGGCAGTCCTGGTGAGCCGTGTCCCAGTCTTTCGGAGTATAGTGTGGATTCATAAATACTATTCCATTTTTTGTCCCTATAGAGAAAAATAATTTTATTGCTACATTTCATACTTACAAAAAAAAAAAAAATCACGAACCTATCACATGATAAAGGCACGCAATATCGGGGAACAGAGCCGTTAAAATTCATTTTATTTTTGTAGTCAAAGATATTTTAGGCAAGTTGTCAATTGTACCATTTTTTTCAGAAACAATACTTTGTATCTATGATGTAAACTCGCTAATGTTTACATATATACGCATTTATTATAGAGAAAAGTCCGTCATCCAGCACCGGTAAATACAACAGCTTTTTATCAATATTCCTTCTGTATTAATGCGTGTTGTCACAACTGAAATAAAACTTTTGATTATGGATTCAATCAGATTTTGAAATCAATGGGAAAAAAATAGAAAAAATATCATACTGTTTTGACAGAGAACCATCTTCGTCTGCGCGCAGTCGTCCACTTTCCACGCTATTCTGCCTCCGTTGATTTCTAGGTAGGTACATTGCTCGTTGTTCTTCAGTTGCTCGTTAGCAATGTCTTCCGTTGTCTCGGTTTCGTTTACTGCAAATCATGAACAATTATAAATTCATTTATTTTTATAATTAAGATTTATTTAATGATGTGATTCTAAAAACTACACAGAAAATTGCTTAAAAGGTCGCCAAAATTGAAAACCTATCAATCCTAGAAAGTAAAACTGTTTGTATTGTTCCGAATTCCGACTTGATTTGCATGTGTGAAAATTCTGTTTATATTGACAAGGAAGATTGATTGATAATATGTTGTTTTACGCCCAGGCGCGTAGCATCGTTTTTGAAAGTGGGGGAGCCAGCCATTTTTTTTTACTTACCTGAAAATGTTGACAAGCAAAAAAAAAAAAAAAAAAAAAAAGGAAAAAGTTGCCCACAGTCGAAAATCCTATTTCGTGTGTATGTGTGTGTGTGTGTGTGTGTGTATGTGTGTGTGGGGGGGGGGTGTAGGTAAACTTTAAAAGTGGGGAGGGGGGCAACCAGGCTTTCTATTAACATTTCCTATAGTATAAGTAAGGTTGGGAAAAAAGTGGGGGGGGGGGGGGGGGCAGGCCCCCCTGCCCCTCCCCCCCCCCTGGTGCTACGCCCCTGTTTATGCCCCATCAGAGAATTTTTCAGTCATATATAGACATCAGCATATAATGGGGATGGATTTCGAATTAAGACCTTTACTCAGTACTCGGTGCCTTAGATAAAGGAAGGATATTTATCTTATCAACGCTTGTCGTAACACGACACGGGTCCTCGATTTCAAAGGACTCATCCGTACATGTAGGAACTGCAATTTTCAATTCAAAGAGTAAAGCGCTCGGCGAAGGAAAATTGCTACGTATTTTTAAAAATGAAATTAGTTCAGCCGCGGCCCGGGTTTGAACACACGACTTCCTAACATGAAGAGGTCACTCTACCAAAGGAGTCGCCAAGGGAGAAGCGAGGAACCAAGATTGGCTCTGGTTTTTATAAGGTACGTAGTAATGATCTTGACACATGCATTGGTATAAATCCAGTTTCTACTCTTATTGTTATCTCTAGTATGGTGGAAACATATCAAAGTATCAATATGTATATTTTCCTCTTTCAGTCTTATTCCACATACGGCGTTGAGTAAATGTATAAGAACGATAACTCGTCTTGGACCATTTTTGTGTAAAGGGTGTTCACTTTTATGCGCCAATCATCGTATTCTAAATATATCTTAAGAGACTTTGCGTAATTTAGTGTTTCTTTCCCATGAAAATGAGCAATTTGCGGCTAAAACCTTTAAATGAAAGCATGTCATACTGTACCTAAATAATCATTAACAATAAGAACATCTAATGGAATGACCCTTTATGACGTTAACTGAATATTTCTCAAAGTCCTAGCGATTATTTGCCTTGTTGATTGTTTTGTTTTGTCTTAGAATGCTTTACACTCATTTAGTACAGCTCAATATAGCAGCGAGGAAATAGAAAACGGATTACACTGTAGTTTATAGGATAAGGATTATATTAGAAATGAACACAATGGCGATCAAGCATTGACAATATTTCTTTATCTTTCAGTGCATCAAAGGCCTTAAATGAGTACAAACATGCATCATTTGACGACCAAAAACCAATCCATAGTGCACAAAGTTAATTGGGTAAATTGTCTACATTATTCATTTTCCAGTTTTGTATGTTATTCACGTAATCAAAAATACTTTTACTGTTAAACATGTTAGAGATACAAAAAGGTCAAACATTTTATTGAAGGATCCTTGCTACACTTCTCACTGGTTTAAGGAAACTTGAATATTTTTCTGTTGTTAGAACGATCCGACATGTAATATAAAATACAGTAAAGGGTAAATCATAGACTGTACTGTTAAACATGAATTGTAATTAAAACAATAATTTATTCCAGATTTGGGTATAGATTATGATTTTCGTACATGATATATTTACTCTATATATAATTTTTATAAATATATGACTTTAGTTATTTATTATGCATGAAGTGATAATGATAATGCTTATTTCAATTATCAATAGTTGGCAATAATTGTTATAATTGTACTTTTATGATTTCTAAATATAAAATGTGTCTTTGAAATGTTTTGTATATATAACATGCTAAATGCCATATTTTCAATACAGCTGTAATTGAATCTTTTGATAATCATTAAAATATTGTATATAGTTCAGGAAAGGTTTTTTTTTCGAAATTGTTAGAACTAATAATTATCCATCTGTATACAGCTATCTTATACAATAAAACAAAACTCGATTTGTATTTATTTACTCCTATCAGCACTTGTTTATCTTAGAAGAAAGATAACTCGCACAATACTGTATATTAAAAATGAACTTAATAATTTTAATATGTAAACCTTTCTACATAATTTTCTCAAATCCGAAAACATTTTTAAGTGTTTGGAGAATCCTTGAGTTAATTACTGTTGTTTATATACTATTTGGTAAAACCCTTCATTACTGTTTGGTACATTTTCAGTATACATAGGTATAGAGCTAGCTGGAGATCTCCTTTATCCACTCGAGGCTGTCTGTGCCTCACAAATGTGATTAAACTTCTGCAGCGACACGCAGAAAAAACGTTCTTGTGAAGTTGTTTTTGATAATAAATCACAAACATGCTAAGAAAGTAAACAGCATTTGTAACATATATTCCATATGGGTTTGGAATAATGAAGGATTCTTAAGCATGTAGCGTTTTTCAAACTATAAGCAAGATAAACTGCAAAATATTAGCCAATTGTAATTGCAAGGTAGCAAGGGAAAATGGCATTGACAACTCACGCAGCTTATAGACGGACATGGCTTGTTCGTCACCACATGTGTCTTGCTTGTGTCCTGGGCACGGGACAGTACACTGGGAAACTTCTGAAGAGGATTGGGGAACAGCATTTAGGCAGTAGCAGAAACCCTTCTACAAAAAAGAAACATAAATAAAAAGAAAATTGTTATTTTACATATATAATATGAAATGATACAACAGAAAGCTTGCATCAAAATGTTTTAGAAGATGTGAAATAACAATAAACTAGCCCCTTTTCTCACAAGTTGAAGTATGAGTTTGTCTTCCACTTTTTAATTCAAGATAATTTTGCTGAATAAGGTATACCACAAGTCCAATCCAATGTCGTTCTTCTCTACAGAACACTGCGCACTGCACAACAGAGTTTGCCGTATCGTTTTGGTTGAATGTTTTTATATATGTTGCCACAGAGTCGAATGTATAACACCCTGCAAGGCATCAAAGGTCATGTAAATGTAGACAATAGACTTACACTGTTTACAACAATATTTACAACTTGTCTTCTATTATATGAATTCATAACTAATGATATACATTTTTGATACAATGTACTTGTGGATGGCTTACAAAAGTGATTGGTTCAAAGTTGTTTGTGTTACATGCGTCGAATAAATCGAGGACAGATACTGAGAATGAAGTGTAACTACTAGTATATATCATCTTAAGGATTGAGCCAAAACACGTACCAAAGTTCCAGTAAAACACACTGAGTCTGTAACCGCCTGTCCAGTATGGATCAGTGTCTGTAATACTGTCCTCGAGTTCCGTTGTTGATGATGATGTCAGTTTGTCCATATTCACAAGGAGTCCCAATCCGTCCTTCCTACAACTGGACTCGGCATCCTCCCACTTCCTGTAGGCTGATTGGGGAAATACCTCTTGTTTGATACCCAGAACTGTGTACAAGTAACATCAATATTTCAGGTTAGGATTCAGAGAATTTAGCATTCCTTGATGTAAGTAGATTCTTTCAGATTTCGATTCATTTACTCGTAGGTTTAAAAATGTTGTCGTCTAACAATCTGTGATCTTTGTTTTCAATAAAAATTTGTGTATGACAGATGTACCAGGGCTGATCCAAAAATTTCGTTCACAATTTAAACAATGTACTCAGTATTATCTCGTTGCTTACATAGATGTAGACTAAATCCTCTTTTTATCAAAGTGAAAGGCAATATTTTAGGATCACTGAGTGTGACCAATCAACAGGGGGTCCTAGTCACCTGATCCCACCTCTGATTTTTCCAGAGGTCCGTGTAAGAATTTCATGGCTCTGAAAATAATTGTCGTATGTATATCTGTGCGCTAGGAACGCGTTTGGTGACGTCATTTGCAGAAAACACGATTCAGAATACTCTTAGGAAATTGCGTCACTACTCCTCTCTCTCGGATGCCATTTACTTTAAAATATGGATTTAAATTAAGATTCGTTTTCCTTATTTAACTGATATACTAGTAAATTTAAATTTGATATATAAGATTTTACCTGAGAAAAAAAAAACGCACGTGTAAAATAAATATTATTATTGTTTCATTTCATAATATCATTAGTATGATTTTTATTTTATTTGAAAGGCCATTTGATAATAAGAGTCATGTCATTGCTTGACATATGTTTAATTTTTACGAAGTTATAAACATTGCCTACTACTTTTCGAGACAAGCCTTATCCTTATAAATCAGAAATTGTTTTATCTCGACAAAATGCTTTCTTTCAAATGTAGGATATGGCTGTATGCTAACCATAATTATTTTGGATTACATCTTGAATGTGTTTTGAACAGAATGTCTTCGCCTTCTAAAACAATCTTTACTATTCTGCTAGTAAAAGTACTTAGAAAATTTAACAGCAACATCAACAAAATAAATGGATAAATGAATTGTCATACCTAAAGTTGATGTCCACAATGAACAAAGAAAAACTTAAAAAGAACATCAACAAAATAAATTGATAAATAAACTGCCATACCTAAAGATGATGTCCACAATGAACAAAAAAAAAACCTTAAAAATAACGTCAACAAAATAAATGGATAGATAAACTGTCAAACCTAAAGATAATATCCACAATGAACAAAAAAAAACTTAAAAAGAACGTCAACAAAATAAATAGATAAATAAACTGTCATACCTAAAGATGATGTCCACAATGAACATAGAAATGCTAGAGTTTTAACTATACACATAATTAGGCCACGTTAGTTTACACTCTGTGTTACATGCATGCATTAATTATCAAACATCTTCTTTGTGCATTCTTTCGGTCGCAAATCCGGAACGATAACACTTCAAATTGCATTATGTTTTGCGTCCCCATCTTGGTGAAGGAAAACGACAGTTCCGGAAAACATCCGATAGAAATAAAGGGTGTGTGTCAAGTCACTCTGATTTCATGCCGGACTGGAATTCCAGTTTTTACTCTCTCGCAGTTGCGTAAGTAGCAACCACAAATTGAATACTTTTGGGCGTTAAAGAAACTTCAGTTGAATCGTGTTTTATAAGTTTTTTTTCCCTGTTTTTGAAACAGAGTGGATCTACTAGCTCTGTTTCAATAACAAATGTGCTCACCACAAATGACAAATGTTTTTCCTTCCATTTAGTTTTTGGGGGGCGGGGGAGTTAGGTCAAATACTTTAGAGAAAACTACAGGACGGTTTTATATATCGATTAAAATGTAAGCACTTTTATCCTCAACACACTTATTGTCGATAAAAAGGATATACATACTTGGTAAGAAATGGTGTTTCACGGTTAACGTCAAGTATTCGTGAAGGGAAACTCTTAACTCTGGTTTTCTTCAATTTAACTGCGTAAAATTACAGGCTCTTTAAATGTATATTTAATATTACAAATATGTGTTTTATTTTACTTTGCAGATTTCTTCCTCGAAACCAAGGCACACCAAAGTTTACCAACACAAAATCATGATGCTTTTTTCGAACACGGTCCAGGCAGTTGCCCAAAACTGCAGAGCTTTCAAAAGTTAAAAAGTACATGTACATATACATACGAGGGTTGTCCAAAAAGTTCGTGGACAATGACGTTTTTGTGAAAATAAATGGTTATTTATAAATCTGTTGTATATCAAAATATTTCTTATGAAAAAACAAGTAAGAATGATTTAATTTTTATTGATAGAACGTTATATTTTTATATTTACATCCACTGAATATTTTCTCCTTTATTTCTTAAGAAAACCCATTGCGTTAATCACTGCATGAACTACATTAGGCTTGTCGCCTGTACAGATTTCTTGATCACTGGCTGTTCCATCAATGAAACGTATAAAGACGTTCGCATCATTAATACCAGTGGCCTAGCCAGCCAGAGAAATTTTTTTTTTTACTTACCTGAAAAAGTTGACAAGCAAAAAAGAAAGAAAAAAAAAAAAGGAAAAAGATACTCATAGTCGAAAATCCTATTTCGGGGGGGGGGGGGGGGGGGGGGTAGGTAAACTTTTTCTCAGTGTCAACTACTTTTAGTACCAATTCTAATACTACATTTTCGGTACATCACTAAAAGTGGGGGGACCAGGCTTTCAATTAACATTTCCTATAGTATAAGTAAGGTTGGGGAAAAAAAGGGGGGGCAGCCCCCCCCCCCGGTTGCTACGCCCCTGAATACAATAATTAAACTTTTTTATCCTTCTTTAAATGATTATTTAAACAGATGTAAATATAAACAATAAAATGTCTTTCTTTGTTTGTTATTACTGGAATTAACGGTCGCAGCTATTGCAGAAAAAAATTACATAACCCGCTTACGCGGGTTATGTATTTTTTCTGCAACAGCTGCGACCGTTAATTCCAGTAATAACAAACAAAGAAAGCATTTTATTGTTTAAGTAAAAATCGGGGCCTTTAATGATCGCAGATAGTGCGCACGGACCAAGGTTAAAATGACAAAAACTCCTATATAAACTGTTCGGATTAAAATGATTACTTTCTATATAAAACAAGTCAAAAATTAATAAAAAAAATTATGGAACATAAATAAAGAGGCTATAATCGTGTTATGATATTTGAAGTATCGCTTACTTTATAGACGGTGAAAATATTAAAAGAAAACCCTAAAAAACATGTGTCAAAACTCGACAGAAAAAGCGAAGTCGGCCATCCGCACGGGGCAGCGTCCGATAAAAAAAAAAAACAAGTTTTAATACGGTTGAAACGACGTTAGAGACAAAATATTTCTTAAGGTAAGTCACTCCTGAAATTTGTTAAATCAAGGATTTTTTGAGAAGTATATTTTGGATAAGTACTCATAAAGTGTAACTCAAAATCGCAAAGAAAATATGGGGTCAGTGTGCATCCTACTGATCTACGGTACATTTAAGTTGACCTTATTGCACTTAAATTTCATCTCTTTGGTTAATTACTTTAACCCTTATTATATTTGATCAGATGTAAGCATGGCAATAAATATAATCTTATTTTACGTAAAATAGTTTGAATAATATTTATCATTAAACAAATCTTGCAAATTAATGCGCGTAAATTATTGTGTGACCTTTTTGCACTAAAAAATAACATATTTGGGGTTTTAAAAAACTTAATAAGCAATAAAAAATTTTCTTATATCGAACTTTTTACGACTTAAGTGCTGATCAGTCACAAGTATCGAGTAGTTTAAAATAATGAAAGAAAAAGGTGGGGTCAGTGATGTTAATTTTGAAATATTTGTCAAAATATGTGATTTTCCGGCAAAAAATGGTGTAAATTTGATCTTGACTTCTTTAATATATTTTCATTTTTTGGAAAAGTTTGTTGAGGGAAGGTGTAAAACTTAGTCTAAAAATATAAATGAAGCCTATATTACATATTTTTAGCAATATCAAAACGGAAAATATTCTCCGAGTAAAAGTATGTGAGGCTAAATTTCCATTACATTAAATTTTATAAATGTGCAGATTTGCAGAATTTTCTGCTAAATATCCTTCCACCAAAAGAAATAGTCCCTCATAAATCTTGCTTCTTTGTAGATTTTTGAGCAGTTTTTTCATTGAATGTTAAAAAATTTACATTGTTGAATTTAAATATGTTATAAAAATTGAATTTTAATAAGTAGTTTTGAAGTAAAAGCTTCTGCGTGAACTTTTCTGAAAAGCTGACGAGTGACTTACCTTAAAACAACTCAAAATTATTGAAATATATTTAGTGTATCGATTTGAGATTGGTGAATACGATTTTTCAACGGTGTGTACAAATTCCAAGACACTACAAGAATTTAAAAACACATGTAATTTACTGAAAATGGAGATTTCTATTCATGACGTTGTTATACATCTAGCGCAGCGTCAGACTGGGGTGTGCAGTTTGTGTTCCACGTGCTCAAAGCCCTGCTTTCCAATGTCTTTGTCCGAGCTTGTAAATGTAATTTATTTCCTCATGAATGTCTTGGCGCGGTGCACGTGGAAGCAGGCTTTTTTTGCATGTAACCGCGTTTTTCGAATTCATGAAGATACATAATTTTATGATAAACGCCTTCGGGAAATATTTACCTTTCCAATGTCTTTGTCCGAGATAAAATTACCAATGGTAAATGTAATTTATTTCCTCATGAATGTTTTGGCGCGGTTCCAAAAAAACCACGTGCAGGGCGGGCCAACACCTAGAGAGAAGCAGGCTTGGAGCCCGTGGATTGGCGGAATCAAAGCATGTAAATATAAGGAATAACTGTCAGATTTTTCGAATTCATTAAGATGATCAATGGATTGGCTTGTGTGAAAATTTTATGCATAAACGCCTTCGGCGTTTATGCAAATTATCAAACAAGCCAATCCATTGATCACTTCATAAATTCGAAAAATAAGACAGTTATTCCTTAAATAAAGTACATTTACAATTTGTAATTTTATCTTGGACAAAGACATTGGAAATGTAAATATAAAATGATAAAGTTAAACGATAGTGTTGATATTCTTTTTCATCAACTTGTTCGTCACTTTCTATCTTGTTTTAGAAATTGTTTTATAATTTTTTTCTATACGTAGAGCATGATATTGCTTGTCGAATTAACTGATAAATGTAAACCCCAAATGCAGTTAACAAGGGTACTGTAGGTCTATATAGTTTCAGAATTAAGGGAAGTTGGCGTTTGTAAAGTTAGTCATATGTGTTTTTTTAAAGCTTGATGTTAGGTTACCATTAACGCCTTTTTCTAGTAAAATATTCATGTATGAAAAAGATGTGTCAGACTTTGTGCACGTGATATCTTTTATTTCAAGCTTACTGGTATATATTTCATGTCGACTCATGAATGAAAATTACAATTGATAATACGTCATCGATATATAAATGTCGAGTTGAAAGTCACACTAAGTGTTTTCTTCTCGTGTAAAAAATTTTGAATAAGTAGTCAATCAGAAACTCAAGCATCTTTTTAATATCAACAGAGAATTTGTGTGTACAATCAGAATATTTTTGATAAAGTGGTTTTACAAATGATCAATGACAAGTTACGAGTTCCATTTTTTTTTGGAAAGAGCAACTGTCAATGAGGTCAAAAAGTCTTTTATTTGATTTAACATGTTGAATGGTTTTGTATAGAGTTGAAAATGTGTAAATTTTGATTTTATATATTAATTTTGGTAAACTATTGTGTTTTCAATTTTTTTTATAAGTATTTTTCAAAATTAACAAATGAGTATTTTTTATTGACAACTGAATAGAAAACGAAGTTCATCTTCAATCTCTCCTTTGTTACAGATGTTGCAAAAGGTATACAAGTGTTTCCATTCTCTATGGCATGCTTTATTTTGTACTCTAAATCTCAACCTGTTAATCATGAAATGTGAAGAAAAAAACGAATAGTATTCACGCTCTTGAAAATTAAAAGTAAGAGTAGAGCAAACAAAGTGCTCCAAAGCATCAGAAATAGCACCAGGTGCCATGGAGAAGTTCTCTGACAACCGGACACACCCGCCGTTTGTTGTGTTCTTTGTAATGATTGGACAAACGGAAAAATCAGTAGACAATTTAATGTGAAAATAATTACCTAACAATTTGTATGCAGAAAAAGTCATTCAACATTCGATTAAATGACAGAATGTATTTAATTGCTAACTACGTTATTATATCGACCATAGAATAGTGACTTCATATAAGACTGTTGATATCTTTGTTTCGTCAACTAACTTGCCATTAGCTTTCATAATGTTTCAAAAATTGTACGTACATCATATTCAATGTATCGTATTAACCTCGGATGCACAAAATTGATTTGCAGTTGATTTTATCCTATATTTTTAAATAAAAAAGGGAAGTTTATGATGGAAAAGGTGGAGTCATCACGTTTTGTTGTTAGGTCACCATTAATGCCTTAGCTAGTAATTAAAATATCACTATTTATGTACATGTAACAGTAAAACAGGTGTGTCAGACTCTGCGGTATATATTATTTCGAGTTCAAAAGGATATATTGAATCAAAGTAGTAATGAAAATGAGTATTATGTATAAACAAGACAATGAGGATATATATCAGTAAAGAGACAAAGCCTTTTCTTCTCATGTATAAGTTTTCAAAGATTTCTGATTTATATTAATACAAAAATAAGTTTGCTTAACCGTGTGGCAATTGGCACCCATGGTAATTCCAACTTAATCTAATTAAAACCAGACGTCTTAGATCTGCGCCATAAACACTCTTTTTTTAATTAGATGAGCTTAAAGTCTGACACATCTGTTTTATATTTGGATATTTTGCTTGAAAAAGACGTTAATGCTAATCTAATAACCTAGCTCTATGATAATCGTGATAACTTTAACTTTTCTATCGTCAACTTCCCTTAATTATGCAGCAATATACCTTCATAACCTGCATACGGAGTTTATGTATCTCATTTGATTCGATACGCAAGAACATGACTACCACGGTACGTATGAACAATTTCTAAAACGAGGTAAATTATTGACAAACAGGTTGATGAAGCAAGAATATCAGCAGTCTCGTTTAAAGTCATTTTGTAAGCTCTATGGTCGATACAATGACATTGTCAGCAAATACAATTTATCATGGAGTCATATGCTGACTGATGTTTTTATACTAATTGTTAGTCCATTATTTATACTCTGAATTGACGACGGATTTTTCCGTTATTTCCCGATTATGACTAGGAGCACACGGCTAGTGTGACCGGTCAGCAGGGAATGCTCAGTTCTCCATGGCATTTGATCCCTCCTCTGAAGTTTTGGAGGTCTGTGTTTGATTTACTCCTATTTTGTATTGTTTTAAGGACTTCAGATGCTGAATACTGGTCGTTATGTCCACATGTTTCGTTGAATTCTGACAGTTTCTTGGAACAACTACACAAATACTGTCATTCAGATATTCGAGTATCTTTTTTATTAAATATCAATTTCGAAGTAATCAGAATGTATTTAACAAAAATACAGTGACAAGGAAAGTAAGTTTACAAGTTTTTGCAAGTAACACGGTCACTGCTTCATCAATAGCAGGAACAAGGGTCTGTAAAGTGTCCAAGGTTTTAAGTGAAATTCTCTTTTTGCTTTAATCATAGTTTCCAGAATATTTCTCCTCGCTGTTATCCTTCCAGTCTTCATTTTCTTATATCCCCCGGAAGCATCGCTGTTAAATCTATCATCAGCATCATATGTTTGTATTTTTTTTTTTTGAGAATTCACTGTTAGATTGCCGAGTTCATGGACTTTACTGTCAATTTCTAAACAAGTATCACGGCATCTGTTGGAAATTTTCTCTCTCAATTTCTAGGACCTAGCCGAATTAAAATCATTGCAAAGTGTCTCTTACTTTTTTTAGTGATATGCTTTGTCAGTTCTTCACTCTGACTACAACAAAAAAGTTTTTTGCTCAGACTCACTTTGACACTGGGATATGGACATTTTTTAGCCTATTCCCCCAAATACCAAACCAATCAGTGCAGACTATTATAAATAAGGCTTATACAGCTCAAGAGAAGACTTCAAGTTTATTGAGAATTAACGTCTTTCATGGCATGTCTGTCTTTATCTGCAACTGTTCTATACAACTCAAACATCTACTATTCTGCCGTCAACTGCTTATATAAGGATGTGCCCATTTCTGAAATAGTAGTTGGGGCGGGGAAGGATGGCTTCATAAAAAGTTTAACAAGAATGCTAACAAAACACAACATAAAACAAACATTTAAATATTCCATAAAAAAGGAAAGATAAGAATATTTCGGCAGAAGATTTAAAGGTCTGTGCTTTCGTTTTAAACAGTTAAAGTCCGTCAAGTGCTATATAGTAGTAATAGGAGTAGATTGAATCGCTATAGAATTTATTTTCCTGATATAGAAGCTGTGCCTTTTAAGGTATTGTGTTTTTAAATAATCTTAAATTAAATACATGTATCATTTTAGATATTTATCGGTCAAGAACCACCTTAGTGGTAAATTTAAGCTTGTAATACTTCTACTTTCGTTTTGTTAGACATGGCCTCCAAAGTCGTCCATGATTGTTTATCTCTTTGTCATAAAATTTTTTAGTTCACATCGTTTAAAATAAGAAATCAACAAATGGTTTATTTTTGTGCCAATAAGAAAAATAGTCCAAGTATATACTATACATGGCCTTAAAAGTTTAGTCTTGAAAAAATAAAAATTATACACAGTGTATATCAATTGGCATATTGTTCTGACTGAAAATGTACACCTCTTGTCAGATAACCTGCACATGAATAAATATTACACAGATATATATATTTGTACAATGTGCTTCATTTTTTACATTGTTCTGGCTTTGTCGTTTCAATTTTAAAAAAGCAATGCAGTATTTATGCAAGAAAATTTTGTAAAATTTAAGGAAAAAAACCACAGTACAATACAATACAATACAATCTCATCAAAAATGAAACTTCGAATAAAGCTGGAGCATTTATTTCTGTCAGATTTTTTTAAAACGGGAACACCTCTGACAGTTTCCAATATAACTTACTTAAACACTGTTTTCCTATAAAGAATTATTTCAGTACTGAAATGATATACATGTACATGTAATTTGGTAATCAGAGTCATTAATCAACAACCAAATTCCTAAACTGTCCTTCAAAAATAAAATTTCATTAATCAATTCATGTAGATGGGAGACGGGTACTTTATGGTCGCTGCAATCGACTTCGGAACTACTTTCTCTGGCTATGCATTCTCAACATCTGCGGAGTTCAAAAAAGATCCACTAAAGATTCACGCTAATCAAGCTTGGGTATCCGGACAGAGGTACCTCTTGTCTTTAAAGACACCGACAAGTCTGCTGTTGGATAAAGAAGGGAAATTTGTGTCATTTGGGTTTGATGCTGAAAACCGATTTTCGGATATCGTTCTTGACGAGAAGGAAGATGAATTCATGTTCTTCAACAGATTCAAAATGAAGCTTCACAAAAATAGGGTATTTTTTCATGATTTCCAAGTGTTGTCATTAAATTTTAACAAAGTAACCTTGAAGTCGTATGAAACGCTCAATTCTTGTGCTTACGTTATTAATAAGTATTTTTTATGTCTCCAGGAACTGTCTCGAGAGATGATGCTCGAAGACGTTTCAAAAAAGAAATTCCCAGCAATAAACGTTTTTTCGATGTCCATTGAGGCCCTTAAAGACCACTTGATGGACACATTGAAAACACAAGGTTTAACCCTCGAACCAAACGAAATACGATGGGTTCTGACTGTGCCTGCAATATGGTCGGATCCGGCCAAACAATTTATGAGAGAAGCAGCGAAAATGGTCAGTGTCATGCAATTGTATTTTTTTTTTTTGCAACTACACGTGCATCACATTTTTGGAAGATGAATCAATATTTTCATCAAATTTACTTTCAGTGACAAGGACTTTTCAATTTAATTTCCAAAATAATTCAAACGCAAAAAGTGAACTTATTTTTCTCAAAAAGGATAACTTTTGTTGGAAGAAATTTTTAAATTTTAATCAGGCTGGTTTGCCAGATAGGATGTTACGTATTGCTTTGGAGCCGGAGGCAGCCTCTCTTTTTTGTCAACATCTGCCTGTGGAGAGGCTTGCAGGAGCCTCAAAAGGGTTTGGGGTCTCCCAGGAAGGCGCCAAATACATAGTCATCGATCTAGGAGGTACATGTATTGCCATGGAAATGTTAAGCAGTATATTAATTTATTCATTTTAAGATGATTACATTCAATTTCTGAGAAATTATTCATACGTTTTAATTCAATTCTCTTTGCATTGTGAATTCAGGTGGAACTGCTGATATCACAGTGCACGAAAAGTTAAAAGACAACAAACTAAAGGAACTTTTCAAGGCAAGTGGCGGTGCCTGTGGTGGAACAGCAGTAGATTCCCAATTCTTCCAGACGATGACAAGAATATTTGGTGGCGAACTCATGCACTGTCTACAGAGTGAGAAGCTCTATGCATACTTGGATTTAATGAGAGAATTTGAAACAGTAAAGCGTGTAGTGAAACCCGAAGATCCGGACGACAAGAAAGTTAATATCACCATTCCGTATGTGACTATAAATGATTTATGTAAAAACATACTTGAAGAAGATGTGAAAGATGTATTGAAACAATCAACACTTAAAGACGATATATCATCCATGGGTGACAAATTTCGCATAAGAGTATCCTATATGAAATCAATGTTTCAGAAAACAATTGATGAAATTGTACAACACATTAAATGCATCTTAGAAAAACCAGAAGCCAAGGATGTGTCAAGACTTCTTTTAGTGGGAGGATTTTCTGAATCCCAGCTCATACAAAATGCTGTAAAGAAAGCTTTCCCCAAAATGCACATCATCATCCCAGAAGACGCTGGCTTGGCAGTTTTGAAAGGAGCTGTAATATTTGGACATCAACCAGACTCTATTTCATCCAGAATCATGAGATACTCCTATGGTGTCCGAATCACGCCGGATTTCGAGGTTTCAAAACACAGAAATGACAAGAAATTTAAGGTAAATGGTGTCGCACATTGTGCAGACATCTTTTCGCCTTTCTTGAAAGCTGGAACAGAAGTCCCAGTTAACCACAAAGTGGTGGATGCCTACACAAGTACCAGACCGTTTCAGGACTCAATGCCAGTAGTGATATACTATTCCGAACAAGAGTCGCCCGAGTATGTCACTGATGAAGGTTGTAAGAAGCTTGGTGTCCTGGATGTTAAAATCCCAAATCCATCTGCAGAAGACCACCATTTGGCGGTTCAGTACCAGTTTGGGGACACAGAACTTCACATGCTTGCAGTGGAAGTTCAATCAAAAACGCCCTGTTCTGCCAAATTTAATCTTATATGACTGCTTTTCAAACCTTACCGTCCATCAATCTAATTTTTTGCATTTTACACAAAATAATTATTCTGTCTGCATGAAATATGTAGATGACGAACATTATCCAAACTCAAAGTGCATTTAAAGAATACAAATCTGGAGCAAAGCCAAGTTTACATAATTAACACAAATAAATGATATATCTTCATTGTAAAAATATAGACCCATAATGAGCACGTCTTAGATAAGGCACACTTACGTAAACATGAGTTGATAAAATTATACACAACTCAAACGTATTTTGCAATCAAAACTATTATGATGTACACTTTACATATGTGAAATATTTAAAAACGTGCTCCTATACATAGAAAATCAGGTTTAACAAACCATGTTTATAACTGTCAAGACGGTAACTGGGAGTGTTTTAGAACAAATGAAAGACATTGAAAATATATAATAAGTAATATACTAGTATGTAAAATAAATTTATAAATGAAATATATGTATTTTACGAACATTATTCAAGCTTAAATGTTACAATAAAAAATTGGAGCAGAGCAAACACGGACCTAAAAAAAATCAGAGGTGGAAGCAGGTGCCATGGAGTAGTGGGCATCCCCTGCCGACCGGTCCCACCCGCCGTGTGCTCCTTGTCATGATCGGAAAAACGGAAAATCTGTCGACAATTCTGTGTGTATAAAATGGCCTAACAATTAGTATGAGAAACGTCAGTCAGTATTTTACTTAAGATAAACTGTATTTGCTGACAAGGTCATTGTATCGACCATAGAACTTAGGAAATGGCGATTTAAAGGTGACTGTTGATATTCTTGTTTGATCAACTTGTTTGTCAATTATTTACCTCGTTTCAGAAATTGTTCATACGTAGAGCATGCTCTTGCGTATCGAATCAACTGAGAGATATAAAACCTTATGCAGGTGAAGAAGGTTTATTGCAAATACTTAGTAAAAAATACAGGATTTTTACATGTGATAAATATGCCTGACGTCACAATAACCATATCAGCCCTGCCAGGCTGATACGGAGCATTATCAAACCCCTAGTAAATTTAAACCTTTAAAAATAATACACATATTTTTGTGTTAACATTCTTTTAATTTTACATTTTTGATTGTAAGGATCACATAATTAAAAAATTAAAAACTGTTTCAAACTACAGATCGGGCATATTTGAAATAGAATAGTGGCGGATACAGAAATCTTGAAAAAAAAAAGGGGGGGGGGTCCCGATCACTTTGGGTTTATGATAGGGGTCCACAACCACTCCAATAAAAAAAACATAGATTTATCAAATTTTGTGTATTTTTTGGACACAAGAGCCCCCCCCCCCCCCTGTTTTTTGCCAGTGAAGTAGAAATGTACCCAAACCGTGTGAGACAACATGTACATATCAAGAAATCCTTGCATATTACATGTAATTAAATTTTCTCAAGTTGATTTGTATGTCTTATTCTCTATATATATTGCTGCATAAGTTTTAAGGGAAGTTGACGATGGAAAATTTAAAGTCATCACCTTTATCATAAAGCTTGGTTGTTAGATTACCTTTACCAAGTCTTTTTTCAAATAATATCAAAATATGAAACAGATGTGTCAGACTCTTATGGTATCTTTTACTTCGAGCTCACCGGGATATATCATATCAACATAAGAATGAAAATAACCATTATTAACCGACATCTTTTATCTTGTTCTTAACTTTTTAAAAATTTGTTTTATGGTGAAAGAATAACAATTGGTTTGTTTAATACATTTTTATTCCTGTTATGGAAGATTCAATGACTTTCATAAAATAATACTTGTAGAGTCACAAGAGTAACTCAGAGATCAAAAATGTTTGTATATGTTGATAACAAATAAAAAACAGTCTTCATTTATTTCTGTTTCTGTGTGCTTTCTTACATCACAAAGTATACACTTCTTTTATCGGTAGTTGGACCAGCTCAATCCATACAATCCACCAATCTGTGGCCCAAGGACTCGCAGGAGCCTGGTTTATGGTTTCTATGCTCACAATGCACCAGACTTGACACAATCTATTTCCTTCCTATCAGCTTTCTGAGCTGGATTGGATAATTTTCCGCATTTTTTCTGCATCCTCAAGCACCTGTTTATTATCAGGGTCTATCTTCAGAGCTGCTTCATAATCCTGTAAACCTTTGGAAAAAAAGAAATTCTGGAGTGATTAAAGCAGTAGTGACTTCACTGGTACATGCATAGAATGGGAAAGAAGATTTTTGAGTAAATCAAAGCCTAAACAATGAAATACTAACCTTCTACATACATCTCCAGCTCACAGAAAGCGGTGCCCCTGCGGACTAGAGCCTTACATCTGCTGCTGGCATTCTGAGGGACGGGGGGACTTAACAGGTCCATTGCCTAAACAAGTTTGAATCAGAAAATTAAAGGTAGTTAAACAAGTTTTAAAATATATATGTGAATGTGTAATGTCATTAATGCTCATATAAGAATTTCTTTTGGATTCTATTCAATATTTTTGTTTTGAATACTTCCTAGAGAGGATCATGAAAGCTTTGGAAGCTTGTACCAATAAACACATGCATTGTAACTGTGAAATTAAGAATTATTACAAAACTTTTTGTACATAGAAATTCTTTAATCAATGGAGGCAAAAATACACTGTACCTTTGAGCAATCTTCAATGCACTTAAAGAAATTTCTTGTCTTCAAATGGCAGGCTGCTCTATTTGAATACAATCTTAGTATGAATTAAGAAACTAATTTGGTAAAATTAATAGATGTACTTTAAAAAATATCATATAATGAAATCATTAAGTATTAAACAATGAATATGTTTTCTTTCAAAACTAATCGTTAAACATGAAAACTATGATAAAAAGGATACGATGGCATTTTGGGATTGAAGCGTAGGGCTGTGGTAAAAGCATTCACGGCAGCCAGGTAGTTTCCAGACTTGAAAAATGAACTGAAAAAAGTTTGTAAACATGGATGATATATAATTAAAATTCTGTTGTAAAATAGGCATCTATTAAATGATTTAAACATACTAATTGTAATTTTTCTTCCTCAAAATTACTTGTTGCTCACATATACCGGTATATTGGGAGATTATATTTTTGTTTTCTAGGAAACTTCCCTTGTAAATACATAACATAAATCAAGCAACAAAAGCTTGTGGCAAGGAAAAATGTAGAATTTTTCTGAAGGTGGAGATTTCTCTTTAATTATTTATCTAAAAAATATTTTTTCAAAATTTTTTTTCAATCATTTTATTTCATGCAAGACTCTCAAAGCTTTTTTTAATCAATACATATACATGTACGTCCTATCCTTTCTGGGCCATGATTGGTGTATCTTTTTGAATGAAGCAGTACATGGTGTTTACAAATCAAAAACCTGTTGTCTTCCAATTTCAAAAAAGAACATGATTCTAAGTGAGAGGGTACAAAGAGCAAGGAGCTAATGAAGTCAGACTAATTCCATTTTTTCTTATCATTAAATTTTTTCAATTTTAAAGCATTTTTAGCTTTTAAAAATCAGAGCTTGCCTATGTACCAAATTTATATTTCATGCACATATTCTTATAGCATATAAAAATCTCAGCAGGGCAAAGTGCTTTTTGATTTCCAATGTGAAAAAAGATCTCAAGTTTTGGAACGTTTCAATCGAAATTCACAAAATTTTGTAAAATGTTCTAATTTGACACCCTCTTGTATCCTCCAAAACTAGCATTATTTAAAGTTGTAACTGAAAACTATCACAATTTTGACTTTTAAATCAAATAAGGGGCTAAATTCGACATGTACCCTACTTTTGAAGTTACAATAAATTACACATTGTACAGTTTTATGTAATAAATTGTTTTTGAGGTTAATCCAGTAGCTGTAGTGAAAATTATTTTAACTAACTTGTTTAATTTTCATTAATTTGAAAGTTTTACAACTCTAGAGGATATAGAGGACAGACAAATCAACTACAGCAAAGTTTGTTTAGGAAATCTCTCACTCAGAATTTAGGATTATACTTTGTAAATTTCACTGGAATAACTGCTGATTTGAATATGTAGGTACATATCATTTATACTTTATACGTACACTCCCTTATCTCTGAGGTATATAGGATCTTTCTCTTCCTCTGTTAAGTCCTTGTCTTCAATTTCAGTAATTTTTCTGGCCTCTGCTTGTTTTTTCAACCACTAGATGTAATAAAAGTTATCAATTACAAACTGACACACTACATCACACAGTTTATACTAGAGGGCATATCTGTAGTTGAACAGTGAACAGACGGTGAAAACAGTTTGCAAAACTTTTATAACAAAATTAATACAGACTTCCCTGGTGTAATGCTTTGGTGGGATGTTTAAATAATACATCTTACAGTGAGTACCAGAGTGAGATGACTGACCTTGAGTTTCAATAACAGATTTACCTCTTCCTCCAGGTGGGACTGAGATTCTCTGACCGGTGTCGGGAATACTCGGGGGGTAAACTTAATCTCAATTTTACCAACATCTCTCGTCGGAACTCCATTACTTGCATCCTCAAAAATACTTTTACCTACAGAAAAGGAAGATTTAAGTCATCAAAGAATCAAATTTATCTATATTAACAGATGAACATTCAATTCATTAAATATAATTTCTATATATCATTCTATTATAAACTTACACATAAAACTCTATTTTAGAGAACCATTTTGTATGAATGATTCACAAATGTTAACTCACTTTTCCTTTTCTTTTCTTTCATCATTTCCTCTTTACGGGCAGCTACTTTAGCTCTTTCCTCTCCCATAATTCTGTTTTTCTCCTACAGATTATTAGTGCACATGCATTCAAAAATTAGAGTGTGAAAAAATGAGCATTCAAAATCATTTTCAGTTGCTTATAATATAGTTACCATTAAGCCTCAGAATTATATTTCATCCTAAAGCCAGCAATTATACAGAATATAACGTGAGCCTTGCTGAACTGGTTCTATATATTTTCACACTGTAAGTCTCCTCACATTATCTATATACGTACCTGTTCGGCAGCTTGTCTTTGTTGCTCTTTCCAAATTTCAAGTTCCTCCATGGCTTTTTTCTTTTCAGATTCTTTAATGTTTGCAATTCTGTCTCGCTCTTCTTGTTCCAGCTATATCAGACAAAACACTTAGGAGTGACTCTCTACTATAGTTCTCCATAATAAAAATCTAAACAAAGGATTCAGTAATTACAGGATAATGTCATCAACATGTGCCTTTACACTTATCTACCTTCATCATTTCATTCATGGCATATTTTTCACTTTCTCGCTTCTTCTCAGCCTTTTCTTTAGCAGATAATTCTGCCCTCTCCTGGTTTCGTTTGACGGCTTCATCTATTATTTGTCTCTTGAAATCTTTATCATCTACCAATAATAGAGGTTAAAATATTCATTTTTATCCAATATAGTAAAATATGCCTTTGACAAATAAGCATGGAGCATTATCTCTAGATGTAGTCACCTGCTTTTTCATGATGTAATTGATTCCATAGTTGGGGCTCTTTCTTCAGAAGTTTGAACACAACAGCCCCATTACCAATCTGTGCTGTACTGGAGACATCATCAATGCTCTCGCGAAGGAAACATTCAAAGAAGTAAGGTGGGTAGCTAACCTAAAATTTTGATTGGAAAAGATATTTATTGAGTCATAAATCCATAGAATATTACACAGTTGTTTTTAGTACTTTTTACCTCTCATAACACACCACAGGCGCAATAAGACCTGAAGACATATCGATCTGTGATGTACTTTGGTAAAATTGCAGAGGTATATTGTACTTGGTATGAAGGTCCCTGCTACTATAAAAATAATAAAAATGATCATGAAATAAAGTGCCGGTTTTACCTTGATGTAGTCCTCTGATGACAGTATGTCGACTTTATTACCCTTCACTCCTTTTAATGGCACGGTAAGGAAAACCATTTTCTCGGTTTCTTCCCATGTGTAATCTCTCACAGCTAAAGGCATCTTTCTAAATGAAATTTCTGACAATGTGTGATTGTTTACAATCACAACAAGCACAAGCTTGGGGTCTTCGTACTTCTAGAATGAACGAGTCCACCATAGTGGTTTAATCAACGAATCGCCGTCTTCGATACAAGTTAATCATCCAATGAAAACTGTCGCACTATCATGCGAGCGTTGTCTACGTAAATAAAAGAGCAGATAACTCCTACGACCATCTAAAAATGTACGGAAACTCTTTTGGGCCAAACCCGTATATGAATCAACTTGTAATAAATGTTGGAATAGTTTTAAAAATAGCACAGCAAAATATTGTTTTTGCTGAGTGAATGTTATATATATTTTAAAATCATAAATAGTTTTGGCATATGATTTCTTTTGTAATGGTTACACACTATATCGAAACTGGATTCTCTTCGGTAGAGCACCTTCATAGATGATGAAGGTGGTCCCGGGTTCGATTCCCGGTCTAAAGAGAATAACATTTTCTCATGCCCTGTTACAGATTTGGTACTAAATCATTGAATTAGCATTTTTTCATTTTAAAATTCATTGGAAATTATCTTTGCAGGGCCAACCAGACCTATATACTAGGGAGGATATACATGGTAGGGCCGTGGATATCGGCCTGGATACATGTATATTCACATTTTTCTTCAATTATACAAAGTACTGCTTCTTGTTGCTTCTTTTTAGCAAATATTTAAATATTCTCCTTTCCTGTAAAAAAATTACAGATTTGGTGCCGTTGAAAAAAATGGAATTGCAGGTGAAAGTCCTGCCAGGGGCAATAATCGATTATTGGGTTGTGTCCTCGAGGGCGAAGACCATTTAAGGAAAATGTAATGGTAGGGCCGTGGATATCGGCCTGGATACAAAAAAAAACATTGGTAGAGCACCTAAGAATATTCAAAAATGTTAATTGAAATTTCTTTTATAAAAAGTGGAAAATAATATTTTGTTTTCTGTTACACTTTTCACTTTCACAGGTAACGGGATGTTTCGCGCCGATGCATGGTTCGCACCGCGATGTTTCGCGCTCAGATGGTTCGCTCCACGATGTTTCGCTCCAACAACATAAAATGTATGCTATTTATTTCGTTCGTTTTGAAAGAAAAAATAAATAATAAACAAGAGGCCCACGGGCCTTATAGGTCACCTGAGTATTTGTAACAACTTTCAAACACTTGAATTTGGATTAAACCAGAGGCCATGAAATTCACAATTCACAATTTTGAAAGAGGCACCATTTTATCATAATTATTAACTTAACATGCTTACTCTATTTACTTAATACCCAGAGGTAGATCAGAGTAACAAAGAGAAAATCCACTTCCACTTTATACCCAGTTGTGCACCTCACCCTAAACGAACCACTGACCCAGGGGCCACATATTTCAAAATTTTGCAAATTTTAAAAAAATGGTTGATTAATACCAAAGAGCAGATTTAAAAGCATATATTTATTTTAATATTATGTAGTTCCCCCCTATGTACAATTTGTAAAATTCACAATTTCATAGGAGGCACTCTTGCTCATCATAACTATGTGCTTAGTTAGTTTATTTAAAAAAAGCAGAGAAGAAGATTTTCAAAGAATCTCTTATTTTCACTATGTTTGTTTAATGACACCCCCCCCCCAACACCAGAACCCTTAACCCTGTTTCCCATAAATTCACAAATCTGGAAAAGGCAATCTTGCTCATCATAACTATGTGCTTAGTTAGTTTATTTAATACTCAGAAGCAGAGGAGAAGATTTTCAAAGAATTGCATTTTCACTTTGTAATCAATAGAGCCCTGCCCTAACACCAGAACACCAGACCCTGGGGCCATAAAATTCACAATTTTGGAAAAGGCACTCTTGCTTCATAACTATGTACTTAGTTAGTTTATTTAATACCCAGGAGCAGAGAAGAAGATTTTCAAAGAAATAATGCATTTTCACTATATAATTCATAGTAGCCCCGCCCTAACACCAGAACCCCTGACCCTGGGGCCATAAAATTCACAAATCTGGAAGAGGCACTTTGCTCATCATAACTATGTACTTAGCAAGTTTATTTAATACCCAGAAGCAGAGAATTTTTTTCAAAGAATAAATGCATTTTCACTATATAATTCATAGAGCCCCGCCCTAACACCAGAACCCCTGACCCTGGGGCCATAGATGTTTTTCTGGAAGATGCACTCTTGCTCATCATAACTATGTACAATTTTCAGGTAGTTTATTTAATACCCAGGAGCAGAGAAGAAGATTTTCAAAGAATAAATGCATTTTCACTATATAATTCATAACACACAAGAAACCATAACCCCTGTTTTGGGGCCATAAAATTCACAAATCTGTCCTTAAGAGGCACTTTTGCTCATCATAACTATGTCTTAGTTAGTTTATTTAATACCCAGGAGCAGAGAAGAAGATTTTCAAAGAAATAATGCATTTTCACTATATAATCTATATAGCCCCGCCCTAGCACTAGAACCCCTGACCCTGGGGCCATGAATTTCACAATTTTGGTAGAGGACTCAATGTTCATTACATTCATGTCAACAGTTTGCCTGCTTGATGTCCAGGAGTAAAGAAGAAGATTTTTAAAGATTGCACTAATTTTAGTGGTTTTGGCCCCACCCCTCAGGCCCCAGGGGGGTGGGGACCATGAAATTCACAATTTTTGTTCCCCTTCACCTATGGATGCTGTATACCAAATTTGGTTGAAATTGGTTCAGTGGTTTCAGAGAAGAAGCTGAAAATGTTGAAATGTTAACACACGACACACGACGGACGACGACGGACGAAAACGGATAGCAATAGGTCACCTGAGTTACTCAGGTGACCTAAAAACACACTACTAGAAACTATTCTCTTTAGAGAATTGGACAGACTTTTACCTTCATGAATGGATGAAGGGGAAAGTCTGTCTACTTCTCTAAAGAGGACAACTAGAAACATGCCACTGTGGTACTTGTTACTAAATCATTGAATTAGCATTTTTTCATTTTAAAATTCATTGGAAATTATCAATGCATCCATACATGTATATTCACATTTTTCTTCAATTATGCAAAGTACTGCTTCTTGTTGCTTCTTTTTAGCAAATATTTAAATATTCCCTTCCCTTCTTGAAATAAAAATATTACAAATTGTATTCAGCAAATTCATGCTGAAATTTTGTTTCAAGTAGAGGGGCATATGGTTTACAGATCCAGGGATTAATTACCTTTGCTTCCAGGTCTATTAAATTAGATGCAGTGCTGTAGTGTTTTTTTTTAACATGACACCTAGAACTCATAAGGCAAAACTATTATGCAATTTTCAGCGTAAGGTTTTCTACGCATGGTTGGGGACATTTTCCTTCTTTCCATCTCCTTTGACATAACACACAAGAAAATACTTGTTTTGAAGGTTTATTTTATCCAAAATTTCTCATGTCCTTAAGTTCAGTTTTCCTTTCTAACAATTTCAAATTGTTACAAACAAAACAGCAGTTAAAGCAGACAAAAATTCAAATTAAAGTTTTGCACATTTCCAGTTAAATGGTACAAATGTATTATTTTTTTTTAAATAATAACTTTCATTTCAACAAGGTTTTTATGTGCAGAATTGATAAAACAACTTTTATTTGATCACCACTCAGTAGAATATCTCTTCAAAATACATTTTACATGTATATAAACATTGGCAAGAAAAAACACAAGCACTTGACAGTATTACCTCAGCAGGAGGATAATAAAGATATTGTTATATCATTATGTCAAAAATAAGCAAAATTATCAACATTATACTGCAACTGAAATTATGCCTCTGTAGAAGAAGTTGTTAATTCAGATATGGAAATCTGATAAAAGAATTGCTTGAAACAAGTTCACCTCATGGCCAGTAAGAAGGAGACACTGCCATACCCCCACCCGACCCACAAAAATCAAAATACAATTGATGTTTTCAAGTATGATACTTAAGCAATACTGAGATTGTTCCTCCCGAGAAAACACACACATTTACAAAAATACTTTAATATCATTGTTGGAGAAATAACTTAATACCAAGTAAGATGACAAAAAACAGAAGCAAAGAGGATTTAAAATGTCTATAGATTTGATCTAAAACAAATCTGACTTTTTAGTCATAACTTATGGAACTCGAAAGCCATTTTTTTGGGTTCTCTTTTACAGTTACTTGTTTCAAAAATAAATGATACATATTTATAAAAAATTATACAAATTCCTTTCATTTTATCAACATTCCATGACATTGTTACACACATCTATAAAAGCTGTCAGTGCATTATTTTCCTGTTTCTTTAAAGTGACTGATCTCTTATCATAAATTATTGAAATGAATACTATAAGTACACATACTATACAATTATGGACTCTTTTGGTGTTGAATATGGTTTGTTATTCACCAGAAAAATATTCATATTGACTGAGGCGAAGCCGAGGTCAATATGGATATTTTTCTGGTGAATAACAAACCATATTCAACACCAAAAGAGTCCATAATTGTTTTATTATATAGTGCGGATTTGAATAAATAAGACATTGAAGGCTGTATGGCGACACCATTTTCATTTGCGATCTTCCATTGTTGAAAATAAAAAAATCTCCAGATAACTGTTTGTAACCTCTGTGTTTTCCATTCCGAGTTTCGCTATGTGTAAGACGTCCAAATGTTAAAAAATAATCCTGAAATAGGTTTGAATAATTGTTTTCCTGCTCAGATACGTAGCTCGCTGCGGCCGTTGCAACCACTGTTTACAACGTTGTTTGATGTTTTTGATTGTGATGTCACAATGCCGTTGCACACGCAATGACCCTTCAGTGAATACGGCCTCAAATCCAGTGAATATGTAGTGTTATGAACTGTTTGCGTTTGTATAGATTTATTCACCATGTAAACCATTATACATGTATTTCTAAAGTGCACTTCAGAGTAAACTCACGAATGATAATTTTACTCAACACCAATTGAAAAAGATATCTAAATAATGCCCATGGGTTGGAATGTTTCATTTTACACTAAATACATGTACATATATTAACTGTAAACAGACAAAGTAAATAATTCAAAAATATCTGCAAAATTTCACTAAAATCACTTGATTAAAGCATCTCTTGAAAGATTTTACAAACAAAACTTGAATATTCTATCATAAATGTGTATCTTTGATACTCTGACATAAATGTGGTAAAGCGTTCCCTTCAAAATAAAAAATATTTGAATGTTACACACTACGTTCTTTACTAGAGATTTCCAAAAAATATACTAAACTTACTGCATATAAATTAGTAAATATTATGCATAGCAAAATGAAAACATCTGTTACATGGACTAAAATTGTTCTTATTATTCATAAAATGGCAAATACTGACAAACAAAATGTTTGGAATGCTAGTACAGTAATAATTTAATAAAGAATCTGTTCCATATTACCCTGAACAAGTCAATAAAAGTGTAAAAATCTAGACTAGACCCCCAATGTTTCCAACACAGAAACATGAATGATAATATAAATACAGGTAATAGTAAACATACACTCCCTTTATGAAGATAGTCACTTGTATGTAAAATTGGCACAAGAAACCCTGAAAGCACAGTTAGATATTATAAAGTAACATTAAAACATTTCTTAATCTGTCTCCACTTTATGTCTCTTATCCATCACTTTCAAAAACCGATGGAGAAAAACCCTTAACCTATACAGTAGGAAGAACATACTGTGCATCATAGGTGCAACAATGAAGCTAATAGCTACAATGTAATACAAGGCTTTTAGAGGGGATTCCCCATAGTTGAGCACTTTGTAAATAAAAGGTTCTCCATACTGATTAGTTCCCCCTAGGTACCAGTAAATAACAGAGAAGGCACTGTAGATCAACCCAAAGATTACACTGTGGATCATGTGCATCATCCGCATTGGCATCCGAGTTATCCAAAGATCTAGAAACACAGCTACAGCATTGGCCCCATGTGTGGAACAGTTAATAAAGTTTACACCAGAACCTGTGAACAAATCATAAAACTTCATGTCAATATTCTATTATATACAGGAAATCAACAGGTGTTTTATGAATATTTATGCTTTTCTAACAAATCATACTTTAAAATATTTGACATGAATTTCTGGATAGTTTACCGTCATAAGCTATAGTCCAAAATAGGAAGGTGACTATAGGGGCACTTCCTGTACTGAGGTTGTACAACACCCACTGAACTTTGATCCGCCCACTACTTTTCAACTTCAGATGAATATCTATTAAAGGAATGAAAACAGTAAATCATATGCAGATAGTGAGAACCTGTCAGTTTTAATTATTTAATTCTACTGTACATATTTGTAAAATATACTACTACATGTAACATCACTAATATCTTAGTTTCTAAGTTTACATTTGATTGAATATCAGTATTTCTACAGACAAAAATTTTTGTGGTAATTATTTCATCCAACACGATAACACACAATTATATAGTAATCAGTTTCTAATTCACACATATAATTCTGGTAATCCGTTTGTGGTTTTACCTTGGTTGATGTTCCTGAGCTGAATGTAATGCCACACATTAGCTGCTCTGAGGATTTGGCAAGCTGTCAGAAGGTAGAAAGACCAGTAGGTAAGCATGATCAACATTTTGGCCTTCAGAGTTCCAACAATTGCTGTGTAGAGCACCATGAATACAAAATAGCATGCCATCAATATCCGATAGTAGAAATAGGGCCAGGGGTTTGAAGTCCACTATTCAATGGGAAAAAAAAAATATTATGTCATCATTTCATTACATGGAGAAATGTTTGCAGTTTGAACTTTCTTGGAAAACACCATGATTCATGATTTTTTTTTCTTCCATAAATTTTAAATTCAAAATCAAATCATTTAAATATTTGCCCCCCCTCCAAATAATGATGTACAGTTTTATATACTGTATACAGGGTTATTTTCGCCCCGTGTTATTTTCGCCCTTTCACACTTGCAAACAATTTTGTCCCATTTTAAATTCGCCCAATTATAGTTTCCTTTAAGAAATCATAAGGTATTCTTTGAATTCGCCCAGTTTTAAATTCGCCCAAATGAGGATAGGGCCAAAGGGGCGAAAATAAAACGGGGGCGAAAATTTCCCTGTATACAGTATTTCACATATTAGTTTAAAATTTGGCTAAAACTGGAACCTGAGACAAGAGGTAGTCCTCTGGGATGTCATATTCTAAATTGTATTTAGGTTCGTAAGGTTTGATGGTCTTCAGGGACCCCTCACTGGGTTGTCTCCCTTTCCTGTCTGTTAGGGAGTAGTAGGCATATCTTGTGTAGGTTCCTAAGGCACCCCTGGCCACCCTCACCCCACCATTGGTGAGGTGGACAAACTTAGCTGCCACTTTAAACATACTGTCTTCTTATATGCTGAAATTAAATAAAACAAATATTATCATTCCCGACTTTGAAAAACAGTTGTGGAAATGTATAATGCACCAATAAATATGCTACCACAAGGCTATATCTATTTTAATATATCTACAGTCCTGTATTAAGTTATGGCATATTTATCTGAATCACAAGGCCAACAGATGCTTAAAAAATTTACTTCATGGTCAGGGATACACTAAAAGGTCTGGTGTATTATTAATGAATAAAACAAGGACCAGCTTTTTCTAACATGCTTTAATTGTGAGTTTCACAAAATAGGTTTAATACAATAATAGACAGTATATATATGTCAGTCAGGTCTGTTTCAATGTCTGCATCTTTACTAATAACTATACCAAATGGATTTCTCGACAATATTCTTTGTTAAATACTCGTATCAGGAGAGCTATATCATAAATACACTGTATATATTGTATGTTCAATGCCATTCTAAGTTAAATTTCCCAATTAATTACCTGATCCTTGACTTAAGAGTTCCAGAGTTCAGAAAAAAGTATTATATCAGGAAGTTGGTTATACAGGGACTTGTTGACAGAACTAAAGACGAACACCATCTTATCACTGCTTTGATTTTTTTTTTCAAGAATTAATTTCTATTTGTCATGACTTATTTATCATGTGAACTTGCTAAAAACTGAAAAAGGAAACTATGCTAAATAAAATTAAAAAATAGTAATGATTTAAAAATAATTTTTAAAAAATAAATCTGATTAAAAAAACATTCATTAGACATACATGTACATGAAAAATACCTGACGTGTAGAATCAGATAAAGTAATACATGTATTTGATAATTGATAATTAACATTTACAGTGCAATGAATTCTAATAAACACTGAACACAAATCTAGACTACAATTATGAAAATACCTAAATTTAAAGAAGGTATTCACATATCCTCTAGTCTATATTCCAAATTGTTAGAATACACTAATCTTATTTAACACTTAGGCCAGTTAGGGGAGGTTCGGTAATATTTAAAACAAACAAATACTAATACCAATGTATCAATGTCTGTCTACACTGCCGGTAACATACATAGAACACAAGGTGTTCTTACCTTGTAACTGAATATGTACGCTTCACTGAATACATGTAAATACTTTCTAAGTTCACAATGAATAATTTTTCTCAAGGCAAAATGATTTGTGTAGTCCACAATCCTCCTAAAATAATAGGTCTATATGATACCAATTTTTTACCCCCATTTTTCATTATAATTTATACATAACAGTTTTTCTATAAATAAATTTACTCATATACCGTGTACATGACATAGCCAATCATTTTCCATCCTTTGAAGTATCCTCTTGTTACACATTCAGAATACTTAGTGCACTGTACTTTATCAGGTACAAAGTTCAAGTTGTGAAATATGAAGTGCCTGCAGCTGATGAAACTGCTGAATGACATAATCAACTAAATATATAACATTTTCCTATCTAATACAGAGTACAGCTGTAATACAACTGATAGTCATACACATTCCATGGTATTGTAATTATGTTCCCCAAACGAAGTTGGGGAACATATTGTTTTTACTCTGTTTCTTATTATTATTATTCTTATTATTATTATTTTTCTTCCTGGGAAAATTTTGTCCGCGAGTGATCTTGTAAACTACACATCCGACTTAGGTGAAACCTTTTTAGGGTAAGTAGGCATGTTATGTAGATTTGCGGAATCAAGGTCATTTTGCGCGCACGTGCTTGCAAGAGCGCGCACGTGCAAAACTTAAAAAGACCAATATAAAATGGATATAACCGTAACTTTTCTATTTTGTGACGAAATGTTTTGAAACTTATAATGTAAGGATAAATTAGTAGTAAGCACAAGATGACATGGTCAAAATAGCAAGATCGCACGCGCATGCACGTGCGCTTCGCTCTGATTGGCTGAAACTAAAGTCTCAATATCTTTTTTGTTTTTTGATAAAATCATTTGAAATTTTGAACATAGTCATATATTAGGGAGATCTACAGCCTGTATTATAAGATTTATCATGAAAGCATGTGCATGCACATGTGCTTGCAAGAGCTCGCACGTGCAACACGAGAAATGTCCAATATAATTGATACAGACGTAACTATTTAAATTATTGATGAAATGCTTTGAAACTCATATTATAAGTATATATTAGAAGCATAAACAAAATGACATGGTCAAAAAAGTAAGATCTCACGCGCATGCACGTGCACTTCGCTCTGATTGGTTGAAACTAAAGTCTCAATATCTTTCTTGTTTTTTGACGAAATCCTTTGAAATTTTAAACATAGGCATGTATTAGGATATCCTACAATAAGATGTATAGCAATTATCATGAAAACGCGTGCATGCACATGCGCTGCAATCTGATTGGCTTATGCTTTAAATAGCTATAACTCCCTTGGTTTTCAACCAAACAGGATGGGATTTGGAACATAGATAGATATAATGGACTTCTACAAGATGGTATAGTCATCATGCACATGCATACACGTGCGTGTACGTGCACTGCAATCTGATTGGCTGAAACTTTAAACAGCTACAACTCCCTTGGTTTTCAATCAAACGGGGTGGGAATTAGAACATAGATAGATGTAGTGGACCTCTACAAGAAGGTATGCCATCATGCTCATGTATGCACGTGCTTCTACGTGAAATGAGTAAAATCAAAAATACAGTTTAATGAGCGTATTTTTTTTTTCATACTTTTGGATTAAATACTTTAATATTTAGTATATTGAAATATATAGATTGTATAGACAAGATGATATGGTCTTTACGCACATGCATTCACATGCGCACGCGTGGAATTCTAAAATTTGAATGAACTTGGTACTTTCTGGGTAAATGTTGTTAAAGCCTCAAATGCATAGAGTTTGTCTTATTTAATGAAGCTTAGAGGGAATGTGGCACCAAAAGGAAGTTGGGGAGCGTTTGGGGAACATCTGTAACGGTCCCCGTTACAATTAGCACTAGTTCTTTATACTTTTGGATTTAATACTTAATATTTATTAGTATATAAAAATATATAGATTGTGTAGACAAGATGATATGCTCATAACTTGGTACACTTCTGGGTAAACGTTGTTAAAGTCTCAAAAGCATAGAGTTTGTCTTATTTAACGAAGCTTTCAGGGAATATGGCACTCAAGGGAGTTGGGGAGCGTTTGGGGAACATCCGTAACGGTCCCCGTTACAATTAGCACTAGTTTGTAGTGTATTACGTAATTAAAATTCTAAAAAATATTTTATAAGTAGCAGAAAATCCATAAAATATGATCTCTCATTCTTCATTTATCCATACTACCAATGGAAACAGGGAGATGAAAGGGGGGATAATTGAAACTATATACTTGTACAATAGTACATGTATAATTTTTAACTATAATACAATGATCATCAGATTTAAATTGAAGTGATAAAATTTTTCACTTAAATAGAACATTTAAGTGTTTCTTATTGAATGTCAATAGTTATAATCATTATTTTGCCATGCCTATTTCTTAAGAATCGAGAAAGCAATACTAGCATTTGTTACAATATTTTAAGAATCTCTCTTTCTCTCTCTCAGACTAAGGCAATGTATGTTTTGCTGACTGAAATGGGAGATTTTAAGAAGTTTGGAGAGAGAATGAAAACATGTGTATCAATCCAGCCCTTGTTTACCTGGTATTCATGTAGATTGTCAATGAGTCAATCCCATTTTTTTTTTTTTAATTATTTTAAGAATTCTTATATGTGCATTAAGTTTTCTTTGACATAGTCATCAAAGAAAAAAATTATAACCAGTATGGAATTCTGATTAAAGTGGTACAATTTAAAAATGACATGAATAATTATAATCATTACTTAATATATTTAACAATTAATTACCCCTTTTGAGGTCAACATGGTGAAATTAGGACCCGAGACCTGACCCATGAGGTGACCTAACCTGACCGAGGCCGCGTAGCAGTAGAGGTCAGGGCAGGTCATCGAGTGGGCCAGGTCAAGGGTCCTTATTTCACCATGTTGAACTCACAAGGGGTAATCAATTGTTTCATTATATCGCTATATATTGAAAAGTATGAATCTCTAACCGTTATATCTTTCTTTGATCGGGATCGGGATTCTCTACACTCCGTATAGTGAAGTTGTTTACATTGACGTCTTCAAGTTGTGTAAGTTTTTGCATCATGATTTACTGATCAAAACAATATTTGGTTGATAGCGACATACATTGTTATAACTAGCGATTAATTACTTTCCCTCTACACAGTCAAAATCTTAAAGAGCCGCTTCTACATTATGAGTAAACCGTTTAAGTTAACGATAAAGTTTAGCATATTCTGTATGGTAATACAAAACAGACCATGCACAATTTTAATAAAGTGCCACGCCACAGCATGATACGCCCGTCAAAAAATTACAATTATAATGTATCTTAAACAGTTAAAAGTGCAGGAAAATCATGTCAACCTTGATTTTAAGATTTCAATGATTTTTACACACCTTAAAAAATTTGTTTATCCATCTCATGTGGTGTAGGCATTAATTATAACAAATATTGCATCATTCATAGATTTCTATACCTTGCCAAATGCCTATCATGTTAAACAATATCAAATTAATCTTCACAACTTAATCTATACCTAATTAATTTTGGAAATAAAAGGCTGGCCATCAAATATAAACTGACCAACAGTTCTTCTGTCTAATTCCCGAAGGAGACAATTAAGAGCATGCTCTGAAGTAATGAAAGAGACATGCAGCTAGCCTTCCTACATTGAACACATTAATTAATCTTTAACTGGATGCTTGTCTACTCATTACTCCCAAAAGATTATTGGATCTGCACTATCTACCATAAAACATTTTTAAAACGTATAAAACATCAATGATTTTTTTTTTAGATTTAATGTCAGACAGTTAATTGTTAATATGCAATTCACATGGACATGCAGATTCAACCCCTACCCCCATAAAATTAATTTTTAAGTTCACAATATTATGTAATAGTTTAATATGCAATATCAAATTAGTTTTAATTACTTCTCATCAAATTCATTTTAAAACTTTGGCTATCCAAGAAGAGCTATTTTTAATCCAAAAGGCTTACCCATTTGGCCCAATACTCAAGGGATATAGATAGCACTGATGCTCTTACAGCTACTCCTCACACTAAACTCATTAATTTCTCTCTCTAATTTGACATGCAATTTTCTGTTATCAAAATTCTTCTTGACCAGTGCTTGATAATTAGACTCATGGGAGTGGTGGAATTTCTCTAACATACATTACATTTGTTATAGATTGCTGTCAAGTATATATGCTAAAAAAATAAGTATTTTCTTAATTTAACATTTTTCTAATAAGGTTAGTGCAATAGTTTTACATTTTTTTGAATGTGTAAATGAATAGAAAAAAAGACATTTCTTTTTAAAAATTCCACTTAAATTAAAGGTCACAGTGACCTTGAAATAGGTCGCGACACACCTTCTACCTAAGATGCATAAACTGGCCAAGTTTGATGATTCTAAGTCTAATAGTTTTCTAGTTATGAACCGGACAGGATTTTTCCATATTTGGCTATAACTTTTTAATTATAGGTCAGAGCGACCTACTTTTTGTGCGCGACACACCTTCTACCCAAGATGTATCAGCTGACAAAGTTTGATAACTCTAGGCCTTATAGTATTCAAGTTATGAGCCGGACACGAGAAAAGCTAACAGACGGACAGACAGACAGACAGACAGACAGACAGACGGACGGACACGAAGCCTATAACATAATACGTCCCGTCTTAAGACGGGCGTATAAAAACATGTTGTTTTTCTCGAATAATCATTATTTTACACATTAACTTCACTCAAAAGGAATTTTTGATTAAGAGGTCATTATTTAGCGGTCATTAATAATAATGACCAGGTCATTATATCCCACGCGCAATGATTCCTAGGTCATTATTGCTGTAAACAGTACCATTTGGAGTCATTGTTGTGTTTTAAAGTTTTCTTACCTCCCAATCCAATTCGAGTATTATCAATAGAGGTATACTAATAATTTATATTATCTCTGTTCATACAGTCAAGGGACATATTTATTCGCCACTTCCGCGCAAATCGCATCATGTTTTCTCGCATGTTTGGTAAAGTAGGGCTGAGAGCTATTTTTAGAGAAAAGATTTTCCCATTCTATTTTTACCTTTGTGTTGTGATACTAAAATTGATGACGTATACACAATATTTTTGTCATCTGCTATATTGTTTGGCGATAAATTTATGTAAAAACAACATGGGTAACAAGGGGAAAGAATTAGATGTGTCCGTCAGAAATATGGTGTAGAAGCGTATAAAAACAACAGAAATACATCAGAATTGGCGAGAATATTAGGAATCCCCAGGTCTACAATACGTTGTATTTTTAAAAAGTTTGATGAAACGGGACAGGTAGAAAATCGACAAGGAAGAGGGAGGAAGACAGTGTTTACAGACAGAGATAAAAACAAACTTTCACGTGTAGTTAAAGAAAACAGACGAAGAACTTACGAGGACATTACAGGTATTATAAATGAGGAAAACGATCATAGATTTTGTACTAGAACTATAAAAAGAAAAATTCAAGAGCTGGGATACAAACGGAGGGTTGCCAAGAAAAAAGTCGCTATTTGTGAGGCCAACAAAAAAGCTCGCTGTAAGTGGTGCAAGGAGAGAAGAAATTGGACTGTTGATCGTGAATGGAATAAATGGGTGTTCAGTGATGAAAGCCAGAGAGTAATTGGAAAAAATAAGAAAGTTTATATCTGGAGAAAAGACGAGGAAAAGTACAGTGCGCAGCTTGTGTGTCCGCCATCTCGACGACAGCTGAGTATCATGATCTGGGGTTGTGTTTGTATAAAAGGAATGGGAACTTTAACTAGTGTAGAAGGTAACATAAATGCAAGAAAATATATTGAAATATTAGACAACAACCTTTGGCCCATTTTAGCCAGACATTTTCCAGATAACGAGTATGTATTTATGGACGACAATGCTCCCATTCATAGAGCAAATTTAGTAAAAGAATACATCGCCAATAACAATATAATTATAACATCATGGCCTGCCCAGTCCCCTGATTTAAATATCATCGAGAACATTTGGTTAAAATTAAAAAGAACACTGGAAACCCGTGCCAAATTTATTAACACAAAAGATCAGCTGATGGCGGAAATTCAGACTGCTTGGGAAAATATACCATCCTCCGACATTGAGGACCTGTATAAGACAATTCCCGGCAGACTAAGGCCAAAGTTTTTATTTTTTTTGGTTTACGATTTTTTGACACAAAAATATGCATTGGGCGGTCGAAAAATAAAAATAAAAGTAATTTGGAACCTTGACATATTTTTTTCTCGAGTAGCACTGAAATGTATTCAAATAAAAATAATAAACACATAAGATTTTTCAACTTTTAAAATTATTTTTCTTACCATTCAGTTTTAAGTCAAGAAAAATGAATTACACGTGAAATGACTCAAGGACAGAAATGTGAGTATCAGGCTCTGTTACTGTTGATGGTTTTAATTCTTCCGGGTTACAAGTCTGAGTTTCCATAATAGACACATTGCACTGGGACAGATATGGGTAAAATTAAGAAATTGGCTATTCTCTGGTCAGCCTTTCCACTTACTAAAAAAAATTTGGAAACTCTGAAAGTGATGGATTGCTTTCACAACAAACCTTTACCTTAAGATGCGTGTGTCCAGGGACCAACCTAGACCCATGAAGGAAACTTCACTTCTCCCTCAAAGAAATTTTAAGGAGAAGTTTTGAAATTTAGGGAGACTTCTTGGCGCCTATTCGTGGCACACTTTAATCGTTATAAAACTATTTCATTGTTTAAAACTTACATACATTTCAATAATTTTTCTGTAAAAACATTGTATTTAAAATGATTAAAAAAGAGAAAAAGAATCTTAAAAGATATTTCCCCCAATTACAAAGTATATAAATATCTAGAAAAAATAATAAAACAGCATTGACATTAAATAAAATTCACTACAACTACTATTAAACTGTAAAAGTTTCTTATTGTCAGATTAATGTTGTCTATCAAAACATTTTTTTTCATTTCTTATATACACTGTTCAGAATTCAGAATTCAGAAAATTTTATTTTGAGTCGGATTATTATAACAGCAACATAAGCTCTGTAGAGCTTTTGACCGACATTACTGTAGTAGTAAAATTTCTCTTCTCATTAGATTTCCAGGCTTTTGGCATAGTCATAATTTTGTTAATTTCTCTTCAAACTTGTTTTCAATACAAAATTCTTTTTCTAATAAAAGTTTTGATGCAAACCTGCATGCCGATTGAACAGCTACTTATGTTTATCGAATCTGTCTTCTGATGTGTAACCTCTTAGAAAGCTAATAACTTCACAATTTATCAGTAAAAATATGTCTGTATTCACAGCATGAATTAATTATTTGACAATAATAAAGATCTAAAATCTTCTCCAACATCTTTGGCATGACATCTACAGCTGTCCAGCTATTTTGGATCTTGTTGTGTATAACTTGTAACGATGGACTTTTTCATACCCGGAAGTGTAAAATCTAAAGGAGTTCCGACGGGGTATTCAACCGATGCATTAGCTGGTCATTGGCAATGTGGTTTGATAATCTGTATTTGTGGAGTTCATTGAATTTTAGTGAGGGTTTGGGTTAATGATTAAGAAGTGTTGTAAATTTTGGTTTGGTCGAGAAAATTTCGAGTCTGACACATTATTTTTATTTTCGTAAATAGGGAAAAATAGGGTCGGCGGAATCGTAAACCAAGAGAAAAAAAACTTTGGCCTAAATGAAGTATTAAAGATGAAAGGCAATTTAACAAAGTATTGAGGTAAGATGGGCATTTATTATTTTTTAAACAGCTCCTAAATATCAAGGTGCGCGATGTAAAAATTTCGGCGGCCATTTTGAAGTGGCGAATAATTATGTCCCTTGACTGTATGTCTGTGTTTGTGCCAATAAATATCACATTCATAAGTTTATTAATATAAAATACATAACTTAAATAATTCCCGCCAAAAATGTTTCCATTTAAACAACGTTGTCACGAGTGTTGGTCACATGCCTTTAAGTCAATATGCCAACAACTACAACGCTTATCAGGAAATGTGTATTCTGGACTATACTACAGTACTTCATTGTGGTACACGTCACTGAGGGGGCCGACTTACTGTGCAATGGGCCGCTTGGTTATGATGTCTCGGCTCTCCTTACCGGGTATGAACTATGACGTACTGTACTTTCTAAACATCAGTTTTTACCAAGATCCGGAAATATGCTCTAGAAACGATTAAACTTGCTCAAAGCATATGTATGTTAACTTCATTTTTGATTTTAACAGGTGTTAATTTTTGAATAACTTTTTATTTGAGGATACTTAATCCGTAAACATCGTTTAATTTTAGGCCTATTTATAAAACTGACCATACTGGTTCGACATATTTGCCCTTTCAGTTTATAGAGCTTAATATTTATTTAATAATGCTGAACATCAGCAATTTAAAGTGCAGTTGCATTTTCTTCATAGAATTCGATAATTTTGAGTAAAACGTACCTTATAGCAAGCCTGTTCTTTTTCAGTAACATGGATTGTGTTCCGCCATGATGTGAGGCTCATGATGTCGTTGGGAATATTTTTGTTTTGATAAACCACGTGACCTGTAATCTGACCTTCATAACATATTAGAGTTATTGCCCTTTATGCAGAGATATTTATTTTTTTTAAATTATCTATTTTATTTATTTTTTGCTCGGAAACACAGATTATTTTTAATTACTTATTTTATTTTATTTTTTGCACGGAAATACATATGAATTCTTTTCTCTAAGACACATTTAGATTTCAAACCTTTTTTTAAATAGTACTCTGTTTATAATTACAAAAAATTCAAGTCTATATGCAAGATTTTTTTTTTAAATTAAAAAAACAAAAACAAAACATTTGCCCACCCAGCTTGAAAAATTCAGGTGTCTGAGTACATATTAAAAAAATGGTCTTATTTGAGATTTATAGAGACGTGCATGATTTGCCTGTACATAAAGAATTTAATTTACTACAATAGAACAGAACAGAACTAAACATTTTATGTGTAATACATTTAATTATTGTAAAATCAAGACCAAAGTAAATTAGTTCAACAGTTTATTTGCATGTATATCTATTTGTTCAAGAATGTTTGTTTTTCTTGTAAATTTTTCTGAGGGCACATGTAAAATAAAATAAAATACAAAGCGGGTCTTTCACAACTTTATCATAATTTCTCAAGTTCAGGCACTTTTTTCATTAGGGTATATATCTATGTGAAATATATATATATATATATATATATATATATATATATATATATATATATATATATATATATATATAGGGCCCTTAAAATATCCCCGATGCAATAAGAACATTAGTCAACATACACACATAAACACAATTGTTGGGAATAAATGTACAGTAGTTTGAAAAATGATTTGTACAATAAAGGGTTAAAGCAGTATGAGCTGCAACTTTGATGTCCGAAATTTTAGTTGCAAAATTGTAATAAATTATTTCAGTGAGAGACAAAAATTACATTTAAAAATTTTCTTTTGTTCGTATTTGTGATTGAAGAACTATTTATAAGCTTTGATTGAAGCAAAATTACATTATTGTCGTCCTGTACAATATTGATTTCTCACATAATACTATATATTCGATTGTACAGAAGTCTTTCCTCAGAAGATTTTTTTTAGTCTAATTCATCATAAAGGTTTAAATTACATACAGATTTATTATAATAACACATTTTAAGAGCAAATTAAAAATCTCAACTAGAACTGTCCAATAGGGACAAATACCCCCGCTGGGTTTTTCAGAGTAGGTGCCAATTTAGAAATATTTTATGGATCTAGTAAGAGGTATTCACTATTGTCTAATAAAGTGCCTTGCCACAGCATGATATGCCCATCAAATATTTTTCGATAACCATAAATTGGTTAGGGTGCAAGAAAATTAAGTAACCTTGATTAACAGATTGACACAGATTTCAATGATCTAATTTCCATTTCTTATCATGTTTAAAATATTGTACTTACATCTCTAAGAGACTTACAGTGTAGGAATTAATTAAAACAAATAATACATCATATAATTCTAAACTGGCTGTGTTAGAGCTTAACAAATATCCATCTGCAGCTTTAAATTGTTTATTGCATATTTTATGAAATAATGGAAATGCTACAGTCTAATAAAAAAAAATCAAAAATTAATTATTCTTTAGACTATAAAATTCTAAGTGAGACATGACTGCAATTTGTTGCAAATATATAAAAATTGAAATGTAATTTTTTTTCAATGAACACATGTATAATTAATTTTAATTATATTATACAATACTAATTCAGTTTTAATCATACACTAAAACATCAATTTGTTTTAATTACATTACACCAATTGAAAGATCTTTATCTTAACTACAGCCATCAAGAACTCTTAATTAACACAAGCAACTATAAGGCCATTTCTTTTTGCCCAACTCCCAAGAGATAAATTAAGATAAGATCTAGAGATGCTCTTGCCAGTTAACTCCCGACAATGAACTCATTAATTTCTCTCTAATTTGACATGCACATTTCTGCTATCAAAAATTCTCCTTGACCAATGCTTGATAATTATGCCCATGGGACAAACTGAATTCCTCTCAAATCATTAACATTTGTTATAGAATTTGCTGTAAAGTATATGGTAAAAAATAAGTTTTTACTTAATTTAGCATTTTTTAATAAGGATACAACTATATTTTTACATTTTTTAGGATTATGAAATTTAAAATTTTAAAGACTTATTTTTTTTAAAAAATCACTTAAATTTAAGGTCACAGTGACCTTGAAATAGGTGGTGACACACCGTCTACCCAAGATGCATAAATTGTCCAAGTTTGATGATTGTAAGTCTAATAGTTTTCTAGTTATGAGCCAAACAAAATCACAAAATAAAAAAGAAAAAACGCCTGTAAAATGCAGAAAAATCATCCAATCATGATGAAAATCCCAGGTGCACACCTTCATATGGTGAATAATAAGTGTATAAATTTTCAGACAAATCCATCTAACAGTTTCTGAGAAACGGTCCGGACAAAATCTTGTCTACAGACAGACGGACAGACGGACAGACAGACGGACATGGTGATTCCAATATACCCCCCTAAACTTCGTTTGCGGGGGTATAAAAATGCAGCTCATATTGCTTTAAGTAACCGTTGATTTTTTTTAACCTGGCATACTTAAAAAGCTTTATGTTATACCCGTATAAGCATGATAAGTATGTTTTCAATATTATTTTTTCTTCTTCAATATAGATCTTGGACCTTCCAAGCCTCCAATCAGAGCTGCCCGGCTAAACCATCTAACGGCCGAGCCACGTGTAACGTCACTCTGGCCTTCTGTAAGAAGATAGAGAAAATTCCTGAGTGCAACGAATCGTCCAGTGCATGTGTGAAGGCGTCCAACTACACTGGGGGTAATGAAAGCCAAACCTTCTCAATTGGTGGATATACACCGAATCCGTTCTCGCTATCTGGTACGTATATAAATTACTGTACATACTGTTTAATATTCCCTCGCCACCGGTTCAAGTAATTGTTCTAGAATTCCAGTGAATACTATTATATTTGATGCAATGCAGCATTACATGTATACTCTAGAATTAAACTAAAGGTATTGTAACCAGGATTGCTGAATAGTACACCAGACGTCAGATGCTAGTACTGCGTCTGGCTAGCATTTACGGTCAAGTGAATCTGAGTACAAAGACAGCATTACGATCCGTTCACTTTTTATCAAAAGTAAAACATGTATTCTTCTGTTCATTTGAGGTTTGTGCGTACTCTGACATTTTGTTTCTGTTCTATTGAGGTTTGTGCGTACTTTGACATTTTGTTTCTGTTCTATTGAGGTTTGTGCGTACTATGACATTTTGTTTCTGTTCTATTGAGGTTTGTGCGTACTCTGACATTTTGTTTCTGTTCTGTTGAGGTTTGTGCGTACTCTGACATTTTGTTTCTGTTCTATTGAGGTTTGTGCTTACTCTGATTTCGTACTTCTTCCTGTGGATGGCTTGTGCGTACTTCAGCTCTAGTAATGTTTTGTGCATACTCTGATTTCGTACTTCTGTTTTGTTGATGCTCTGTGCGTACTCTAATTTCGTACTTTTGTTTTAATGATGCTTTGTGCGTACCCTGATTTCGTACTTCTGTTTTGTTGATGCTCTGTGCATACTCTGATTTCGTACTTCTGTTTTGTTGATGTTTTGTGCGTACTCTGATTTCGTACTTCTGTTTTGTTGATGCTCTGTGCGTACTTTGATTTCGTACTTCTGTTTTGTTGATGCTCTGTGCGTACTCTGATTTCGTACTTCTGTTTTGTTGATGCTCTGTGCGTACTCTGATTTCGTACTTCTGTTTTGTTGATGCTCTGTGCATACTCTGATTTCGTACTTCTGTTTTATTGATGCTTTGTGCATACTCTGATTTCGTACTTCTGTTTTGTTGATGCTCTGTGCGTACTCTGATTTCGTACTTCTGTTTTGTTGATGCTCTGTGCGTATTCTGATTTTGTACTTCTGTTTTATTGATGCTTTGTGCGTACTCTGATTTCGTACTTCTGTTTTATTGATGCTTTGTGCATACTCTGATTTCGTACTTCTGTTTTGTTGATGCTTTGTGCGTACTCTGATTTTGTACTTCTGTTTTGTTGATGCTTTGTGCGTACTCTGATTTTGTACTTCTGTTTTGTTCATGCTCTGTGCGTACTCTGATTTTGTACTTCTGTTTTGTTCATGCTCTGTGCGTACTCTGATTTTGTACTTCTGTTTTGTTGATGCTTTGTGCGTACTCTGATTTTGTACTTCTGTTTTGTTGATGCTTTGTGCGTACTCTGATTTTGTACTTCTGTTTTGTTGATGCTTTGTGCATACTCTGATTTCGTACTTCTGTTTTGTTGATGTTTTGTGGGTACTGTGATATCATACTTCTGTTTTGTTGACAGAGCACTTCTCTGCTCGGTTGCCGTCCTGAACTATCGTCTGATGCAATGAATCTTATATGTACATGCATGCCTCAAGGGCCAGTGATATACTATATTTGACTTTACGAAATAACTCTATATATTTTGTATATATAGTGATCACGTAAAATCAAATATTGCATGTTACTCGTCCCTGTGGTAAATGCTTAGTCTATTACAAGAAGCATCTAGGGTATTAGTTGGTTGAAGATGGCTCAAGTTTTGTGGGGTGTACACACTATCTAGAGAACTATAGTTCGGCGGCAATCAGTGTGTCTGTCTGCCTGTTTGAATCCAGAAAGGTTTACCATTTTCAAAAAGGTCTAGGAAATGCAAAATTAAGCTTACCCGAAAACAAGGTTTAAAAAACTCTTACAGACATGCATTTATTATATCCCACGCAACAAGTTGCGTGAGGTATAATGTTTTTGTCCCGTCCGTCAGCCAGTCAGTCAGAGTGTCCGCCAGTCCTGTTTTTTTTCTCAGCGCAACTCCCCATAAACCGCTGCACAGAATTTCGTCAAACTTTGCAGATATTGAGGACACAATGCGTAGATGTGCATAATTACCAGGGAATTCCGATTCCTTTAATTTTTCCGGGAATTTTCGCACTTTTCAACTTAGATTGTTGACCATATCTTGAATATGGAGATGAACAATTTGTCAGCGCAACTCCTCATAAATCGCTGCACAGAATTTCGTCAAACTTTGCAGATATTTAGAACACAATGTTTAGATATGTATATTACCAGGAAATTCCGATTCCTTTATTTTTCCGGAAATTTCCACACTTTTAATCTTAGATTGTTGGCCATATCTTGGATATAGAGATGGTTCATTTGTCAGCGCAACTCCTCATAAATCGCTGCACAGAATTTCGTCAAACTTTGCAGATATTTAGAACACAATGTTCAGATATGTATATTACCAGGAAATTCCGATTCCTTTATTTTTCCGGAATTTTCCACACTTTTAATCTTAGATTGTTGGCCATGTCTTGGATATAGAGATGAACAGTTTGTCAGCGCAACTCCTCATAAACCGCTGCACAAAATTTGGTCAACCATTGCAGATATTTAGTACACAGTAAATAGATGTACATACGAGGGCCGTTCAAAAATTACGCGGACTGTGCTATTATTTACTCTTACAGACGTCATAGAGTTTTGAAATTTCACAGAAATATGTATCTCAAAGATTCCTATAAATTTTGGGCAAAATTTCTGTATTTTAAAAAAATTATACTAAAATTATCGGTATATTGATATCGCTGATTTAGAGGTACGGAGCACGACAAAAAAATTGAAGCAAAAGCATGCGGAATCCAAAATTTAACTCATTTATTTTCTATAATTCGCAATATTTTTCGACAACTTTCTCAAACGTATCTTTAAATTGTTCTATTATTATGTATCTGGATTTCTGGCGTGATATTTGAAGTACTAAAAGAAATATAGTGATTTTCCTCTGATGCGATCCCCGTGAAAACGACTGTGAAAATGACGTCTCGTGAATTGACGGCGCACCACACTTTAGTTAAATTATGTGTAATGCTCGAGATATCGCCAACATAGATCCAAAATATGCATATTAAAACATGTAGTAAACTAGGGTATTCGTGACATTCGTCCACAAATAGTAAATAGGAATTTTAGACCATTAGACCTCTGTAAAATGTCTACACTGGAGGACGGGAAGAGTATTATCGACGAAAACTTTATCTGGAATGTAAAGAACGTGATTGAGAGTCATCAATATCACACTATCTCATAAATACCTGCAGTTTTTGGTTTTAAAACAAAAAAAAGAATATTCTTTACTTGTTTAGTAGATTTAAAGCTTGACAAGAAATTGTGTTTTGATGTTGAGTAGATAAGATGACTCAAACTGTACAGGTACTCTTGGGAAAATGTTGAGAAAAGGAAAGCTCAATCACATATTTTTTTATAATGTATGTGACGTCGAAGATTTTGGCAATTTGCTGCTCCGTGACTAAATGATATGTCCTGAAAAATCACTCAAAATTGATACCGATTTACAACATTTTGATATGAAATTTTGTAGACCATATAAGTAAAGATTCTTTTTTATTATGTGCAACATTTTGCCCGATTATGTCGTCAAATAATTTTTCTGTGCAGCAAGTCCGCGTAATTTTTGAACGGCCCTCGTATTACCAGGAAAATCCGATTCCTTTATTTTCCGGGAATTTCGGCATGCACTTTTCAACTTAGATTGTTGGCCATATCTTGAACATAGAGATGAACAGTTGTCAGTGCAAATCCTCATAAACCACTGCACAGAATTTGGTCAAACGTTGCAGATATTTAGGACACAATGTGTAGATGTGCATATTTCCGGGAAATTCCGATTCCTTTATTTTTTCCAGGAATTTCAGCACTTCAAGTCTTGGGGGAGCGTGGGGTATGTGAGCTTGCTCACTTTTTCTTTCATTCAATTTATAATCATCGTGTTCTTCTTTAATGAAAGGGGGCGTCATCGTGGCAACTTTTGCACCAGTCTTCCTAAACTATAGCACCACGTGTGTTAACTTGACGACAGTAGTAAAGTTCCATTGCAATTTACAATCAAAATGGACAGCAGGATCCCAAGGATTAACTCCGATCCCGAGGTCGGCAAACATTAAACCAAAGTTTGAAAAAAATCAAAAGGGTGAATGTACAGTAAGTATTCATATTTCCTTTTATTTATATGTATATTAATTAAATATCAACAGTTCATTTTGTAACAGCTTAGTACGGTGTCCGGGGACATCAGATTTTAGCATTTGCAAATGTGTTCACTACGCGCCTTCGCCGTTCTAACACGTGTTTAGAAAACAAGCGCCATCACACCAGCGCGCGAACACACAACACACTGGCGTGCAAACACATCTTTGCAATACACACTGTCGCGCTAAAATAAAAAAAAACACACTGTCTCGAGATCAAACTACATATGTATATAGAACGTGCTATAATTCGCTCTTTGTTACGCAGCAGCACGTTTGTAAAGTTGCATTTGCATGGTCACGTGTTGTGTACAGATGCGTAAGCGTGAATGAGGGAGATGTTTTAGCACGTTAACAAGAACAGCGTATTTTGTACACCGAGCCAGTGCGTTATTATCAGCGCTGTTCCATATACAAGTGACGATGCCCATAGAAAGAAACGCCGTCACGCCGTGAACATCGCACTAGCGTCGTTGTTACTATATATCGCGCTGTATATGTTTGCAAATGTCCCTGTCAGGACACCTTTACGTTTGTACTGAAGAAATAGGTATCATTTTAAAATATCTATAGGGTTTGTATAAGTGATCAAATTTACCATGAAATCGGGTATAATTCTTTTAATTATTGGAATAAATCAGAATATTTCACAGAATTGGAAAAAGTTTTAGTAAAAGTGAACTAACTGTATCTGTATTATTTTAATTTGAACTATATCTTTACATTGCAGTACATCATTGATGCAGATTTTGAGGGGGCATGTATCAATGTTGTCCCATCCCTTCCCGTCAACGGGCTGGGTGCGGGGACTGTTCTCATTATCATGTGAGTACTGAGTAGTGCTTCTCTTTCTGATTATGTATTTTGTTTTCCAGTTCAGGGTCATTTTAATGAATAGTGGCGGGTTATTTTTTCCTAAATGCTAGAGCTACACCTCAACAAAATGGCTGGGGGGACTTATGGGACACCCTCAGCATCGGCGTCCAAGGTAATAGTTTTTGGAGTAGATTTCAAGTACGGTACTTCTATGACCAGCATTAATCAGAAATGCAGATGGAAGATGTTTCCAGTGCGTTGTATTGTACCAGTCAAGGTTTCAGATGCTGCAATTTCAGCTAACGAATGACAAGGTTAATGTTTTTGGAGCATCTTTAAATTCTTTGAGCCGGTCACATTTCCTAGTTACAGTAAACGCAACATTGACAAAACTTGGATGATAGATCTAAGAATTTACACTATCAGGCTTGCTTTGAGTGCTGGATTTGAGCTTCCTTTTCTGGATGATTGACCAGGTTAATGTGTTTTTTGAACAGGTCTCATTTCCAAAGTAACTAAAGCCCTATATAAATTGACTAAAATTGAATGGATGATACATTTAAAGATAAACACTGCTGAACTTGACTTACTTTGGCTACATTTTTCAGACAAGCGACTAGGTTAAAGATTTGGAACAGTTTCTTTCTTAAGTGACTCTAAGTCCTTTGTTAACCAGTTGAGTCAGATACTGGATCTGATTTACATTTTCTTGATGAATGACCAGTAAATGTTTTAAAGTAGGTCAAATCCAAGTAACTCTAAGACATACATGAACCTAACATGCACGGATCAGATCTAGGGATGCACCTACTAGATTTAACTAGTGCTAATTGTAACGGGAACCGTTACAGATGTTCCCCAAACGCTCCCCAACTCCCTTCTCGTGCCATATTCCCTGTAAATTTATTAAAGAAGGCAAAATCTATGCATTTAAGACGTAAACAACGTTTTCCCAAAAGTATACCAAGTATTTCAAATTTAAGCAATGTGATTGCATGAGCGTAATGACGATATCATCTTGTCGACACTATTTTACTCATTTGCACGTGCACGCACGTGCATGATGACCATACCTTCTTGTAGGAGTCCATTATGTCTGTCTATGTTCTTAATCCCATCCTGTTTGGTTGAAAAACAAGGGAGTTATAGCCATTTAAAGTTTAAGCCAATCAGATTGCAGAGCACGTGCATGCGCGTATTTTCATGACAATTATTATATATCATATTGTAGGACATCTTAAAGTATGCTTATGTTTTAAATTTCGATGCATTTTGTAAAAAAACAGAAAAGATATTGATATTTTTGTTTCAGCCAGTCAGAGCAAAGCGCACGTGCACGCACGTGCATGCATGTGAATGGTGACCATACCATCCTGTAGGAGTTCTTTATGTCTATCTATGTTGTAAATCCCATGCTGTTTGGTTGAAAACCAAGGGAGTTATACTCATTTAAAGTTTCAGCCAATCAGATTGTAGCGCACGTGCATGCGCGTGATTTCATGAAAAATTTTATATATCATATTGTAGTACATCGTAATGCATGTCTATGTTATAAATTTCAAAGCATTTCATCAAAAAACAAAATAGATATTGAGATTTCTGTTTCAGCCAATCAGAGCAAAGCGCACGTGCATGCGCGTGAGTTCATGCAAATTTGACCATGTCATCTTATCTACAGAACTTATATTTCTTTATATAATGAGTTTCAAAAAATTTTATCAAAAAATGTAAAAGTTACAGCCATATTAAATATATCAGTCATTTTACTCATTGCACGCGCCCGCACGTGCATGCGAATGCGCGCAAAATGACCTTCGTTCGGCACATCTACACAACATGCCTACTAACCCTAAAAAGGTTTTAACTTAGTTTGGTGAACAGTTTCTGAGAACACTTCCGGACAAAAAAGTACCGGAGAAGAAATAAGAAGAAAAAAGAATAATAATAATAACTAGATGCGTTCTTGTTGCTGGTGCAACAAGCAGGTCTTCCGACCGATTTTCGTTAGAGTTCTATGCTGCGTCATCCCATAAAATTTCAGAATGTAATTTTTTTTTTGTTTACGTTCATTTACAGCAGCCTCTTAACATATCTCATGATTATTACATGTATTCCTCAAAATATCTCAAAAATAGCTTTTAAAAATCGGGAAAATCTTCCATACATGTTAAAAAAGAGAGAAAAGTTATTTGCAACTGAAAAAAGACAGAAACAAAGAAAAAAAAATTCAACGCCCACACCGGGATTCGAACCCCCGACAGCGGGACAAAGTTTAGTTTGGTCATATCTTTTCAATATATGCACGCAGCAAGATACTAAACACATATTTAGAATTCTCATTAGACACACTACAAACCCTGTAAATACTAATGAAAAATATTGAAAAACAAAAAAGTTGAGAAATGTGACCTTTTGAATTCACTTCCGTTTACGACCGGAAGTGCCGACGACGAAAAATAAAGGTCGTTCCCCATAACGGAGTTCGATGTTCTATCACCTCAGTGAGTTTCACTTTCATATCTTTAGCCGTTCTCGAGAAAACTGCTGGACAAAATGCCTTTTAAAAAATACAAAAATCCCCAAAAATCGCGAACGGAAGTAAATTTTGAAAAAATGAAAAACACGTCTGGAGATATTTTCATGATGCATCTTCCCTGAGAAAATCTTTGAAATCTGTCCACGCATAGCTGAGATATCGGCTGTACTATGAAAAAAGAATAATAATAATAAAAAACAGAAGGAAAACAATAAGGTCTTCCGAAGGAAGTCGGAAGACCTTAACTAGTGCTAATTGTAACGGGGACCGTTACAGATGTTCCCCAAACGCTCCCCAACTCCCTTTTGGTGCCATATTCCATGTAAGCTTCATTAAATAAGACAAACTCTGTGCATTTTTGACTTTAACAACGTTTTTCCAGAAGGATACCAATTATATTCAATTTTTAGCATTGCACCTAAACGCATGTGAATCCTTGTGTGTTATGACCATATCATCTTGTCTTTCAAGAGTATTTTTAAATATACTCGTTTCAAATGCACGCACGTGCGTGCACGTGCATCATGATCATACCTTCTTGTAGGAGTCCCTTTCATCTATCTATGTTCTAAATCCCATCCTGTTTGGTTGAAACACAAGGGAGTTATAGCCATTTAAAGTTTCAGCCAATCAGATTGCAGCACACGTGCATGCGCGTAATTTCATGATTTTTTTTAATATCATTTTGTAGGATATCCTAATGCATGACTATATTTCAAATTTCAAAGAATTTCGTCAAAAAACAAAGAAGAAATAGCAATTTAAAGTTTCAGCCAATCAAATTGCAGCACACGTGCATGCGCGTGATTTCATGATTTTTTTCTATATCATTTTGTAGGATATCCCAATGCATGACTATATTTTAAATTTCAAAGAATTTCGTCAAAAAACAAAGGAGATATAGCCATTTAAAGTTTCAACCAATCAGCTTGCAGCACACGCACATGCGCATGCTTTCATGAAAATTCTTATATATCATGCGGTAGATCATTTTAATGTAGGACTATGTTCAAAATTTCAAAGGATTATGACAAGAAACAAGAAAGTTATTAATACTTTAGTTTCAGCCAATCAGAGCAAAGCGCACGTGCATGCGCGTGAAATCTTGCTATTTTGACCATGCTGTCTTGTCTATAGTACTAATGTATCCTTACATTACGAGTTTCAAAAAATTTCATCAAAAAATAGAAAAGTAACGGCAATATCCATTATATTGGTAATTTCACCTAATGCACGTGCGCGCTCTTGCAAGCACGTGCGCGCAAAATGACCTTAGTTTGGCAACTCTACATAACATGCCTACTAACCCTAAAAAGGTTTCACCTAAGTCGGATGTGTAGTTTACAAGATCACTCGTGGACAAAATTTTCCCAGGAAGAAGAAAAATAATAATAATAATAATAATAATAATAAGAAACAGAGTAAAAACAATATGTTCCCCAACTTCGTTTGGGGAACATAATTATGGGGCTTTACCTCTCTTAGAGACAACGTATACATACATTGAAGTGAGCTCTGCCATCTCTGATTTCCTATGTTTCTGTTTGTATTCTCCCCCATTTCACTCTTTCAAATATAATTTAAATGCTCAATAATTAACAAACACATATGTTATAAACAGGTTTGGATAAAATAAAAATTTGTTTTTCGCAGTTGCCCACCGACCCACTGAAAATGCAACCAACCCAAACTTTTTTAGCCATTTTGTAATATTCTTCTTTTCAATTTTTCAGGATATTGAATCTGTTTTTTTTTTTGTTTTTTTGTTTTTTTGTTTTTTATTTTTGTTTAAATAAATCTGTGGTTTATAAAAAGAGTGGAGCTTATTCATGTTTAGTAGGCCTTTGAAAAACTTTGTTATTTGTTATCTAACAGAACTCTGAAAACTAATTTTAAAAAAAGAATGCCTTCCTACCTACCCTCTCTAAAAATTATAGGTCGGCAACTGCAAGCAAAGAATTTTTTAAGCTTGGCCTTGCTGATCAGTAGCTTTATGCTGGTGATTTGCTTTGCAGCGTTGGCTGATTAATAAAAATAAATTCTTGTTTTAGCTCTAAAATTCAAAGACCAGAAGAGCTTATGCGATTAGTAATTTGTCTGTCATCTTTCTTCTAGTCTGTCTATCTGTCACGTGTAAACAATCAAAAGGCTACTCCTCTTACAGTTTTGGTTTGATTTAAAGTCTTACCGGTATATTTAATGGGTTTTTTTTTCAGTTTATTTGTCAGTATAAATATCTATTGTATCTTTTTCCCATTTTTTAAAATCAGTATAAGTGACATTTGAAAAGTGTTTATTGAATCTGGCTGTTCGATTCCTACATCCTATGTTTTTCTTCAGATTTTTCGTCAGTATTAGTTCTTATTATGTCTGTGGCTGTTAGATTCCTACATCTTATGTTTTTCCTTCAGATTTTTCGTCAGTTTTAGTTTTCATTATTTCTGTGGCTGTTTGAATATTACAACTTATATTATTTTCAGATTTTTCGTCAGTATTAGTGTTTATTAACTCACCTGAGCCGAAGGCTCAAGTGAGCTTTTCTGATCACATTTTGTCCGGCGTCCGTCTGTCCGTCTGTCTGTAAACTTTTCACATTTTCGACTTCTTCTCAAGAACCGCTCGGCCAGTTTCAACCAAACTTGGCACAAAGTATCCTTGGGTGAAGGGGATTCAAGTTTGTTCAAATGAAGGGCCACGCCCTCATTCAAGGGGAGATAATTGGGAATTAATGAAAATTTGGTGGCATATTTTAAAAATCATCTCCTCAAGAACCACTGTGCCAGGAAAGATGAAACTTATGGGGAAACATCCTTAGGTAGTGTAGATTCAAGTTTGTTCAAATCATGACCCCCGGGGGTAGGGCGGGGCCAAAATGGCTGACCAAATTTTTACATAGAAATATATAGGAAAATTCTTTAAAAATCTTCTTCCCAAGAATGACAAAGCCATAATTCATCATATTTATATGGGAGCATGTTCAGGTAGTGTAGATTCAAATTTGTTCAAATCATGACCCCCGGGGGTAGGGCGGGGCCAAAATGGCCGACCAAAGTTTTACATAGAAATATATACGAAAATTCTTTAAAAATCTTCTTCTCAAGAATGACAAAGCCATCATTCATTATATTTATATGGAAGCATGCTCAAGTAGTGTAGATTCAAGTTTGTTCAAATCATGACCCCCAGGGGTAGGGCGGGGGCAAAATGGCCGACCAAAGTTTTACATAGAAATATTTAGGAAAATTCTTTAAACATCTTCTTCTCAAGAATGACAAAGCCATAATTCATTATATTTATATGGAAGCATGCTCAAGTAGTGTAGATTCAAATTTGTTCAAATCATGACCCCCAGGGGTAGGGCGGGGCCAAAATGGCCGACCAAAGTTTTTAAAGATATATATAGGAAAATTCTTTAAAATTCATTTTCTAAAAATAGCAAATCCATGATTGGTCATGGGACTACTTTTGGATTTAAACTTTACAATAAAAAGCCATTTTCTACTTTTTCCTACCCTTTGTGCTCAGGTGAGCGATGTGGCCCATGGGCCTCTTGTTGTATCTGTGGCTATTAGAGTCCCACATCTTATTTTTTTTTTATTTTCAGACTTTTCGTCAGTATTAGTGTTTATTGTATGTGTGGCTATTAGAGTCCTACATCTAATTTTTTTTTCCAGATTTTTCGTCAGTATCAGTGTTCATTGTATTTGTGGCTGTTAGAGTCCTACATCTTGTGTTTTTTTTTAATTTTCAGAATTTTCGTCAGTATTAGTGTTTATTGTATCTGTGGCTATTAGAATCCTACATCTAATGTTTTTTTTTTCTCAGATTTTTCGTCAGTATTAGTGTTCATTGTGATTGTATTTGTGGCTATTAGAGTCCTACATCTTATGTTTTTTTTTATTTTCAGACTTTTCGTCAGTATTAGTGTTTATTGTATCTGTGGCTATTAGAGTCCTACATCTAATGCTTTTTTTTTCAGATTTTTCGTCAGTATTAGTGTTTATTGTATTTGTGGCTATTAAAATCCTACATCTTACGGTTTCAGATTTTTCATCAGTATTAGTGTTTATTGTATCTATGGCGGTTAGAATCTTATATCTTATGTTTTTCTTCAGATTTTTCGTCAGTATTAGTGTTTATTGTATGTTTGGCTATTAGAGTCCTACATCTTATTTTTTTTTTATTTTCAGACTTTTCGTCAGTATTTGTGTTTATTGTATGTGTGGCTATTAGAGTCCTACATCTAATTTTTTTTCAGATTTTTCGTCAGTATTAGTGTTCATTGTATTTGTGGCTGTTAGAGTCCTACATCTTGTGTTTTTTTTTAATTTTCAGAATTTTCGTCAGTATTAGTGTTTATTGTATCTGTGGCTATTAGAGTCCTACATCTAATGTTTTTTTCAGATTTTTCGTCAGTATTAGTGTTCATTGTATTTGTGGCTATTAGAGTCCTACATCTTCTGTTTTTCAGATTTTTCGTCAGTATTAGTGTTTATTGTATTTGTGGCTATTAGAGTCCTACATCTTATGATTTTCAGATTTTTCGTCATTATTAGTGTTTATTGTATTTGTGGCTATTAAAATCCTACATCTTACGGTTTCAGATTTTTCATCAGTATTTATGTTTATTGTATCTATGGCGGTTAGAATCATACATCCTATGTTTTTCTTCAGATTTTTCATTAGTATTAGTGTTTATTGTATGTGTGGCTATTAGAGTCCTACATCTTATGTTTTTCAGATTTTTCGTTAGTATTAGTGTTTATTGTATCTGTGGCTGTACCTGTAACTTTGTTCGAGGATACAAAGGACCAGAACTCATACCCCACTCCCAGTTTTGGATTGACCTTCCCGTACTTATTGCTGTGAGTAAAATCTAACTACTATTTTGATATTTCAAAATCTGTCCATTGTCTGTCATTGTTTTTGTCTTCATCTTCAGAAACTTTACAATTTCATATTCCCCAGAACTTCTGGACCAATTTAAACTAAACTTTGCAAAGAGTTTCCTTGGATAAAGAGAATTCAATTTTGCTCAAATGCAGGCTAATACCCGATGCATTTGTTCAAGGCAAGATCAGTTTTATTTATATGGAGGTATCCTCTGGATGTGTTTATTTTAAATTTAATATCATGTCCCAAGGGGTGAGAGTGGCCTGGGGAGCAGTCGTATGTTGGTATGAATAGGAAAATAAAAAAAAAATTAAAAAAAATATTAAGTTAACCATAATTCACAATTTCAACCATTATCTCGGCTATAAATGTACAATTTACAATTCACAATTTGAAATTCTGGCTGCCTGCAAAGGCATGCCTAGCATAACAACACATCTAGTTTCAAATCATGTCTTCTTGGATATGGCTACATTGTACAATCAAAGTTTTATATAAAGGAATGATACAGAAAAAAGAATATACGAGGGTCATTCAAAAAGTTCGTAGACTTTTGTCCTAACTTCTTTATTTAACGTCATATTACATCCAAATTTGGTACAAATATTTTAACAACAGATTAAAATAATTTGAGCAAAATTTTGGAATGTATCTTCATATTTATTAAAATTACCAAGGATTTAGAACAAAAAAAATTTCAACCATTATCTCGTCAAAATTGAGTAATTTACTAATTTTCACTTTATAGTATTTACAGCCATAGCTCTAATAAATGGAGCTGAAACGAAATAAAATTTACATGTTTTAATAAAGTATTGCTTTATTAATTAAACTGAAATCAGGTTATGTAATATGTCACTCCAATTAAAAGATATATATATATATATATATATTGATTAGAGAGAGAGAGAGAGAGAGAGAGAGAGAGAGAGAGAGAGAGAGAGAGAGAGAAAAAGAGAGAGAGAGAGAGAGACTTCTTCTTCAAGCTTAAAAAATCCGTATAACTTAGGATCTGTATGAAAAATAATCTGTGTATTTGTATTAAATGGAAAATACAATTTTTGAGTGTTAGCGAGTTTGAATCGGACGATGGGTTGTCTGCAAAGAAACAGGTTAAAGTTAAAAATAGTGTCGAAAGAGTTAGGAACGTCACTGAACGTGATGTGTGCTTCACTGTTGCAGAATTAATAGAGTTACATGGTAAATTAAAGAATTTGAAAACAATGACATTCTTCTTCAAGCTATATTTGTACAATTGTTCGCAAACTAGATGTTAAGTGTTTTGGATATGTTTTTTGATTGGAGAAGACGCTACAAACCGTGTTTGAAATTAAGAAAATAAGCATAATTTTGACAAACTTTCTCAACGTTGTCTTTGACGTTACAATGTTGGTTAACCGTGCTTCGTGGTAACAAAACATGTTTGTTTAAATTTTGGCTTACATTAGTTCTATTTAATCAAATGGAATGAAACTTCTGACTTCGACAAAATAAATGTTTTGGTTCACGAAAATGTGTTGATCTATAATCTTGTAATAATTATATGACGATGAAAAGCATTGTCTACGTATTTTTTGAATGACCCTCGTAGATACTGATGAAAACTAATAAGGAGTATCATCAGTTACTCAGTTGAGCATTGTAGACATGGACCCCTTGTTTTAAATTTCTTCTGTCAATGCATAATTAAGACCTTTGTTTTTTAAACATTGTAGGATGGAATGATCTTTACCTTTAGATGTTGCAGACAGGAGCCTACTGCATATGACAGCATATAGCTCTATACGATGTAGATAAAGAAAAATTAGTGTCGATTTAAACATTCCATTCAAAGATCTGGCTCCAGGGCCATAAAACTTAAATGAGCTCACTTTTGATCTCAGCCTCACTTTCACCAAAAAGGGATTAATAGTGGAAAAGTGAGACTGAGATTAAAAGTTAGCTTGTCTAAATTTTAAGGCTCTGGACCCTGCATGTGATAAAAAACCCTTTTTACTTGACTCATGTAAATTTTGAATAGAATTCTTGCAATTGGAACATGAGAGAGAGAGAGAGCGAGAGAGAGATGAAAACTTAATTTGAAAATTAATGGTTAAATTTCTGTTTGAGAGTTGTGTGTTATAGAAGAGCATATAAACGGTTTGTTTGAGATTTATAAATGACATGTACATGTATATTATTCAATTTTGTTTGGGAGAAAGATCTTGGTATTCAGTGGAGCTTCTTTTATCCAGACAAGGTCCAAGGCCAAATCGTCATCATTAATTAAGTTATTGTAATATACTTTATATTATAGTTGAATAAAATGAAAATAACTTTTTTCCAAAAATTCTGTTCGGAAATGGAAGATTCCGGATCAAAAAGACTCCATTGATCTTTCCTTGACAATCGTACGCACATATAATAACGTGGCATAGATAGGAGTAAATGTGTAAGAATACTTAGTATATATAATTTACAGTTCATGCATAAAATACGTAAACATGTTGATTATACCTTTATTTTTATAACAAATACTTATATGTGTGTGTTAATAGTAATGTTTTATATTTTCTTTTAATTTCTGGTTTTTCATTTGTAAAAAAGATTCACTAGTATTTAGAATTTTTTTTTTGAATAAAAAATAGAAATAAAGTAAAAACGGGCACATGCATTTTTTTTTATATGTATTGTACAAAAATCCAATACCTTTCGTAAATTTGTGAAATGATAACTTCAAATGAGACTGTTGATATCCTTGTTTCGTTAAATTGTATGTAAATAGCTTGCTTCGTTTGAGAAATTGTTCATACGTTGAGCATGCTCTACTGAGAGACATAAACCCATATGCAGGTGATTAGGGAATATTACTACACAAGTAAGGGATGTTGACGATTGAAAAGTTGAAGTCATCTCGTTTTTGACGAAGCTTTGTTGTAAGATTACCATGAACGTCTTTTTCTTGTAGAATATCCGATGTGTCAGACTCTGTCGTATCTTTTATTTCAAGCTCATTGAGATATATCGAGCGGACATTTGAATGGAATATATTAGTCGTCGATTTATCAAAATGTCGAGTGGAAGACCACGGTAAGCGTTTTCTTCATTTCGTGCAAGTCTTTTTTTTTTTGTTTAAAATAAATGCTGCTTCATAAGAATGCAAAAATGGGTCTGCTGATAACAATGCGCAATTAACTGGCACCCAAGGAAATTCCAACAGATTGTTGAAAGACCAGGTCTCCAAAAACTACATACTAAGTAGATGTTGTTAATCACAAACTCTAGCATCTTTTTAATATCAACTTCAGAGTCCTTGTGTATACAATCGGAAAGCTTCTTAACAAAATAATTTGCAAATGATCAATGACAAGGTATGTATATTTACGAGTTTCATTTTTATTGAAAAGGCAACTGTCTATGATGTCAAAAACCATGGACTTGAATTTATCGTAACGAATGGTTTTTTAAAGTGCTGAAATGTTGTATACGTTTCGATGTTATTGATTTTGGTAAAAAATCATTATTTCAAATTTTCTAATAGTACCTTTGAGTCTTTAAGTATCAACATTTAATTTACACCACTTCTCGAATATACTGTTGATGAGTACCAGTATTTCTGAAGTTTCTCCTTTATAACAGGAACTATTTTAGAGAAGAGTAAAGAAAGAGGCTTGATAGAACATTATTAGAACCCGCTATGTATTTTTCTTTATAAAGATTTTTAAGATGTTTAGGAATCAAGTAAAGTTATGGCAATTCAAATACATTTTGACTGTTGGGAAATTAAAAATATCTAAAACTTACATATGTCCTAAATCCTCTAAAATTCAATTCAAATAATGAGCCTTACAAAGACAACGTTGTTACCAGCTTTAATTGTCAGCTAGGACCAGTGCATACTGATCTAATCTAATTCCCTTTTCACTTCTAAATTATTAAAGACATTCAGACAGCCCCTCAATCACTTATTGCAAGATTTCAACACCAGTCTGGTGCGTTTTATCGATTCTGACAAATATTCAAGGTTTTCTTTTTCTTGTATGGTCCATCATCTGGCATAATTTTCAACAGAATGCATGTAATATTTATGAAATTATGACGCCAGTTGGAAGAACTGGGATCACTTAATTTTGGCCCTTATAAAATAAGGGATTTAAGCCATTTAAGGTGCTACTTATATCAACAGCTGTGGTGTTTCCAGCAGGACTGTAGTTGTAGGGAGGTGAACATGAACATGTAGGAGGATTAAATAACAAATGTTCGATATCTTGGCACTGTAGAGTGTTTTGTAATTAAAAAGTTTGGAAGCAATAATCAATGCATATTCATAACTTAAAACGTAATGGTGTAAAAAAAAAAAAACAAACCATGGATTATAATTTCTATAATTACAGATCCAAGCCTGTATTCCGATGACGAAAAATTGTAATATGGACAAGACTGGACTTTCCATGACTTTTTTGAAATAGATCATATAGAAATTTCAAAGGGACAGAGTAAAGTAAGGCGCGAATGTGATGGAGGCCTAACTGTTTATTTACATAAGATAGTGAATCAAAAGAAACATCTTGTAATTTAATTCAAAAATAATTGCACACTAAGTTTCCATTGTTAAAATGGTCATTTGAAATGGTCACCCTTCACAACCAAAGGCATTACATGTAATTTCCTTCTATTTTCTGAAAGAAAAATTTCTACCAATTATTTGGACTTTCGGATGCAGGGCATTTTAGTGGATTTTCTAAAATAAAAAAAAAAATTAGAAGGATCTTCAGTTGTCACTACAGGTATAAAAATATTAATTACCTGTCAAATCTAGTGGTCATATATTAAGGATTTTTTTTTTCTCTTCAGATTATCTAAAAATTCTTTTTAAACAGTTATTGAAAGTAAATAGTGAAGTTAACAAATATTCTTTAGAAAAAAATCGAACACTAACACCTCCATATCCTACAAGCAAATACTTGTACAAACTCGTCAGTGATTAAAACACCAAATGGTACAGAGGGCAGAAAAGAATCGGGGAGAAATTTAGTCTTTCATTCGTGACCGTTGACGGAGTTCTAAAATCTGGATTTGATCGAAGAATCACTCCAAATCTCTAATCAGATCTTATAGTTTTTATGTTAACTAAATTAACTTTTTGTTTATCCTTCGTACACCTCCCTGCTGGTGAGAGGTGGACATAAATTAAGTATGACGAGCAGAGAGATAATGTGTAACAATCGACATTCAACAGAATGCTCAAAATGTTCAATTTTACCACTTCAATGTATGGAATCGACGAAAGGGTCTATGGCGTTATGCAATAACGATAAAGCGATCTTGATGATGCGATGGGGGGGGGGGGGCAATGCAATAGCGATATTACGAAAGATTCATCATTATCGCTATTGCAAGTTAGCGTTATCGTCGTTCAAACACATCTTCGTCCTCCATTTGTCGCTCCATCGCATTCTCGCCATCGCACTATCACACCATTGTTTCATCGTCATCGAAATTTCGATGATATGATAGTAAACTACGTCCCTACCTGGGTTTTGTATAAATGCACATTCATTTTAAGCTCTTTATTTGTCAAAAATCTAAGTGAATAAGTTGCAATACGTTTTAAAGAAATTTATAACGGTATGCTTAATAAACGGAAGGTGGGTAAACACAATCTTTCATCGTAAGAACAACAGAGGTAATTTATTAAAGCTTTGATGGTGCAGAAAATTTTACTTTAAAATTTTCCTTTGGTATATCATAGGTCCATTTTGATGACATGATGAGATCTGCAGCAATTTTGCCGATTTCATCGCTCGATTTTGCTGCATACCCGTTTCCGCCAAGAGCCACGGCTAGCGTTGGTGAAATAAGGTCTATATAAGGTTGTTTTCCTGGTGTTACCATAGTTGCACACGCATCACCATGATGATTTTCAAATCGAATACCTATAAAAAGCAGATTTTTACATACTTATTGGATGAAAACTAAACTCGACAACATTGAAAATATATACCTTCCTCCTTACCATGGAACATGGTGTCTACAAGTTTGAAGAGTTCTTTCTCGAGGTCTTCATCTCCTTTTCCACTGTACCATTTTCTTATATCCTTCAAATCCAAGCTGTCTTTTATAATGTCATCTGAGTGGCCAATTTTTATATAGTACTTCCCTATAAAAAGTTTAAAGTGAAGCAGTTTCTAATGAATAATGTTCTTTAAATAGAAACAATGAACAAGACTTACCATCTGGATATTTAATCGGAGGCAACAAATAAAAGTGTATGTTGTCACTAGAGCCCCTCGGATAAGTTTTTGACCATGACTTGCCACCTTTGCCTTCATATAAAACAATTGGCATCTGGCTAAAAAAAAAGAAGATATGGACGTATTAGGCGTGTTATATGTAGAAGTCGACAATGTTGCTTACTCCTTCATTGCACCTAATCCGACCTCTGATGTTTTAAGAGGTCTCTGTTTGCTCTACTCCCTATTTGTATTGTTTTCAATTGACTTTTTGATATGAGTTCGTTATCTACATATTTCTTGAAAACACGACAGAAAGCTAATACTATTGACAGAAACATTTTTTCTTGGAATATCTAATCAACATTATCCGAAAGTAAAAAAGTTATAAATCATCACAAGAACTGTAGAATACCTCAGCCGCTTTGCAGTATTTTCACTGACAGCGGCAAGTGTAACGGTCTGTGGCATTGCTTTGTATGATACGGGGTTCCTTAAAAGTTTATGCATCCCTGTAAAAGCATTGGTTGCTATTAGAACCTTATTTGTCCAAATATTTTTCCCTCTTTCTGTAGTAAGTTTATATCCTCTCTGTAATTTTTCAATATTAAGTACAATATCTCGAACTACGTCACATCCTTGGTTGACGGCAACTATAATTTGAGCCATAACCATCTTTCTTGGATTAATATAGCCAGCCCGTCTCTTTTCCATGATTCCTTCATCATTTTCCGCGAAAGTAAGATACGGGAATTTGTCATTTAGTTCTTTTGCAGCAAGAATTTCGATATTATCGTTATCAATTGGACCCCCTTTCAAGCTGGATTTCGTCTTCTCAATAAATCGTCCATTTCTTGTTCCAACTGATAGTGCCCCAACTTCGTGGTAAAACTGTATACCTTCAGTGATGGAGAGAAAAATATAACAAAGACACAAAATATAAAAAAAAAACTACACATATCGTCGAGTTTAAAAAGACAAATGGGAAAATTTACAGCATTGGAAACGCTATTAGACACTACAATTTTATAATTCAAGGTTTAAACAGGTACCTGAGAGATCCTCAAGTTCCCTATATCTCTCCTCCGACCGCTTGGCCAGTTCTGACCACAATGGGCTTGTTGCGGTGGCCCGCATGATTCGCCCCTCATCATAATGTGTCCCAAATACTTCGTTTCCGGTAACAGTTTCTCTAATCTAAATAAAATAGTTTTTAACAGACACTTAATTGCTTATAATGACAGCTTGAATTTTATTCTCCCCTTTATGTATTAGATAGGTCTATGTGTAATATTTTTGTTTTTACTTGTTGATATGTTATTATTATAAATAAAAGAGAAGTAAGTTTATTTGTTTGTATGAAAGGCCTTAAAAATGAAACATGATTAGTGCCCTAATCTTGAAAACTAATCAGTGTCTTTATTATGGTGCCTAACAGATGCCCTAAATGTATAAGGTGTCTTGACACCTAACAATGGTGCGGCGGCTCTAATACTTGGAGCCTAGCTAATGTCCTTACAGGTGCCCTAAACCATGAAGCCTAACGCCCTAACAAGTGCCCTAATCATAGAGGCTAACGCCCAAACAGGTACCCTAAGCATAGAGCCTAACATGTGCCCGAACTATGGAGCCTAATGCCCTAGTGAGTGCCTTAGCAATGTTGGGTGTCAGACAGAATATATATAAGGGGAGAGAGAGATAGTGAACAAAATATACTTTGTACTTGACTTGAAAACTATGTTTGGATACTGTTTTAAAGTATATACTTGCTGAAAAAAACTCTAGTTGTTATTGATTTAGACATCTCTACGCGCCACAGTGAGATTTGTACCCGCGGGAAAGGAAAATGTTTTTTTTTTTATTTTTGGAAATCAGTAAGCATAAAATAAACTTTGAATGGCCTAAATTGACAGCGAGAAAAATAATTAATATCGACAAACGTTAATATCCCCTTACCTTTGGTTCTTGGGGGCCTATAAGACAAACTTTCACCCCTGATTTCGCTGAAGCATGACGGGCAGCGGCGGACCCCATCATACCTGCCCCAACGATGCACAGGTCATACATTGCCATTAAATATATCCGGGATCTAATGTGACATAGATCTGTAAGAAGGTCAACGAGCTGAAATGTAGTGCACATTTGTAAAAAAAATTATGTGCCTCACTTCGATTGGCGTCAGTAAAATCAATTGCCATGTTTGTGATACATATTTGGTAAAAGAATGCAAGTTTTAAAATGATATGTTTTAAGGTGTATTTCAAGCATAAATATGTTTTAAATGGGAGGTAATCTGGTTTGTTTACACTTTTTAAACCGACTTTTATTCCGAAGACGTGACGTCAGCTGAAGCTTGTTATACCTTTGAACACCATGCATGCACATTTTACATTATTTGCTCGAAATAAGATCTTAAAAAACTTCCTTTATTACCTGATGTGGCGCGAGTTATAATCTAAATGTTAAACGTAATGTATCCAAGACTTTCTTTCAACTCTTCAAATTTTAAATGAAGCCAAATAGAAGTTCTTTTAACAAGGAAAGAACTGAAGGATTGTAAGATTTACAGATTAACAATTTCTAGCTGCGGTGTGTTACCTATAAGAATAGAAACAGGACGATATAAGGGGGAGGCTTTATCTGATAGACTCTGTACTCTATGCTCTTCGAATACTAGAGTAGTGTAGAAGATGAATGTCACTTTTTGCTTCATTGTACATCATATTCAAATTTAAGAGCAATCTTTTTTACCAGTATTGGATTAATCCAACTTTCGTTGATAGCAATAAGTCAGATTTAGATAAAACCAAATTTCTTTTAGTGAAATTCATATACTGAGCATATACTTACAGACAGTCTATTATTTATAATAAATGCAATGCGTAATATCTCTGTATTCTTATTGAATGTTATATTGTAAAAGTGACATATAGGCGCGATGGGCCGGGTGTTTAAATACCTATTGTATGTATATTAACTTATTATATGTATATTTGTTGACAATTGTTGTAATCGTTCATAACACCTGTCACTATAATAAACCATTTACTTACTTTCGAGTTGTTCGTACGCAGCTTTTGAATCAATATCGAAAGCACTGAAAGCATTGAAAATATCGGGGGAAAGTATACTAAATAATATCAGCATAATCTTTATATAGTTGTGGTAGTAGTATCTTATTTTAATGCATGTAATGGGTCTGTAAGAAATCCCAAAAAGATATTATACAATTATTGCTGTTTTTGAGGTCAATACAAATGGCTAAATCATTGTATTGACCTCAAAAACAGCAATAATTGTTTTATTATATGATTCACTGATAAAATGATACAGCTCATTACGTGTTTGCATTTTATTAAGTACTAGCCAACTACAAGAGAGAAGCAGAATTAAAATGTGAATAAACCTTACTAATCGTATCAATTTGAAATGTTTTTATTAATTTTAGTTGCCATGAAAAAATATATAATGTCAGTCTTTTTTATGGCGTCGGGCTTGCCCGATCGTCATCTAATCATTTTACGCGATGCACATGTCAGGCTGTCGCGAACTTAGCAACAGCTGTAAAATTTCTTTTGAAACGTTCACAATAAAAGTTGAATATAAAATTAAATCAATTGTTTCTTCAATCTTTATACAGAAAAACGTTGTGGTAATTTCTAGAGAGGGTGCGTCGAATTACATGAATCACATTTTAATGCATGTAATGGGTAAAATAATTACAAAATAAACACGAATTCAACAAGAATAAAGATTGAATTTCTTACAATTTTATCTTCAATCCAATTTTATCCGAACAACAAATATTGCTAAATGCATTGTATTTACCATTTCCTCCAAAAACAGCAATAATTGTTTTATTATATGATTCACTGATAAAATGATACAGCTCATTTGACAATGTCAATTAATTTTATTTATGAAACCCTTCCAAATACAAGAGAGAATATAGAGGATGAATTAAAATGTGAATAAACCTTACTAGTCACAAGTATCAATTTGAAATGTTTTTTTTAAAAATTTTATTATTATGTTGCCATGAAAAAATATATAATGTCAGTCTTTTTTATAGGATAGATTTTGAAAGGAAGGAGTCTTATCAGGGAAAACTGACTGCCAAAAAGTAAAAAAAAAATGTTGTTCAGTAAAAGTGTTGGAGGGGGGACCCTGCATCCCCTCTTACCACCCTCACCCTAAAATATATATTTGCTTATGTTTTGTTGACATGAAAAAAAAAATCATAGTCATATAAAAAGCTTTCCAAAACAATTTGTATCAATTTGGAATTTCCCAATCTATTTTTAAATCAATGTAGAGGAAAAAAATCCTTGTATTGACTTGGAACGTCACGTGCAGGTCAATACAACGTAGTATTTTTCTAACATAGTTGGATCTCAGCCAATCAGAGCTGGAAATTATTCAATCATATAATAATATACATTATTATATGTTTAAAACAATGATTTATCTCTCTGATTGGCTGAGTCCAATATTCACTGAGCCCGGAGGGCGAGGTGAATATTGACCTGCGAAGATGGCTATGGCTAAATCATTTATTTCCTCTACATTGATCTAAAAATAATTGTTTTATTCCAAACTGATACAAATTGATTTGGAAAGCTGTTTAAACTACTATAACTTTTTTTTCATGTTAAACTTAAGTCGAATATATATTTTCCAAAAACAATGGTAAGAGAGAAGCCCTCCAACATTTTACTGAACAACAAATTTTACTTTTTTTATTATTTTTATTATTTTTCCTTCAAAATTAATCCTATGAAAAAAAAATTAATTTTTTTTTTCATGGCAACTAAAATTGATGAAAAATAATAATAATAAAAAAAATAAATACGACCGGTAAGGTTGATTAACATTTTAATTCGGCTTCTCTCTTAAAATTGTTTTTGGATACAGTAATAGGACTTAATTAAATGCAAACAAGTGGAATGGGTTTTATCGTTTTGTCAGTGAATCATACAATAAAACAATTATTGGCTGTTTTTTTCGGTAAATACAATGATTTAGCCATCTTCGATCTCAGTAGAAGTATTCACCTCGCCCATATAATAAAATACATTATTATATGATTAAAAAATTTCTATCATTTGACCTCAAAACACAGCAATAATTGTATAATACGATATCTTTTATTCTCATATTAAAACTACAAAAGAACAGTTAATTAAAAGAATATTCAATTCAATTCAATTTGTTTATTGACCAATTAAGGGCACTCGTGGGGCAAAAAGAAAGTACATTGTTAAAATATATATAATTGTTGTGATCATACACATGAAATATTAATACAATATACATACGATAGGAGGGAAAGTGTTGCTTGATTGATAGGAAAGACATACAAGTAGGTGAATTCGAATAGCCAAAATATTTTATATGTACATAAGAATTGTTTTATAGGTATATATACAGGTCATCATATACATGTATACATTATTAAATCATATACTTGAAAGTATCATACTTTTACATAATCAATAATTTTTAAAAAATGTCATATTCCTAAAACTTATGGTAATGCTTTTTTGTAAAAATCTTCCAAGAGAGTTTAGTATATCTAATTCTTCACAGTTTAGAATCCAGAATAATTTTTGTTTATCAGGCAATTCTGTAAAATGTTTTACTTTTGATGAAATCAGATGAAATAGATCTTCTTTCTCCTATGTAAATTTGCTACAGTGAATAAGGAAGTATTCTTCGTCTTTAATTTGATTAAGCGTACAATTTTTACATATTCTTTCTGATCTGGATGTGTTATTATATCTGCCCAATTCTATGAATAGTCTGCAAATTGGCTTTCTGTTTTCAGGTTTAATAAAATTAGATATTTTTTCCAGTCGAAACAAAATAAATCGAAGACAAAACAAGGAAGAAAGAAACAAACAAACAAATTCACAAAAAATTCAAACCAGTATTAGTTTGTGACACCTCTATTAAATGAAATCAGTGGAAATGAATAAAATTATAAATCACATTTCGTATTTACAAGCGACCACGGGCACAGGAGAATGATGAATCACAAAATTACTGACGCTCCCGAAAAGCGTGCGTCTGATTTTCCCAAGTCCACGTGACCCAACAACTATCATTATTGCATTTACGTCTGTGGCTTTTGAAATGATGGCGGTTTTAGGATCACCTTCGAGTCTGATCACCTCCCCTTCTACCTGGTAATGAAAATAGAGTAAGCTTGAAAACAAGTACTATACATTTTAAATAAGTCACGTAAAGCGAGTGAGCGGACGCATTTACCTCATATTTGTATATAGTACTAGAGATTCAGAAAGACATTAACGGGAACAGAACATCTTAATTTCATGATAAACGTTATGATTTTAACTTTTTATGTCATCCGAGTCACTCAAATGATCGATTGGTATTGGTGTTTGCCCTTCGTCATACGTCGTTCCTAAACCTTTGAACTATTTAGTTTCTTATAAACAGCTAAACCAATTTCAACCAAATTCATTAGTTCTAAAATTATCAGAGAAACAGGTGCCATTAAGGAATAAGCATCCCCTATCGACGGTTACACACACCGTGTGCTCCTTGTTATGAATGGACAAACAGAAAACTACCTACTACAGAAAATTATATAGTGCGAAAGATTAGTATTAAACTTTAAACGTCATTCAGTATTTACTGACAAGGTCATTGTTTTGACTATACAACTTGCAAAAAATTATGTTTTAAAACTTAATAGTTACTGTTGATATCCATCTTTCATAAACTGGTTTGTCAACAGCTAGACTTGTCTTACAAATTGTTCGGAAGTAGAGTGTGCTTTGCAGTCAACTGAGAGACATAAATTTAATATACAGATGATAAAAGCATATTGCTAAATAATTAAGGGAAGTGACAAGTCTATAGAAAAGTTGAATTCATCACTTTTTATCATAAAGTTTGTTGCTAGGTCATCAACGAGATCGTCTAGTAAAATAAGCAAAAATGAAACATATATGTCAGACTTCGTGGTATCTTTTTTTACGCTCACTAGGATATATCTAGTCGACATATAATGGAGGGAACTACTGTAAATTGATGATACGTGGTCGATTTCTAAAATGCCTAGTCGTAGGCCTTGTGCAGCAAATGGTTTTCTCTGCCCGTGTTTAAGGTTTTGAATGAATTCTGTTTTACCCAGTATATGAATTTAAAAATACAGTAGGTCTTCTGATAAGCCGACGCAATATTGGAAGCATTTGGAATTCTGACAGATTTATTATTTGAAGATTTTATATCCAAAAATTATACATAATAAATACATTGTCAATAGGAAACTGAAGCATCTTTTTAATACCAACTTCGGAGTACTTTTGTGTACAACCAAAATGTTTTCAACAATAATTAAGCAATTGACTTATGACAAGGTAAATAAATTCAATTTTTTTTAAGTTGTTTTATTATGAGCTAATAATTCTAAACTTAAAACTTTCGTGGGGAATGTTGTATAAAGTGTAGAAGTCGTAGACTTTAATGCTATTGATTTTTATACTATGAGAATTTAACTGATACTTTATTCCATTGTGATAAAGTGTCAAGTTCTTCTTTTTCTTGTCTGGTCCATCGCCCGGCGAACTATTTCACATAATTCATAATATTTATGAACTAAATATAAAACCATTTGAAAGATCGGGTTTCCCCATATTTTGGACATTTTAAAGAAAGATATTTAAGGTCCTCATTATTAACTATATTTACGTCAACAGTAATGATTTGTCCAGACACTTTAGTTGTAGAGGGAAAAGAACCTGAATATGTTGGAGGATTGTGTTTCAGGACTTTGTAAACTTAACATTAACATTATTAACATTAATATTACTATTGTGATAAAAATATGTGTAGACGTTGATTGATTTTGGTGTGTTTCCTTTGAAATGTAAAAGACTTGGGGTGCTGTATTTATCACTTTTTACCTGGTTAGATATGAGTAAGCTCTCCATTTTGTCCAGAATTGACAATATGCGCTTTTCGTCTTCTTCTACCAATCCCTCAATAACATCGTAACCAACTTGAGCAATAGAGAGAACTTTAAAAAGATACATAAAAATAGAAAATTGATTATATTTAAATAACGGCTATATAAATAATAAAGATATGAAATGTGTGATTTCACACATTCATTTTATATCACAAGTTTTCTTTCACGAGAAATTTTGCAGAGAATGCCAGAAATGCATAGCGATTGTACAAATCAAGCAAATGTTAAATCAAATTTAAAATTATTGATATTTTATCCGTCTCAAATAATTTGGTGTATAATAAAAACAAAATTTTAGTGAAGGAAAAACTTCAAGAGTACTGTGCAACAATGTATTTTAGAAGTGGTGTGAATCAGATGTGGATACTAAAAAAATTCCAAAGAACTTTACAATTTGAAATCACAAAATTTTACCAAAAGTAACAGCTTAAAAACTGACGACAACAATTCCCCATGATAAATTAAAGTCCAGGCATATCATTGACTGCTGCTTTTTCAATAAAAAAGGAACTCTTAAATTTACGTACCTGGTCATTGGTCATTTGCAAAATTATTTTGATAAAACACATTCTGATTGCACACACAAGTACTCGGAAGTTGACATAAAAAATGATGCTTGATTTTTTGATTGACAATATCTATGTGGTTTTTGGAGACCAGGTCTTCCAACAATAAATTGGAATTCCTTTGGTTATCAATTGCGCTCCGTTATTAGCAGACCTATTTTTGTATGTATATGAAGCAGAAATTGTGCAAAATCGTATGCATGAAAAGACGAAAACACTTGCTGTGGCCTTCAATTCAACATATAGATATATCGATGACGTATTGTCAATTAACAATGGTTATTTCCATTCCTATGTCGATACGATATATCCTGGTGAGCTTGAGATAAAAGATACCACAGAGTCCGACACATCTGTTTCATACTTGATATTTTACTTGAAAAAGACATTAATGGTAATCTAACAACCAAGCTCTTTGATAAACGAGATGACTTTAACTTTTCTTTCGTCAACTTCCCTCACTTATGCAGTAAAATACCTTCCTTACCTGCATACGGAATTTATATATCTCAATTAATTCGATACGCAAGAACATGCTCTATGTATGAACAGGTAAATTATTGACGAACAAGTTGATGAACAAGAATATCAGCAGTTTCGTTTAAAGTCATCATTTCGTAAGTTCTATGGTCGATACAATGACCGTGTCAGAAAAATTAATACAATTTATCATTGAGTCAAATGCTGACTGACGTTTTTCATACTAATTGTTAGTCCATTATTTATACACTGAATTGACGACGTAATTTTTTCGTTATTTCTGATGATGACAAGGAGCACGCGGCGGGTGTGACCGGTCGGCAGGGGATGTTCACTTCACCATGGCACCTGATCCCACCTCTGATATTTTGGAGGTCCGTGTTTGCTCTGCTCCTATTTTGTATTTGTTTTATGGACTTTGATATTGAATACTGTTCGTTATCTCCATATCCTTCATACAAAACGTATCCAGAGTGATTTATTCCCTGAAAAATCGATAACACAAGGAATTAAATTGTCAATTTGTATAATTGAAATGCGCTTTCCCAGTTTTGTATTTTTATGCTTTTAAACTAGTAGTTATTTTAACAATATCATTATTGTTTAATAAAGCTAACTAGTTAGTACATGTACCAATGACAATTTGATTGTAATCTCAAAACAAATCGATAAACGGAATATGACCAAGACCTTCATTAATTGTTGACATGTAAAAACGAGCATGTCGGAAATATCAGTGGAATAGCACGAAGACGTCATTTTAAGTGCTTTATTACTGATTTATTCTTGAACTTGAATGGAATACTTTCTCGATATTTGATTGATAATTTGCTGCCGGCAAAGTGACTTGGAGGAGGGGGCTGTAAGAAATATGTAGAACACTTTCTAGAGTCAATTTTCATAAAATAAGTTCTGTATTCTCTGCCTTTCACAACTTTTAGAGAGGCCCGTGTTCTGTTAGGGGGAGGGGGTCAGAAGGCACTTTTTTGTTACTTATACATAGATATTAAATAACTTTCACACCCGGTGCAAATGAGATTGAAACATTGTTATTTCCATCAATTTATTTTAATAAAACAAACACTATATCACACCCGTCAAACTTACCCCCGGGATCCGCCTCTACGTATTCTGCGCAGTGAGCACATATCACGTAGTTGTTTGTGTTGTGTATTTTTTCCACGTATTCTGAAAGTTTCAATTTTCCAAAACATGTATATGTTCCATAAAAATGTTGGAATATACATTTTATGCACAAAAAGCTTGTCTTAGACACCGTTTGCCTAACATGTGTAGTTAAGACATATTATAATATACTTTTACATTATCTTAACATTTATTATGGAACAAAGAATTATAACAAAGGAGAAATAAAAAAGTGTAATAAAGCTCAGTAGAGTTTCACTTTGCATACGAACATTCCGTAGAACTGTTTAAAATAAGGTAAATGTTATGGTTCAGAATTTTATACTCACGATTGAACGCATATACAGACTCTTTGCTTCCATCCATAGCTATCAATACATTCTTCATTTTTATTTCAGAAGATATGTTTTCATTGTGTGCATGCATTAACACTAAATACCTGATATTTACCACCTTGTTATCTATTGTGTAAATAACATTGACATCAGATTATAGACTTTGCATGATAAGAACACTATGATGACACAACATCACTAATTTTATCTCAGGATCGTTAATCTTTTGTAATCAGTATAAAATATTATCTGGTAAAGTTTAATTTGAAAGCAACGCTTACAAATACTATATGATAAAATAAAAAATTACAAGAATATTTGTCTGAAGATGATAAAAGAGGCCTTTCACCGCTAAAATAAAATGTCTATAACAAATTTATCATAAGTTCTTTGAAATTTTGAAAAAGACACCTTAAAAATTCAGACAGTAATATTAAGGGTAAAGTCAGACAATAGATAACGTGTAAATTTTATTTATCTTATGACCGAAAGATTGATTCAGTTGCACGTGTCACATTTACATCTTTTAAGAGCAATCTTGACGAGTTATTGACCTAATAATGAGCGTTTTTATCATAAGGCTGGAAATTAGAGTTTTCTCGGAGTTTATAATTATGAAAGATAAAAAAATGCCCCCTTTTAGATATTATAATGAAGATTTAAAACAATTTAAATATTAAAATTAAAATGGAAAAATTAAAGGATCTGCAAAGCTATATATTTCCAGAATCCATTTACTATTTACGTTATTAATTGAAAAATCAATATGGTGTTTAAAATTTTGTGTGAATATTTTATGAAAATTAGCAAGAAAATTCCGTATAAAGAAAATATTTTATATCAGATACGAGCGGTCAATGTTGTGTTTTGTGAAAAAAAATTGTTTGATTCTTTCTTTTATCCTTTCTTTGATTAGCATGTGCTTTCAAATTTTATGGTAAATTTTCAAAATAGATTTTAAAAAACCATAAAATATATTCATGAAGCTCCGAGATGCAATCAAAAATTAATGTTTCATTAATATCAATTTTTGAAATACAACCTGCAAATATGTTAAGATAATTTTAGATTTATTTTGTTTGCTACAATTTTTTATAGTGATTTCCAAATTAATGTAGCCTAGAAAAAATTTCTTGGGATATGAGGATTTTGGCCCCATCTTAAATTGGATGACAAGACTTACAATTATACCAAATAATATATCAATAAAGGCTCGATAATAATTATCATATTCATTTTGCCATATTAACTTGGCTGTTTTCCAAAAGCCCAGAGTTAAAACAATATAAAATATCTTTTTAAATTATTGATCTTTTATTGATTTTTATTATTTAAATAATAATACTACAAAAAACCCTCACTGATAGCTTTATAAATTTAAATGTTCATCAAAATTATTCTGTCAATTTGTAACTAAATGCCAACGAAAAATTCCAAATCCTGCAATCTTTGCCTTCTAAAAATTAAAGGCTACAGTGGGTGCGTCTTCCTTCGGACTTTGTGATGTACTTAGATTATTAAATCCCGGCTTTCATTCTTTTCAGTACTTTGATTAGACTTGCATTTGCAGACCATGACTGGGATATGAGAATGATGAAGCACGTATTCACTGACACTCCCCAGAATTGTTCGTCGAATTGTCCCTAAACCACGTGATCCCATCACAATCAATGATGCGTTTAACTCCTCCGCTTTAGAAATAATTGCACTTTCAGGCTTTCCTTCAGTTCTTACCACTTCGCCGTGGATCTATAAAAAGTACATAAAAATTTTGATATCGTATTCTAGCTAAATATCCTAGACATCCATTGAAGCATTCCTTTTTCCACTTTTAAAAAAGTGATTAATGGATTAATTTCTTTTTAAAGTAAACAAACTTCAAAGCATATTTTTTGAAAGGTTACATGCTTTAAATAATAAATACATTATTTTCTTTCAGAAGTCTCTTTAAGTCCTCAGTCAGGGCTAACATTCTTTGTTCGTCCTTTTGTAGAATATCCTTTATAGCCTGAGCATCATCTCTGGTGATGGACAATTCTAAAGTGCATACATATAAAATAAATAAGGGTTTATTATGCCGGGGAAAATGTTTCTTTTGTTAATTTTTCTTACTTATTTACTACTAGCTATAGTTTTCTCTAAATGTACCTTCTGGATTTGAAATGCTGTAATGTGCACAATGGATAACCACAGCATGCTTGTCTTCGTTGTGGATTTTTTCCATGTATTCTTGGTAAAAAATAAAATCAAAATTAAAAAATCTTTTAACATGCTACAATCTGTAGCCCTCGGGTTTGATATACTTTGAGATGGACGATCATAGAGCTACAGTGCCATCAGATAAAAAATGCATAGTATTTATTGCTTTCAAAAATGTTCTGATTCTTGATTAATTTCTTTGAATATTTAAACAGCCCTCTCAAAAGGTTACTCAATGTTATTAATTTTTATCATGTAAAAATATTACAACCATATTCTTTTGCAACTTAAAAAAAACGTTCTGATTATAAACACAAGTACTCTAAAGTTTAAAACAACATCTATGTAATTTCCTAAAGACAACCAATTGCGCACAGATATTAAGCAAAATATATTCAAATAATTATACAAAAATAAAAAAAACCCACTTCTTGTGGCTTCCAACTAGACATATTTAAGATACATCGACGACGTAAAATCAATTAACAATAGTTACTTCCATTCACATGTCAACTCACTATATCCCATTAAACATGAAATAAAAGACACCAAATAGTCTGACACATCTGTATTATATTTAGATATTTTCCTTGAAAAAGACGTTATTGATCATCTAACAACAAGTCTTTATGATGAAAGTGATGATAATTTTTCTATCTGTTTCATACAAGTAAAATAGACGTACATACAATTAAATTAATGTGTTTGACTGATTTGATTATTTCATACTCACCTTCGAGAGCAAATATAGATTCCTTGCTGCCATCAACAGCAATTAAAATCTTCTTCATTTTACTTCTCAAATTGTAAACAATCTCTCACGAGTATCACATATACATGTAAGTTTCTAGTCTCGGTACTCAGCTGATAACGTGTATAAATAGTCGTTGCAATGAGATATTATCTAGAATAAGTCTTGACTTTAAAGTACATTTTTATCACTATGAAATCAAGAATTTTTCTTAAATTAACTTATTGCACCCCAGTATGCAACCTTTTCCCAAGGCACAGCTTGATTATTCTTTAAAATACTGTACATTTGTAGATCACAAAATTTTTACAACACCGCACTTTCGCAAGTTACGTATTTGGTATTTATAACCAAGACGAAGTTTTCACGAATGCTGGTTTTAACTGTATATATATCTAATGCTTTTTTAAAGAAGAAATATGAAATATATCAAGATAACGAACAGTATTCTAGCTCAAAAGTCCATCAATCATTACAAAATAGGAGCAGAACAACAGGGACCTCCAAAAAATCAGAGGTGGGATCAGGTACCATGGAGGAGTGCGAATCTCTTGCTGACAAGTCAAACCCCTATGTGCTCCTTGTCATGGGGGGGGGGGGGCATAAAAATCAGTGGACAAATCGATCATAAAAATAACGAAATGATGACCTTAAATGAGACTGTTGATATTCTTGCTGCATCGAATTATTTGTCAGTAACTTACCTCATTTGAGAAATTGTTCATACGTAGAACATGCTCTTCTGTATCGAATAAACTAAGATAAATCGTATGCAGGTAACAAAGGTATATTGCTGCATAAGTAAGGGAAATTGATGCTGAAAAAGCTAAATAATAACGTTTGTCATAAAGCTTCGTTGCTAGATAAACATAAACTTATTTTTCTAGTAAAATATCCAAATTTGAAACAGATGTGTCAGACTCTTATGGCATCTTTTATCTCAAGCTCATCGGGATATATCGTGTCGACATAAAAATGGAAATAACCATTGTTAATAGACAATGCGTCGTAAATATATCTAAATGTCGAGTTGAAGGCCACAGCAAGTATTTTCTTCTTTTTTCACGTAAAAGATTTTGAACAAATTCTGCTTCATACGAATACGAAAATAGGTCTATTAATAATTGCGAAATGGTATCCATAGGAATTCCAATCGATTGTTGGAAGAACTGTTCCCCAAAAACAACATAGATACTGCCAATCAGAAACTAAAGCATCAGATTCGTTTAGTATCAACTTCAGAGTTCTTGTGAACAATCAGATTGTTTTTAACAAAGTAATTTTGCAAATGACCAATGACAAGCAAGGGTGAGCAAATGTGCGAGTTCATTTTTTATTGAAAAGACAACTGTCAATGATGTCAGAAAGCCTGGACTTTAATTTATTATGGGAAATAGTTGTATATTGTTGGACAAAACTCTTGAACTTTCGCTTTCACTACTGATAATAACATAGTAACTTTATTGATGAAAAATCACAGGATATACAAGTACTTTCCTTTTTTAAAATAAAGAAGCAGTTATATCTGACATCAGAAATGCCAGCTTTTCTTGATGAATGGTTGTATAAAGTGTAAGAGGGTACATTTTGTATTAAATATACATTGTATATTTAAAACAAAAAATAAAATTGGCGAGGCCACCTTAAAAAATGTTTGTTTGCCCTCTCCCGACTGATTGACTAAAATGCCCCGACTAAAATTTTTTTTAACTCCCAGAAAACTTTTTGAAAGTTCATTTAAAAGTTTTCTCACTTCATTAAAACTGTTTTAACATTATAACAGCAAGTGTCTCTTTAAAAAAAAAACTTAAACATATCTTTTTTATTATGGATCGGAAGAGGGCGAGTCTTTGAAGTTTTCGAGATAAAATATATAGTTAACACTACAGGAAGTTAAAAAAAGTATGCTGTAGTACAGTAGGTCTGAAGTTACTCCCTTAGATCAATTCATATGTTTGAAAGGATTGAAGAAAGAGGCTTTATAGAGCATTTACTGGATCACTGGCAATAAATCTTTGTTTCGTAAGAATTTATTTGAAATTTAAGAATCCAGTTTATGTAAAGAGTAATGAAAAATAACACTTTTGAATATTCATGAATAAAAAGATTACACTATTAATAGAATGAATTTTGTATGCTATTGAGTATTGCAAAAGTACACTTTAATTTGTATATTAAATATTTCTAACATGTTTTTTTATGAACTGATATATCAAAAATATTCTTTTTAACTTCATTATTATGGTTTGCTGGCATTTAACTCTAAAGCAACAACAATTAAGATGAAACATATGGAGGTATAGAACAGTATTCATGATGAAAAATCCATAAAAAAAAAATAGGAGCAGAACAAAAAAGAAACTCCAGTACATCAGATGCGGGATCAGGTGCCATGGAGGAGTGAGCATCCCCTGCCGACCGGCCACACCCTCCGTGTGCTCCTTGTCATGATCGGGAACTAAAGAAAAAAATCCGTCGTCAATTCAGTGTATAGATAATGGACTAACAATTAGTATGAAAAACCGTCAGTTAACATCAACAAACTTTGGCCACGTAAAGTGATTAGTTCCCACGCTTTTGTGTAGATTTTTTATGCACTATTATTTCTTCAAATAACTGCATCATATTTCATCAATTAATTCGGATTCTCGATGCCAATTTAACTTTATTCAATGAAAACCTCTCCATTAATTTTCTTTAAAAAACATTGGGTGAAGAACTGCATTTTATGATGGCATATTGTTTTTAAAAGAAAATAATCATTTTTTCCTCTTTCAAAGTATTTACTATACTGTTTAAGAAATTTCTTTTTTGCATTTAAAACATATTCAAATTTAAGCGAGCAATTCAAATCTTTTTGTGCACCAATTATTATTTTATGCATCTTATTATGATTTGAGATGCTTGCAAACTAACTTGTAAAAAAAATTACATCTGCACTCTATAAATTAAAGTACAAATATAAATACTAGTATATATTCAGAGGAATCAATTTATCTTTCATCAAGCCTTAAAAAGGAATGTTTTCTACCATTATGTAAAATAAGAAGAGACCTGTGATGTTTTGCAAAGAAAAAACATTTAGGTTTTTCAGTATGAATTATACAGCTCAACGCACTTTTTAAACTCACATGGATTTTCGCACAAATTAAAGTCACATTTTTCTTGCAATAAAACTTAAAATTATCGAGTTTCAGTACGAGATATAACTATTATATTATTAAATATTTCAAATTAAAGATGCATTTTCTCTCAAATTATAATCTTAAGTTTTAAAAGTCAATGTCCTTAAAGAGAATTTGTTTATAAATTGTATGATGTTAAATGTGTATGATTCTATCATAAGTATCTAACAATTGAGTAATCGAACTATCTATGATACTATTTGGTTGAAATGTTCAAATTGACTTCCTACAGATGAGTATTTTTCTAGGTACTTTGCACATTTTCCATACTTGTCTTGGTTTGGTCGAAATGAAGCGCCGAAAAATGACAAAACTGCTAAAGAAATCATGTGTAAGGATGGGATAATAAAGTATCGTTTATCTTTCAACGCATTAAAATTGTAAATATTGAAAAAAAAATCTTTTATATTTGTCTGTTTGTGGTCTGAAACTTTGAAAATTTGCGTTGGAAGGTATCTTTCATGATGCTATATTTCAGGAAATTACCTGAAAAAATGCCATCTTTTTCGCAGTCGAACAGATGAGAAATACTTCTATCATCATTCGCCTTAGTGTCATATTAATGTACAGAAAATACAGAAGTTACATGAACTGCACTGTTTCTGTATTTAGGCAAGGCAAAAGTTTGCTTTAAAATGAACGGATACAAAGACGGTTGCATTTGACGAGAAACCATGAGAAAACCATTTGGAAACTCTCATAAAAAAAAAATACTGTTGCCAATCATGTGATGCCTACTTCTAATTCAAAAGTTTAAAGATTGTTCTTTTTGCATAAAAAGATATAATTATATCGGGTCTACAGCATGATATTACCAAATTTACATAAATTTTTTAACTAAACTGGATATTGGCTAATCCGAATTTTCTCTTTTTTTCTTAATTTTTCAGGATATATTAGTTATTTTCATATGCTTCCTATATTTAACTTTTTTTTTTATTTTCACATATAATAAAGTAGTCTTATTAATGTACAAACTGATACAAAAACAAAAAGTTTTGATCGTTTACTAAGAGAGAAAAAATACTTTTTATGGATTTTTGGCTCAGATCTGTACTTTGATAGGAAGCGTTTAAAAGTTAACATAGTTCTAGTTTGTTTGAAAAATCATATTTTTTTTTATATAATTTGAAAGTTTAGTCCTTTATTATTAATTTAACTTACATTTGAAAAATTCTCCAAGTCTTCGATTGTGTAAAAATTATAATTATTAATCAATTATAATTGACTTTCTAAAATATCACTTGATTATGCAACTGAATATGAAATTTATATTTAGATGATTGTAGAAGATAAAGGGCAACTTACAACTAAATTATATGACAAACAAGATGACGTCAGCTTGTTATTCTCACATTCCTTATTTAAAGGTACTTGGACACAGATTTGAATTTAATATTTTCTGTATGATATCACGAATTATATATTTTAATAGCATTTCACACAAAAATTAATTTAAAAACTTATTACATTTAAAAGTTATTAAAACTTCAATTTTTTTGGCGGGTTTGATTGACACATCCTTGCACTTTCACAAATATTAACTTTATTCTTAATCTTTAGGAAAAGTGACAATCTTGTTGTGTATTAATGAGAAATATTAATACTTTAATCCAGAAAAATAATTTTATTCAGAGTAGAAATGTTAGAAAGCAAAACTCCTTCACGAATATCGTCATACCGAGCTAAGTTTTGTGTGCAAAGTTTAGCAAATCGATCACGCTCGTGTTATGTTCTGTAAACAGGGCACGAGCTCTGTTATTGTTGATGTTTACGATTCATCGGGTGCGTTCAATCGTTAAAGTCTGCTCACCACAACTGCAAGGACTGACAATATATATTGTGTTTGTTTTGCTTCCGAACATGTCTACTCTGAATTTTCTAGATTATAGTATTAATATTTTTCATTTATACACAACAAGATTGCCACTTTCCTAAGTATTAAGAATAAAATTAAAATTTGTGAAAGTGCAAGGATGTGTCAATCAAACCCGCCAAAAATTTGAAGTTTCAATAACTTTTAAATGAAATAAGATTTTTAATTAATTTTTGTGTGAAATGCTATTAAAATACATAAGTCGTAATATTATAGAGAAAATATTAACTTCAAATCTGTGTCCAAGTACCTTTAATTAAGTAGTTAAATATTCCACCTTCACATACAGCTGCATATGATGTTAATGCCTTCCAATTTATTTCCTTCTCAAAAGTATGCTCTGAGAACGATTGATTATTAAACCCATTACAATTAAAATTATTATTGTTATCACACGTAACACTCACAGTGGGTGTGACCAGTCAACAGAGGATACTTCCCCCACAGAGGTACCTGATCCCACTTCTTGAAATCCGGAGGACCGTGCTTATCTACCCTGTTTACAGATATGCGTACTGTGTTTGTAAAATTTCTTGAGATCGATCACTGCTGGTTATCTTTTCGCCCTTTCCATTATTGGGGTTTTATTAACGCGCTCCTTTACAAAATGGCAATGTCTATCATTAACCGTTATTCTAATTTAATAATATATTAGAAAAAGAAACACAGATATAAATCAAAATGTTTTATTTCAGTGCCATTCTGAAAACGTTAAAACTCACACTAACTCCATACAATATTTATGAGTATTTATAACATACACATGTACATAAGACAGTGACTCACTCCCAACTCACAATAAATTGAGTAAGGCTATCTTTAAAAATATTTTTGCTTGCACTCTCCCAATTAAGGATAAATGTTTTGGGTCGATAGGTAGTTTTTTTTTTCCAAAAACACTCGAAAAATTGAGGACTCTTTTTTTTGGAGATGAGAGAACAAAAGGTTTTTAGTCAGACCATCAGAAAAGGGCACACAAACAATATCTTAAAGGTTTCCTAAGCTGCAAGAATACAAAGCCCCACTGCTTATCTAATACATGTATTATCAAATATTTTTATTCGTACATGTATATATCGGTAAAAGAGTTCTATCCAAAAGGATTCATTTCATTTCACTATGAAATTCAAATGTTTTTGTTATTATTTTAAAATTTTAAACTTTTTAAAAATTATTTTTTGAAGTTATATTGCTCCTTAAAAAACATTGAAAACATAATAAAGTATTTTAGAGAACAAAGTAATGTAGAATGTAGTATATATCAAAATATAGTTAAGATGTACACTAATCAGTGTTGCTGTTCGTGTTTTTCGTGCTTACACACGAGGACAGGGATGTGGGAATGATGAACCAAGAAGTCACTCACACTGCCCATAAAAGTTCGTCTTAATTTACCCATACCACGTGACCCCGTCACTATCATGTCCGCTTTCTTCTCCTTTGCTTTGTGAATTATGTCATGACCAGGATTGCCTTCACCTTGAATGCGAACCACTTCACCGCTTAACTGAATTTTTTAAATAAAAAGCATGATACATGTACTTAATAAGTATTTATGAACGAACAAATGGTTATGTAAACAAATTTAAAAATCACTCAGCTATACAACCTTCATTCAGAGCACTAGTGTTGTGAAGGAGGAAAATAAAAAAAGTACTCACATTGTGGGATTCCAGAATTTTGTTCAGTTGTTCAATGAGAGCGTGGATTCGTTTTTCTTCCTCGTTTACTGTTCGCTCTACTATTGTAGGGTCTGCCTGTGACAGGGAAACCACTGCAAAACATTCTTGCCAACCTTTCATATACATATCATTACAACTATAAACAAATTTTAATACAGAATCTAGAATGACATATAATTTTGATATTTATATAAACGTTTATATTTGGCAATTTAATTCAATGGCATTAAAATAGTTTTGAGGAAGAACACAAAGCCCTCTGTAACATGTTAACAAACGAATTGTTCTGAGCTTTGATCAACCAAAACATACACGTCAGAAGGTTACACGTGTACTAGACAACAACAGCAGCCATAGTGTTGTTATATGTGGTATACATACATAGACAGAGGATATACGAGAACCAATACAAGAGGAAGCACCAGAATGAACAATGTCTGTACTTACTTCCAAAGTTAACATTCATGTACTCTGCACAATGGGCCAGAATAACGTAGTAACCAGGTCTATGGATATTCTCCACATAGTCTGAAACACAATACATATCATCTAAATAAACAATACTAACTGGATATAAAAGTAAATAAAATGCGTCTACATGGTGTCCATTCGATGGTCTCATAATGTCCAGCAAGAAGATCAAAAGAAGTGTAAAGTATATTATCATGATAAGAATGTAGTGGAAATAACAGGTACAGTAACGGTATATTTCCTGTCATTATGTAACACAATAAGGTCATTCAAAAAGTATAATTATTTTAGTTTCCGCTTAAAAATACTCAGAGGAAACTAAAGCAAGCAACATGACCTAATGAACACCAATACCATGTAGAAAATGTTGTGTTTGTTAGATATTTATTTAAAACCTTTTACACAGTTAAAAATATTTCGATTTTTGCAAACTCTTTCAAAAAAATACATTTTTGTGATACATAAACAGACCTGAACAATTTTATTCATTTTATAACCAAATCTCGAGATTAAGTTTATTTTCTTAATCTTAGGTGTTCAGGAGTAAAGGAAACATTTCATTCGTCATAAATTATCGAGTAGATCTTGTCTTTACTACAAATTGGGTAATGAAGCAAACAGCAAAAGAATAATGCACAACTATCATATAAGATGACAGAGCATACATGTACATTGCAATACCAAACTAGGGCTAATTGTAACGGGAACCGTTACAGATGTTCCCCAAACGCTCCCCAACTCCCTTTTGATGCTATATTCCCTTAAGCTCTAGTAAATAAGACATACTTTATGTAATTCAGACTTAGCAACGTTTTCCCAGCAGGATACAAAATATATTTAAATTTTAGCATTGCACGCATGCTCATGTAAATGTATGTGCGTAATGACCATATCATCTTGTCTACACTATCCATCTATTTTAATATACTTAATATCGAAGCATTTAATCTAAAAGTATTAAAAAATACTCTCATTTAAGCGTATTTTTAATTTTACGCATTTCACGTGCACGCATGTGCATGATGACCATACCTTCTTGTAGGAGTCCATTATGTCTATCTATATTCTAAAACCATCCTCTTTGGTTGAAAACCAAGGGAGTTATAACCATTTAAAGTTTAAGCCAATCAGATTGCAGCGCACGTGCATGCACGTGATTTAATGACAATTGTTATATATCATATTGTAGGATATCCTAAAGTATGCCTATCTTTTAAATTTCAAAGCATTTCGACAAAAAAAAAACGGAAAAGATATTGAGATTTTTGTTTCAGCCAATCAGAGCGAAGCACACGTGAACGCATGTGCATGCATGTGCATGACGACCATACCCTCTTGTAGGAGTCTATTATGTCTGTCTATGAACTAAATCCCATCCTGTTTGGTTGAAAAACAAGGGAGTTATAGCCATTTAAAGTTTAAGCCAATCAGACTGCAGCGCACGTGCATGCGCGTGTTTTCATGACAACCTTTATATATCATATTGTAGGACATTCTGTAGTATGCCTATATTTTAAATTTCAAAGTATTTCGTCAAAAAACAAAAAAGATATTGAGGTTTTTGTTTCAGCCAATCAGAGCGCAGCGCACGTGCATGCGCGTGAGTTCGTGCTAATTTGACCATGTCATATTATCAACACTATTAATATATCCTTATATAATGAGTTTTAAAGAATTTCATCAAAAAATGTAAAAGTTATGGTTATATAAAGTATATCAGTCATTTCACTCATTTCACGCGCCCGCACGTGCATGCGTATGCGCGCAAAATAACCTTCGTTCCGCACACCTACACTACACACCTATTAACCCTAAAAAGGTTTTAGCTCAGTTGGATGAACAGTTTCTGAGAACACTCGCGGACAAAAAAGTACCGGAGAACAAAGAAGAAAAAAAAGAATAATAATAATAATAACTAGTGCTAATTGTAACGGGAACCGTTACAGATGTTCCCCAAACGCTCCCCAACTTCATTTTGGTGCCTCATTCCCTCTAAGCTTCATCAAATAAACTAAACTCTATGCATCTTAAACAACGTTTTTCCTAGAGTATACCAAGTATATAGCAAATTTTTGCATTGCACGTGTGCACACTTGCATGCATATGTGGAATGACCGTATCATTGTATCTACACTATTAATTTATTTAAAAGTACTTAATATCAAGGCATTCAAAAAGTATTCGAAAATACGCTAAATCAAGTGCGTTTGTATTAATACATATTGCACGTGCATACATGTGCATGTTGACCATACCCTCTTGTAGGGGTCCATTAAGACTATCTATGTTCTAAATCCCATCCTGTTTGGCTGAAAACGAAGGGAGTTATATGCATTTAAAGTTTTAGCAAATCAGATTGTAGCGCACGTACAAGCGCGTGATTTCATGAAAATTATTTTATATCATATTGTAGGATATCTTAATGCATGACTATGTTTTAAATTTCAAAGTATTTCGTCAAAAAACGAATAAGATATTGAGATTTTTGTTTCAGCCAATCAGAGCGAAGCGCACGTGCATGCGCGTGAGTTCATGATAATTTGACCATGTCCTCTTGTCTGTAAATTAATACTAATATATTCTTACATTCTGAGTTTCAACACATTTTATCAGAAAATAAAAAAGTTACGGCTATATCAATTATATTGGTCATTTTACATGTTGCACGTGCACGCTCTTTCAAGCACGTGCGCGCAAAATGACCTTGATTCCGCAAATCTACATAACATGTCTACTTACCCTAAAAAGATTTTACTTACATCAGATGAACAGTTTACAAGATCATTCGCGGACAAATAAGTACCCAGGAAGAAGAAAAATAATAATAAGAAACAGAGTAAAAACAATATGTTCCCCAACTTCGTTTGGGGAACATAATAAGAAACCGAGTAAAAACAATATGTTCCCAAACTCCGTTTGGGGAACATAATAACATGACTTGGAGACAAAAAAATCTGTTAAATATTTATATGTACTCACATTTAAGTGCCATGGCGGCATCTTCACTACCATCCATAGCGATGAGAACTCGACACTCCGACATTTTTTGTCTGCTCTTGGTTCTATGTGGCTAAATTAAATCCACTTCATGCATTTATTCAATAAACATGCACCATTTGACAATGTACATTAGGTGAACTTGATAAAACGGCTTTTATCGCTCACCGGGTCAAGGTTTAACACTGATTTTTGAACAATTCATACTACTTATTAATCCACGTGTATACATTAAACTCCCAGGAAACATTCACGGTACAGAACTAGTACAACAAGACTAGTACAACATGTGTTATACATCACAAATACTTAGAACAATCGAGAAATGTGAAGTACCTGTATCACTGTTTACTGCTTAGTTTATTTCAGCGCTGTCAAAAATTATGTCATGTCATCTTTATTATTAATTATTCTAGGTTCTTCCTTATAAAAAATAAAAAAAAAAGTTTACATTTAGAAAAGAAATTCTGCAAAATATATTCCACTGCGATAACATATTTGGTTTATATTAATTGTTTTAAAATGAAAATAATTGAAATAGCGTTAACTTTTGTATATTTTTTGTCCTTACACATCACAAAAAGGAATTTTTAGATGAAAAAGATGACTTCTATCAGAGAATAAAATTTGCTATCTAAACGTGTCAAATATATTTCCTGTCGGAATAGCAATCTAGGTCAGACACATCGTATGTCTTACAAAGATAAACAATCGCAGGAATGTGAAGGTAATTCTTACAATTCTTTTCATCCTGCATAAAAGTTCACACAACACAAAAAAGCATTATATACATTTATTTGTGTCAAATTTTGAAGAATACAGAGTATGATCTAGAAATATTAATGCAACCATACAAACACAGACATGTATCAATGTTTCATACATATTTATAAATATATATATAGGAATAACTAATTTAATAGCATATCGCCTTCAACATTACCTATTTTCAATATCTTATCAACGGGAAATCATCATAAATAGTTTTATAATTTTTTTTGTGATCAAACATTCTATATGTCACGCAAAATAAAATAGATAAAATATGGGTTAAGTTTAAAACAAACTAAGACAGTTCAGCACTTAAGGTATAATGATATGATTACATTTATTACAGAAATTCATCCATCAAAAATGCATAGGTGATTTTAATATGAAAAGAAACATACACACCTTCACACGCCCACTATACAATTTAATCCTCATATACTTGCATCTTATTCCATCTACATATTATTTCTTTTGCTTTTTGACTTTCCTAGCTAATGTCAAAAAAATACCATATGTCTCAATGATGAATACAATGTATAGGAATGATTATGGCAGTGAATTATTTTTGTTAATAATCTGTGGTTTACAATGAGAGATTACGATTGCTTGATATTTATTTTTGCTGATTTTTTGGGATATTAAATACATGGCACTTCTGGAATTGGTATAAAAATAAATTGTATTAATAATGTAATATTGACATAATTAATAGCGTTAGCAATAATGAAAACATTAAATATGTAATACTGCAACTATTCAAAATGGCTTTGTTATGTCCAGACTTTTCTGAAAGAGAAAAAAAATTAACACTGCAAGATAAAATTTTGAGCAAGTGGAATCATAATTTGAAAGATAATTTTCGTCTTGATCCACATACAAAAATACATACCTCCAGCAAATGTAGACGTACTACTTTCTTTCTTTGGTACTTCTAATGACTTTGTTGTTTGCTTCAAGGTTGTTGTGGAAATTTTGACAACAGTCTCTGGATTCCGAGTTGGCTCTGGTGTACCATAGTCTACAAAGCAATGGTATTTATATAAAAAAGAATTTACCGGGCCTGGATATCCAATACCTGATACAGAATCCTCCACCGAGTTCATGTTCTTCGTCATCCTGTAATTATAGTCCTGCTGGGCACGTTATTACTGGTGACGTAAATATAGTAAATAATGAGGTCCTTAGATCACTTATTTCAAAAGTCCTTAATATATAAAACCCCAATTCTTCAACTGGCGTCGGATTATCATAAATATTATGGATTCTGTAGAAGATTACGCCAAGCAATGGGCCAGATATAAAGAAAAGAAGACGTTGACACTTTGTCATATTGGATTAAATGTATCGGATCTATTTTACAATCGCGCATAAGAAGATTGAGAGGCAATATGAAAACAATCTATCCTTTTGTATTCGGTTATCCAGAAAAAAAAATTTGATAGATTACATGATTAGTACGTACTGTTCCCTGTTGACAAAGCAGGTAACAACATTGTCTTTGTTTGTAAGCTAATTATATAAACTGCATTTTAGAACTTAAATTTAATTTTACAAGTGTTAATCATATGTCAGTTTTGAATATTTAAAACAATCCGAACAACCAAAAAGAATTTGGAATTACCATATCTATCTTGGATTCCACAACTTAATATCATTGACAGCTGCTTTTTCAATAAAAATGGAACTCGTTAGTTTACTTACCTTGTCATTGAATATTTGCAAAATTATTTTGTTAAAAACATTCTGATTATACACACAAGTGCTCTGAAATTGACATCAAAAAGATGCTTGGGTTTCTGATTGACAATATCTATGTGGTTTTTGGAGACCAGGTCTTCCAACAATCGATTGGAATTCCCATGAGTACTATTTGCATGTTATGAACAGACCTTTTCTTGTATTCATGTGAAGCAGAATTTGTCCAAAATCAAATACATAAAAAGAAGAAAAATACTTGCTTTAGCCCTCAACTCACCAATTAGATATCGACGACGTATTGTCAAGATACCACATATCCCAGTGATACGATTTATTCTGGTAAACTTGAGATAAAAGATACCACAGAGTCTGACACAATCTAACAACCAAGCTCTATGATAAGCGTGATGACTTTAACTTTTCAATCGTCAACTTCCCTTACTTATGCAGCAATATATCAGCAATTTACCTTCATCACCTGCATACGGGGTTTATATCTCTCAGTTGATTCGATACGCAAGGGCATGCTCTACGTATATACAATTTCTAAAAACGAGGTAAATTATTGACAAACAATAATGCCCAACATTGGTGCCTGGCACATTAATGGAAGAAGAATAATATGAAGACAAAGAATATCAGCAGTCTCGTTTAAAGGCATCATTTTGTAATTTCTATGGTCGATACAATGACCTTGTCAGCAAATACATTTTATCATTGAGTGAAACATATGGAGACAATATATAGTAACTCAAAATCAAAAGTCCATAAAACATTACAAAACAGAAGCAGAGCAAAAACGGACCTCCAAAACACCAGAGGCTGGACCAGGCGCCATGGAGGAGTGAGCATCCCCTGCCGACCGACGATACCCGCCATGCATTCCTTGTTATGATCGGGAAATAACGGAAAAATCCGTTGTCAATTCAGAGTATATATAATATAAAATAATAAGTATGAAATACGTCAGTCAGCATTTGACACAGTGATAAATTGCATTTGCTGACAAGGTCATTGTATCGACCATAGACCATAGAAATGATGACTTTAATCGAAACTGTTGATATTCTTGTGTCATCAACCTCTTTGTCGATAATTTACCTCGTTTCAAATATTGTTCATGCGTACAACATGCTCTTGCGTATCGAATCCACTGATATATTTTAACTCCGTATGCAGGTGATGAAGGTATACTGCTGCATAAGTAAGGGAGGTTGACGATAGAAACGTTAAAGGCATCTTTATCATAGAGTTTGCTTGTAAGATTACCATTAACGTCTTTTTCAAGTAAAATATCCAAATATGAAACAGATGTGTCAGACTTTGTGGTATCTTTTATCTCAAGTTCACCAGGATAAATCGATTATCGTATCGACATAAGAATGGAAATTACCATTGTTAATTGACGTCGTCGATATACCTAAATGTTGAGTTGAAGGCCACAGCAAGTGTTTTCTTCTTTTCACGCATAAGATATTGTACAAAGTCTGCTTCATATGAATACAAAAATAGGTGTGGTAACAACGTTTTTGCAATAGTTGCACATGGGAATTCCAATGGATTGTTGGAAGACCTTTTCTCCAAAAACAACGTAGATATTGTCAATCAGAAACTCAAGCAACTTTTTGATGTCAACTTCAGAGTACTTGTGTGTACAATCAGAATTTTTTTCAACAAAATAATTTTGCAAATTACAATTTATATAATAAGCCTTACAAACGAAGACAATGTTGTTACCTGTTTGTCAGCAAGGACCAGTATTTACATACTGAATTGACGATGTATATGTCCAGTTTTTTTTCGATCATGACAAGGAGCACATGGCGGGTATGTGTGACCGGTCGGCAGGGGATGCTCACTCCTCTGATGTTTTGGAGGTCCGTGTTTGTTCCGCTCCTATTTTGTGTTGTTTTATGGACTTTTGAGCTTCAATGCTATTCGTTATCTCCATATATTTCATACATAAGGACATCTTTTTTCTTCCATTGTTTTTAATGATTTACTTTACCTATGGAACAATGTGTGTTCAACTTGACCACTATCTCGCTACACCTTCCCATGTATCCTTAAAGCTCGCCTGTGTCATATTTCTGCTCATTACAAGTGGAAACGTGGCTATAAAGTACAAGCGGCGAGCCCATTTCTCTACATTTTCCTTACTTATAAGCTTGACTAATGTTCGTTATCTCCATTTACTTCACTTTAGTACGTTGCTTGATTATAGAAACGTTTTCAACTTCTAAATGATGATCATTGTTTTAATGTTTCGTGAAGAGTGTGACCGATCAACAGTGGAAGCTTATTCCCTCGTTGTACTTTATTCAACCTCTGATGTTTTAGAAGTCTGTGTTTGCTCTGCCTCTGATTTCTATTGTTTAATGAACACTCTGAGGATGATTTTGTTCATTTTGTTTTCATGAAAGAATATTCTGTTTTATATACACTAATTCTTTCAGTAAAAGTACATAATATGTACAGAGCTGTACTTGAACTAAGAGTCGCATACTAGTATCTGTTTATGCATACTCTAGATCACAAGCTGCAGTCTCTTTTACAACTTTAATGGAATAAAGTTACTGCCCAAATCCAGAGTTCTTTTTGTGTAAAAATAGCCACAAAATATCCAAGCAAGGTCAAAGTTACCTAATTTATGGCAAAGAAACTTTTCTATGACAATCAAATGTGTCACTCTGCTAAAGGTTTAGGTGTTCTTCAGAAGGATTTCTGAAATCTTTTCCAAAATATTTCTTATTAAAAACCATGATTTAAACACATTTGAATCTACACTACGTCAGTGAAAAATAAACAAGACTTCCTTGGTCCTTGTGTTCATAAAATACAAATGCAAAATTACTAATGATAACCTAATCAATGTCTTAAATTGCTGACTTAATTCAATTCAATAAATTGGATTTCGTTGTAAATATTAGAGAGGCCAAATTTATCTAAAAATGAATACCTTTGATCGTTGTTAATCCATAGTCAGTACCTAGAATATTCTCTGCAGAACAGTTATAGTCTCCTAAGTCACTTTTACTCATATTCCTTATTTTCAAAGTAAAAGTGTTGGAGTATTTGCTATGGGTTTCTCGTCCTGTTTTGAACATCACATCTTGCTTACTCCAAGTCACGATCGGCGGTGGATTCCCTAAAACGTCGCACTTCAGGTCCATATCCAGACCGGTCATTAGTGCCACCTCTGCCTGCACAACGACCTTTGGAGCAACTGCAATGAACAGCATATCACCAATTGATTATAATACTTAGGTGTATTTTAGTCATGATTTTAGCCAAACCAGTAAAGAGAGTTAATATTTTTTTAACATCAAGTAAACGGATCTACAGTTAAAGGGCTTGAAATTAATATATCTTGTTATTCAGAAACTATATTTTTTTGTATAAAAGTTTTTGTATCATAAAATTTAAGACACATTCTTTAAAAATGAAGTAGACGATCTTTAATAATCTAAAAATATCTGAATTCAGAAGTTTATTTTGTTATCCTTTGTTATTTATAAGCTTATCCTTACATTTACAACGTTTGCTGAAATTATCCTGAATGAAAGAAATTTAACAAAATCAAGACATATTTAATTGAGAAAGACAATTATATTAGATGCACGTGAAGCAACATTCTGATAGAACTATCTATATTAAAATTCAGTTATTTATGTTATTTGATAAAACAGAATGTAAAAACAAAATGCTCCTTCATCTGCCACTTGATAAGAATATTTTTTCCTTACACTCAACGTCAACTGTTATATTTTTGGAATCCATCACTCCATTTCCATTGGCTGTCTCACATATGTACATTCCAGCGTCATCACGATTCACGTTCTCTATTACATAATGTTTTCCGCTTCCAACTGAAACCGATAAGAATTTGTTGACTTAAGACACTATTTGTGCAAAAAACATCAGATAATATAAAATGCAAAGCATGATATCAACAGAATTTTTTTTTTACAAGTGCTGGTTATAATACTTATGATGTCCGCAGATCATAGACATAAAAATAAATATTAGCTGCAGATCTGTAACTCACTGGTCTCACCGTCTGAATAAAATTGGGATGGACTACTGGAGCCACGGTGTCACCCATCTGAATGTGTGTACTTGTTGCATACAAAAATGTGAACTTATCTTACATTATTTAGCTGCCATCTCGAAAACATTCTTCTTTTACTTATTCTTTTACGACTTCCACAAAAAAACATTCTAACAATATCTATGTAAATGTCATGGACGAAGAGCGTTTGACCACACGTTCTTCCAATTCTAAATGGCGATCTCAATCAGTGAAAATTTTGATAATCTAATTATCTGACCAGAAAAGCTATTAACGATTTTTTCAATGAAAGGCACTTTAGTTCTTTGTTCTTCTACTCCATTTTTATTCGATCGGGGAGCCACAGTTCTGCATTGAATAAGCAGGTGTGTCGAAAAAATCTATTGTTGCACCTTTAGCATTTGTAGAAAATTTAACAAAAATTAGTATTTTCTCTTTATTTTTATAAACGCTGTAATTGTCTATATTATATTTCATTGAGGACTATTTTTCTTCTGTAATTGATTTCTTTTCAAGGAAGCAAATATAAGGTCAGAAGTTGGCATAAGCTTCAGAACTGTAGCTCTCTTTAGGAATATAGCTCTCTTAAGGAAATACGGAAAGATAAAGCTATAGCTACGGTTTTGCGTCTTAAATATTCTATGATATATATCTTTTAAATTTCAAATTCTTACCAACTGAATTGTTTTAAAATATGAAATATATAAATAGGATTGAAAAATGAGTTAAAATCATAAAAATGAGGTGGGAGGGTAACACTTACCTTTATATTTCTCTGGTCTTGCTATATACGAGGGTTTTCGGATTCTGTACCATTTGATGCTGTAGTTAGTGTTGGCAATAACCTTACAGTGCAATGTCAATTTCTCTCCCTCCAACAACTGTTCTCTATCACTATCTTTTACAATTTTAATAAAGGGAGCTGTAATATTGAAAAATTAGAATTCCGTTACAGAAATAACAGGAAATGTCAATTGGTCAGTATCAAATTTGAACCATAAAAATCTAAACATAAAATATGCATTTCCTTCCCAACACCATGGACCACTTACCGGTAGATGTAACAACTCAAAAAACGGTTTAAGTTGAAAGACCAAGCAACAAAAATCTTATTATACTCAAAAGTAACAACATTAACATAATTATCCTTTTAAAATCCATCAGTCTGAAGCCAAATCTTTACCAGAAGGTGACTATGAACCATTAGTTTTGATAGTGAATCAACTTAGATAAAAGAAAAGTTTGAAAACTTTAAATGCTGGTATGCTTTTTTCGCATGATTGAGTTGTCCTTGAGGCAATCTGACTATAGAATTCTGATTTAAGCGCATTCTGACTTTTCCCTGAACCTATCACATCAGTTAAACTTCGTTTATGGAGATTCTGAGATTCTGCGTGGATTAAAAAAATCATTAGCATCAATCCTTCATGAACAAGAAAGCTACAGAAAAAAAACACCTAAAGCTATTGTTTTGTTTGAGACATTTTCATTCTTTTACCTGGCTCATCTTACCTACTTTCTCTACACCATTTATTCTTAGACAAAACTGACCCCCACACATTATCATTACACTATCTTCTCTTTCTTGTCTTGTGGTATCTACTTTCTCTAAACCATTTATTTGTTCCTAGACACAATTGACTCCCCATACACTTTTTCTTTCTTGTCTTTCTTACGTACTTTCTCTTCACCATTTGTTCCTTGACACAACTGACCCCCATACATTATCTCGTCTTTCTTGTCTTATCTTACCTACTTTCTCTTCACCATTGGTTCCTAGACAAACCTGATCCCCCATATATTATCTTGTCTTTCTTGTCTCGACTTACCTATACTTTCTCTTTCTTGTCTTGTCTTACCTACTTTCTCTCTCTTGTCCTGTCTTACCTACTTTCTCTACACCATTTGTTCCTAGACATACGTACATGACCCCCCTACAGTCCATCTTCTTGTCTTGTCCTGTCTTACCTACTTTCTCTACACCATTTGTTCCAAGACATACGTACATGACCCCCCTACAGTCCATCTTCTTGTCTTGTCCTGTCTTACCTACTTTCTCTACACCATTTGTTCCTAGACATACGTACATGACCCCCCTACAGTCCATCTTCTTGTCTTGTCCTGTCTTACCTACTTTCTCTACACCATTTGTTCCAAGACATACGTACATGACCCCCCTACAGTCCATCTTCTTTTCTTGTCCTGTCTTACCTACTTTCTCTACACCATTTGTTCCTAGACATACGTACATGACCCCCCTACAGTCCATCTTCTTGTCTTGCCCTGTCAACCTACTTTCTCTACACCATTTGTTCCTAGACATACGTACATGACCCCCCTACAGTCCATCATCTTGTCTTGTCCTGTCAACCTACTTTCTCTACACCATTTGTTCCTAGACATACGTACATGACCCCCCTACAGTCGATCTTCTTGTCTTGTCCTGTCTTACCTACTTTCTCTACACCATTTGGTCCTAGACACACTTGACTCCCATTCAGTCGATGATATAACTCTATACAAGAAAAAGGCCAAGAAAAGCCAAAGCTGCGCAAGGTGCCACTACATCCATCTCGGCTCTGTTCACAAAGATCTGGACACAAGGGGTAGACGGTATCATTGATACAGGGTGGGAAAAAAGTTCCACAGAGAAAGGGCAACAAGAGTTTACTGCATTGAACCTTAATTAAGGTATAAAATTTGTTAAAGTCAAAAGATGCTTCCTCTTGTTTAGTGTGTCCCTGGCTGTTTGGGAGTAAGGTTAAGTTGGTCTGTAATACTCCGTGGCACTGGGGACTATAGATCTTCTCACATCTGGAATCTTTGATTTCTAAAAACAGGATATTGTTAATATAAAGTAAATGCTTATGTATGTATCAAATAAACTAGATGCTGTCATACAACAGCATCACATTCCAAAAGATGAAACAGTTGCTGCTTAAATTGTTAAAGGAAGAAAAAAAAAGTGTGACAGACGCATGGACGGACCAGGATAAAACAATGTATCTGAATTTTCTGTAGATGATTATTTTTTGGAAAATATAATTACAACTTTAATAATAACTAATTTTAACAATAATTTAACACCTGGATGTCCATTAGTGTTTTACCTGTTTTTTTCTCAATCAGTTGTATCTGACCAGTGGCAGTCCCGGCATTATTAGTTGCTTTACAGGTGTAAACTCCAAAGTCATAGGACTCCAAAGCACTGATAATTAGAAAATATCTGGCAATATGGGATGAAGAGTTAAAAACTCGAAAACTTGTACGATAGTTTTTTGTCAGTTGTTTCCCATTGAGCCACCATGTTACGTTTCCCAGCGGATATCCTTCCACTGTGCACTGTAGTTCTGCCTGTTTTCCTCGCTCTTCTTCTATATGTTTAGGGGCTGTTATTACAGGCATTACTGTAAAGAACAACATGGAAAGAAAAACACAATAATTCTTTAATAAGATGTATATAGAGATAACGAAAATTATCTAAGTCAATTATACAATACAAATCAGGAGTAGAGGAAACAAGTACCTCTGGCAGTAGGAATTAATATTTTGAGAGAGGGACACTTGTTCATTACAACTGCCAACAAAAAAGATGCTTTTTCTTTGTATAAACAAGAGTCCCACACCCGCACAAACTTCTGTTGGGGTCATGAAAGTCATAATTTTGGAAGAGGCACCCGTGTTCATCATAATCATGCACTTAGATCAACTAAGATCTTGGCTTAATATCTATGAACAGAGGAGGATGTTCTCAAAGAATTAAAGGTACTTGGACACAGATTTTCTCTATAATATTACAACTTATATATTTTAATAGCATTTCACACATAAATTAATTAAAAATCTTATTTCATTTAAAAGTTATTAAAACTTTAAATTTTTTGGCGGGTTTGATTGACACATCCTTGCACTTTCACAAATTTTAACTTTATTCTTAATCCTTAGGAAAAGTGGCAATGCTGATGTGTATTAATGAAAAATATTAATACTATAATCCAGAAAATTCAGAGTAGACAAGTACTAAAGCAAATCAAACACACAATATATTGTCAGTCCGTGCAGATGTGGTGAACACACTTTGGCACCCGATGAATCGTAAACACCAAACAATAACATGTTTACAAAAACCTGTGTACATAACACGAGTGTGATCGATTCGCAAAACTCTGTACACAACGGAATGACGATACTTGTGAAGTAGTTCTGCTTTCTAACATTTCTACTCTGAATAAAATTATTCGTCTTGCTGTTAGTTTCAATATTTTTCATTAATACTCATCAGGATTGCCACTTTTCCTAAGGATTAAGAATAAAGTTAAAATTTGTGAAAGTGCAAAGATGTGTCAATCAAACCCGCCAAAAAATTAAAGTTTTAATAACTTTTAAATGAAAAAAGATTTTTAATTAATTTTTGTGTGAAATGCTATTAAAATATATAATTCGTGATATTATACAGAAAAAATGAGAAAATATTAACTTCAAATCTGTGTCCAAATACCTTTAATGCATTTTTATTATGTATTCAACAGAGCCCAACCCTCTAGAACTCCAGACCCTGTGTCCATAAATTTCACAATTTCGTTAGAAAGTTTAATGATTATTGCAATCATGCCATTAGCTTGACTGCTTGAAGTCCATGAGTAAAGAAGATTTTTAAACATTGCGCTTATTTTTAAATGGTTTTAGTGCTGCTGAAATTGGTTGAGTAACTCATGAGAAAAAAAACTGAAAATGTTCAAATTTTAATGCACGATGGACTACGCACGCCGACGGACGAAAACAGGTAGCAATAGGTCAGTTGAATGACTCAGGTGACCTAAAACCACTAAAGCCTAATGAAAGTTTCAGAAATTAGATTCTAATTTGTTTTTATTTATTGACAAATAATAACTCACTGATAATTACTAGTATTCAAAGGTTTTAGTAAAAGAGGTGAAAATGCAAAATGTTGAAATAAGATTTTAAAGAAAGTAATCATACATTGTACATTGATGCGGAAATATCTCTGTGCTGTGGGCGAGATTCCATTGTCAGCCTGGCACGTGTATGTCCCTTCAGAATCACGTTTCACAGTTAACGAGAAATGAGCTCCTTTTGTTCCGAGATCTACAATATAAGATTAAGAATTGCCCTGAAACTACAACTTTTTAATAACCAGGATACCTCTAACTTTGTTAAGGAAGTGTAAGAGGAGAAACTTAGGAATAAGAGAGACTGTACCTGTATCCTTATATTGAAACGATTACGAAATTGATTTTTATTTTCATAATGATAATGTTACATTTCAAATTGCTTTACTATAAATCAATGCAATTATAATTTTCACCTTCAAGGATCCGTGCCCCGCTGTCCAGTATCTCTTTGTACCATTTCACTGTTGGGGTCGGAATGCCGGTTACTTGGCAACGAAGCATGACCTTGTCCCCAAGAAACGCTTCTATTGTCTTGTTTTGGTCCAAAATTCGAGGTGGCGCTGCAAATTGTTTAAAGATCAGAAAATTTACATTCTTCAGGTATTTTGCAAATAAAGTATGTGGTAACCTACGACATCATGACCGGGGGTTCAAAAGATTAATTATGACTTATTTTGACAACACAAACGTTGAATGCCGTGCAAGTACAGCATCATAAGCGAAAATCAATTCCACGCCCATATATTGAATAGTATTAGTAGCTGTTGCAATGACTCTTTCATAACTATAATTTATTCCAAAGACAATATAGGGTTTTTAAAATAAACAATTTAGAGGCCCAAGGACCTTAACGGTGACCTGAGTACAACAATTTAGAGGATCCATTAACTGATGTAAAATGAAGCTTTGTTGCCCAAAAGCAAGAAAAATAGTATGATAAGGATCAACAAAATAATTGGTGTGGTTTTTATCCCCCCCCCCATTTATCACTATCACCATGAAACAATTCACAATGAAATGTTTTTATACACATAAATATATATCAAATATTAATATGTACTAGTATATAATCAAAGTAGAAAATTAATATCTATTTAATATGTACTAGTATAAAAATAAAGTAGAAAAAAATCAATATTAATGTTTATAGATGTATACCTTTTACCGACAGATACACAATTTGGACTGGCGTGGCCCCCTTCATACACCGGTACTCGGCCTGATCGGAGGATTTCAGATTTAATATGGTCAGACTCTTATCGTCGCTGTATTCCTGCCTTAACCGATATCTGTTTCTGTCGCTGGAGAAGATTCGATCTCCCACGGATATCGTCTCCTGATACGACCGTTGCCAAATAACCTGAAAATAAGGTAACTAGTTTCTGAACCGCATGCTCATACATCGCTAAATTTCTTTTACGGAAAATACATGTGTTCTACACTGCCACAAATTCCTAATATGAATTAAAAAATTTGCTGATTGTTTATACGTATATGAAAAATTCCTACATTTAAAGGTTTTTACTGAAAGATTTTTGCATCCCATGAATCCTTTATTTACGAAAAACAATGTCATTTAGCAATTAGTAAACACTGCTAAGCATATAATCTTTACAGATCTCTTGAGCAGTTCCTCTTCCATCAATGAAACGTACAATGACGTAGATATCAATAATACAAAAGTGAATCTAATTTTAAAATTATTTGTACAGATAAAAAATATAATCAATAATGTCTTTGTCTGTTACACTAAGTATGGAAATTAAAGTTGCAGCAGTTGCAGACCTAATATTTTTCTCTACAGCTTCAACATTAAATTCTATACTCTCAACCCTGAAAATGCATTTAATAAACTGCAAACTCACTTGATCATAGAGTCCGACATTTTTAACCGTACACGGCAAGGTGATCTGGCCGCCCGCGGTTCCTGTTATGTTGACGAGCCCCTGTTGTTGCGCTGCTAAGAACACAAAACACTTTATGAATCTTACATCTTCAAGAAAAAAGAAATTAGTAGCCAGTAGAAGACCATAGAGTTTTGCCATTAATCCATCCCTATTGATAAGTAATGATCTTTCTGTCGTCCTAGTCTGGTTCTCTCCTTCCCAAACCACATCTCTCTGGGGAATGGAGACAGGTTTATATAATAAATTATTATAAATCTTTTGTTTTTCTTTTATGATGACTCTATCGTGCCCAGAGAGGTCTTTAACATCCTTAAATCTTTTCTGCATGGCAATACATGTACTTGCATTTTTATTCCTCGGAAAACAGACCTGAATTTAATTAATTTACAATGCAAAATTTTAATATAATACATAACAAGAGGCCCCCATCGCTCACCTGAGCACTGTGGCTAGGAAAAAGTAGAAATTGGTTTATTATTGAATAGTTTAAATCCAAAAGTATCCCCATGACCAATCATGGCTTTGCTAATCTTGATAAGAATTTTTTAAAGAATTTTCCTATATATGTCTATGTAAAACTTTGATTGGTCATTTTGGACCCGCCCTACCCCTGGGGGTCATGATTTGAACAAACTTGAATCTTCACTACCTGAGGATGCTTCCATATAAATATAATAAATTATGGCATTGTCATTCTTGAGAAGAAGATTTTTAAAGAATTTTCCTATATATTTCTATGTAAAACTTTGGTCGGCCATTGTGGCCCCGCCCTACCCCCGGTGGTCATGATTTGAACAAACTTGAATCTACACTACCTTAGGATGCTTCCATAAGAATATGATCAATTATGGCTTTGTCATTCTTGAGAAGAAGATTTTAAAAGAATTTCCTATATATTTCTGTGTAAAACTTTGGTCGGCCATTGTGGCCCCGTCCTACCCCGGGGGTCATGATTTGAACAAACTTGACATTACCTGAGGATGTTTCCCCATAGGTTTCATCTTTCCTGGTACAGTGGTTATTGAGAAGAAGATTTTTAAAACATACCACCAAATTTTCATTAATTTCCATTTATTTCCGTTGAATCAGGGCATGGCCCTTCGTTTAAACAAACTTGAATCCCCTTCACCCAAGGATGCTTTGTGGCAAGTTTGGTTGAAATTGGAAAATGTGAAAAGTTTACAACAACGACGACAACGACGACAGACAACGCTGAACGGACAAATTGTGATTAGAAAAGCTCACTTGAGCCTTTGGCACAGGTGAGCTAACAAAGGAGGGTTTTATCACCTATCTCAGTTTTGGGAGGATTTTTCATCATTTATAGTAATAACACCAAATTTTCTATTAAAAAAAAATGTGGGAATGCAATATGTTCTCACAAAGGACTATTCTTTAAACTAAACACGTATGGTATAAAGAATAATATGTATTGTTGGTTTTAAAAGTTAGAGAATAAAACAAATGTTGGTTGTTTTTGCCCGCTTTAACAAAAACAAGCTCAGTTGTCTGGCAGGAGAACCAAGGTATATAAAGATTGATACACAAAAATCTGGTATCCTCGTCGGAATCCCTTTATGTGTTCCATAAGTCTCTGTATTAGGTCCATTGTTATTTTCAATTCGTGTAAACGATGCAGCTGACAAGATGTCAAGCTTTTGTAGATTACTTGCTGATGATAACAGTTTACAGTATGCATCTAGATGCGTCAAATCTATTGAAAGTCAACAGAATAATGATCTTTTATCTCTTGAAGAGTGGTCTAAGAAATGGTTACTAAAATTTAATCCCTCAAAAACTATACCGTTGTATTTTTTAACGCAAGAAAAAACAAAGAACTTCCAAAACTGCTTTTCAAAGATAGCCATTTAGAATATATTCAAACTCAACATCTTATGGTAACATTTTCACATAACTTAAGTTGGTCATCTTACATTGAAATCTTACTATCTAATGCATACTAAAATTGGGTCTATTAAAAAATTTAAATTCAAAATATATCGAAAATCCCGTTCATTCATATATACATTGTACTACCAATTTCAACCAGTTTTGGCATAAAAGTTTATGGATGAAGGGGAACAAAAATTGTGAATTTCATGGTCCCTGTCCCCGCTCCCCTGGGGCCTAAGAGGTGGGACCAAAACCATTAAAATAAATGCAATCTTTAAAAATCTTCTTTACTCCTTGACGTCAAGCAGTCAAACTGTTGACATGATTGTAATCAGCATTGAGTCCTCTACCAAAATTGTGAAATTCATGGCCCCAGGGTCAGGGGTTCAAATGCTAGGGCGGGGCTATATAGATTATATAGTGAAAATACATTTTTAATTCATCAAAAATCTTCTTCTCTGCCCCTGGGCATTAAATAAACTATCCAATGCATAGTTATGTTGAATAAGGCTGCCTCTTCCAACATTGTGAATTCATGGCCCTAGGGTCAGGGGTTCTGATGTTAGAGCGGGGCTCTATTTATATACTAGTGTATTGAAAATGCATAAATTCTTTAAAAGTCTTCCCCTCTGCTCCTGGGTATTAAACCAGTGAACTATGTATATAGTTATAATGAGCAAGAATGTCTTTTCCAAAATTGTGAATTTCATGGCCCAGAGTTGTGGGTTCTGGTGTTAGGGCGGGGCTCTATTGATTACATGTATATAGTGAAAATATATTTCTTTGAATATCTTCTTCTCTGCTCCTGGGTATAAAACAAACTAACTAGGTACACATAATGCACAAGAATGTCTCTTCCAGAATTGTGTATTTCAGGGCCCCTGGGTCGGGAGTTCTGGTGTTACGGCGGGATTTTTTGATTATATGGTGAAAATACATTAATTCTTTAAAAATCTTCTTCTCTGCTCCTGGGTATTAAACAACCTAAATAGGTACATAATTATAATGAGCAAGAATGCCTTTTTCAAAAATTGTGAATTTAATGAACCCTGGGTCAGAGGTTCTAGTGCTAGGGAGGTACTATATTGATTATATAGAGAAAATACAATAATTCTTTAAAAATCCTCTCCTCCGCTCCTGGGTATTAAACAAACTAACCAAGTGTATAGTTATGTTGAATAATGCTGCCTCTTCCAAAATTGTGAATTTCATGGACCCAGGGTCAGGGGTTCTGGTGTTAGGGTGGGGATCTATTGATTATATAGTGAAGATGCATAAATTCTTTAAATATTTTCTCCTCTGCTCCTGTGTATTATACCAATGAACTATGTACATAGTTATGATGAGGAAGGATGCCTCTTGAATATTTGTGAATTTCATGAACTTGGGTCAGGGGTTCTGGTGTTAGGGTGGGGCTCTATTGATTATATGGTGAAAATGCATGAATTCTTTGAAAATCTTTTCTATTTGGTCCTGGATATTATGCCAATGATCTAAGTACATGTACATGTTTATTATGAAGAAAGGAGCCTCTTGAAGCTCTTCCAAAATGCTTAATTTCAGGGTCCTCGGGTCAGGGTACGAGGGGTTTGCGTAGTCTTAAAATGAATTAATGCTTTGAAATCTTTTTTTTTGGTATTAATCAACCATTGATGATTAAATAAAATTCGTGATTGAAATTTTTAAAATTTTGAAATATGTGGCCTCAGGGTCAGTGGTTCCTGTGGTTTGGGGTGCACAATTAGTTATAAAGTGGAAATGTATTTTCTCTTTGTTACTCTGTTCTACCTCTGGGTATTAAGTAACCAGAGAAAGCATGCTAAGTGTATAGTTATGATAAGCAATGGTGCCTCTTTCAAAATTGTGAATTTCATGGCCTCTGGTCTAAAAAATACGAACCAAATTAAATTACTGGAAAGTTGTTACTCAGGTGACCTATATAGGTGGGCCTATTGTTAAGTGTACACTAATTTGAAAATAGTTCCAATAAATGCTGAGATCGAGCGATCTTGCGTGATTTACAATCTTCACTTATCAGATAAAACAAAAAGGAAATTGAGAATTTCTCCAGGACATTTAAGAAGATTTAGTGCCGCGTTTGAAGGAAAATGTAGCAGAGGTCTTGCTGTTCAAAAGTCTTTCAAGTTGGATTATGAGGTATTTTTTTCTTCAAACAAATTCCTTTGGATAAGCATTTATGTATTTAAACCACACATTTTTTGAAAATATAAAGATCAATCACAGAAATGCAATAATTGTATAGAGGCTTAGTCTATACCAGACAATATACCTTTAACAGAGTTTGACATTCTTGCAAGAGTATATTTAATTATCTATCGTTTTGAACATTTTTATTAATGAAACCAATTGCTTAAAATAGATTTTCGAAAAAAAGAACTTCGTAAGATTATCTGTCCCATTTGCATCAATACGAATATGCCTCTAACATGGCAATCCTTCAAGGATTCCGCTATATCTTTACCAACACAAAACACCTGCTGCTAAGTTTTATTGTAGAGCGTGTTCTTAGATGAAAGACGCAAAACTCACTTGATTTTGTGAACTTTTTCACCTCCAAAAACCATCCAAGAAACGATTTTTTTTTTATTGTTCAACGATGTATTAAGCGATAGGGAGAACTTGTTTCAAAGATAGATTGTTGTCATAGAAATATATTTATTTGGGAAATAGCTGTCTGCAATATTAAAGTGATTTATTTTTCCGTGTTTTTTTTTTTACTTTACATTTATAACACTCTTTAAAGCATGTGAAAGAACGTATTCTAGTCATGCTAGTGGTTGCCACATCAAATTGCATCTGACACAAATACTGACATAAATATTATATACGGAACACCAAGTGTGGAGAGAAATTACATATGATGGGGTTAGATTATCTTTTCACACCTAAGCGCTGGTTAAATAGTCAAACCATCTGTCAGGGGTAGATCTGTGTAAGTGTGCCAAAACAAGAAGACAAAGCCAAAACAAACCGTAAAATCTTAATTCAAAACACACAGAGTCTGCTATGTCTGTAAAGTTAATATAAACAGATCAACGGACTTCATACCAGATCACCATCTCAGCGTGTTGGTATCAGGGATGGGTTGACATTACTGAATTATAAGTTCTGAGTTCTTTATCCCTTGTCGAAACGTTATACAAAAGAATACATGTAGGTGCGTTCTTCAAAAATTTATCCCTATCAATAATTGGATTTTTTCTAAGTCAAAGGGGCATAACTCTGTCAAAAATGGCTCGATCGTATGTGTTACCAAAACAGAACTTGAACTAGATATTCTTATTTCAAATCTGTATAGTATACCAAATTTCATTTCAGTTTGTGCAACCGCTGCGAAGAAAATGAAAGAAACTGCGAATAATTGGAATTTTTCTAAATCCAAGGGACATAACTCTGTCAAAAATGGCTTGATTGTACCCAAAAAAGAACTTGGCCTAGATATTCTTACGATGGATCTGTATACTAATTTTTATTTCAGTATGTGCAACCACTGCGAAGAAAATGAACAGAAGCTGCAAATACTCCCCAGTAATTGGAAATTTTCTAAGTCCAAAGGGCTTAACTCTGTCAAAAATGGCTCGATCGTAACCAAAAAGAAAGAATAACATTGTCCATGTTTTGCAGTTGGAAACCCAAGATATGTGTCAGATCAAAAAGTAAAATTGGAGGTGCATAATGGCTAGATATGTAATAAAGATACTTTGGAAGCCTCATTAAATTCCATTCAGTGGTGCATGTACATGTATTAAAGGAGTTGCGGATATGAGAAAGGTGTCCCCAAAGCGTAACAGACGATGATACTGTTAGATTTTAGTTTCGCTATAAAGTTTAAAAGGATAATGGAACATAAAATTAATCATGTAACACAATGATTATTTATGATATCAAGGAAATCTCGAGCATCTTCCAACGACAGTAATGACATCAATCTATATACGTGATTTGTAATAAAGATATAATAAGCAGACATATGAAGTCCAAATCAAATTATTTTCCCTGTAATATAAGTATTATTCTAAAATTATTGATTGTTCATAAAGACATCGTTTCAATCAAAGTTAGTGTGCAATGTATATATATAGAACAAATCTTATTTGACATAGACGTAAAAATATATGAACATATCGAATTAGTGAACAGCATTTTGTTGCAGTGTACTTCTGACGGAAGGATCGTACAAATGCCACATACGTTAAAGCCCATTGATTTTCCTGTCGGTAATTAACTGTATTAATCTACTGCCCATTAATACGAGAGGATAAATACTGTATCGGTTCTCTTATGTTGCATTGCTAATTATACACACTATCAAAGAAAAAGAAGTTTATTAACATACAAATCTGGGAATAATAGAGCGATGACTAATAGAAAACCCATTCTGAAAACGCCCTCTGCTGCGGAAAAGAAAGATGTATGTTGTTCGCTGTTGATTTTTCTTATTTGATAAAATGGATCATAAAAAAAGTTTTGAATGCTTATAATTCTTGTAACCTTGGAGACCAAATTATTTGTAACACTTTGCAAATTTTAAAAACGGGATATACTAACTTTAAGACTGGGCTTCTGTTTTAAATGAAAACTAATAATTACAGACTGTAGTTCGTTTTAGAGGAACTGGGTGTTGAAAAATGTCGGTTAGGAATTTTTTAAGATTGTCGGAATAAAGAGAAAATTGGACGCCTTGGTTATTCTATCAGATAAATATTGTACATTTATTGTTTTCCTTTAGTTTTATGTCCAAGTGGCATCTTATCAGTGAAGAATTCAGTTAATTTGTAAACTGTAACCCTCGGAATGTTTTGTTTCAGGAGGACGGGCGTAACTTTAAAAGTATCAACATTTTTAGTGCATTTTGTGAAAGTCTGTCCATTTTCTTGTAACTAATTATTTTGGGTTTTTTTTTTTTTACTTCTAAGCGAGCAATGCGGGGAACAAATTGTATTCAAGAAATCGCGTCTAGAATTGTTATATTATATTAAATCACAAATATTTCGTACAGTCGGCTATTTAATCCGCCAGGAATTCCTCTTTTTGATACAATCTACACTTGAAGAGAAACCCATGCACCGTCTTCTGAAATTCCGATATTATAAGACCCCATACAGAGATTTTAAAGCAAAGTGTGATGAATTCGTCTGTGTTATGCTTTTTTCTGTTTGAGGTCAATAGAGTTTGTGGGAATCATAAAAGAGGAACCACATTTACGCCCGTCGATACTCCGAAACATAAAAGTGCGAATTCTTGATCAGAAGCACGTGTAGATGCGCCATAGTAAGGGAAGCCTGTTATATCATACGAGAGGTAATCAGGTGTTATAATGGGATTATTGTCTCAATATCAGGGGCAAGATTATCTCTATCTCTTGTTGTCTATCGATTAACAGATGTAGGCCAATACCCAAATCTATGTCTAAATGTAATTTGAGCATCGACTCACATCCATAATTTGGTCATCATTTTAAAATTCAGGAAGTACGCTGAAGCCCAGTTAAAACATATAAAGCTCTTATCTGGCTTGTCTTAAGCACCCAATAGAAAGCTTTCTTCTTTAACCCCCAGCCGTATGAGGAAGCCACATCCAATTACTTTTAACGTCCGTAAAGCAGAGCAAAATCCCTTTAGAATTTAGAATTTTGCAAACTTTTATTATTATCTTTTTTTTATGAAACAGTAGACCAGTTTGGTTTATTTTTGTGTTGTTACATTACGTTATTGAAAAATATGTTTGAGTTATATGAAATCCAATTATAATGTTTAAATATAAATTACAGATAAATAAGAAGTAAAGTATAAACTTCTAACCAATAAATTCAACTATACTCACCAGCAGCAAGCAAAAGTCCAGCAAAATTAACAGCTGTTAAAACACAAAACATTGTTGAAACTTTCGCTTCCCTAAAAGTTAAGATCTCTTTGAGCAGTTAATTTACAGTTCAAAACACAAGCAGGTCGCTTCCGTTAAAAGTATGAGAAATTAAAAAAAAAGATGAAGTGAACAGAACGTTCCGGATGTTCGAATGGGGATAATCCAAACACAGCAAGATATTTACATGTTCCGTGGAGGAACACAGCTATTACCTAACATCGGCGGCTGATGCTTTGAGACCGGTGATAAAAGGAAGCCTTTCGAACTAATTTGCCAAAATATCGCCAATCCTAACAACGATACAGGCCAGAACGCTTAAGGACGATGTCAGCGTTAAGAGCTGTTTTCCTAAGCATTAGTCAAAAGTTTATCAATTACACTCAAAAAACATTTCAGTCTACATGCACTGGATTCTTAAATTCCGCGCCATTGATTAATGAACGGAGAAAATCGTGTCTATATTTTGATAATGCTAGTAGAAAGAGCAATCCTAGATTTATCAAACGAACAGAGCGCAAGTTGAAGGGATGCTATAATAAATGTTTGGTTGGTTTTTGCAATAGGTATTGCTTGTGTTTACTTGGAGGTAGATGAGAGAGTGAGTGTTTTTAATTCATACAAGTTCTGTGTAAATTTGTATGTTTTTGATGTTTTTATTTGGGTTTGTATTGCCATGTACTGGGAATATAGACAAAATAAATTGAATTAAAAAAAATTAATTTTAAAAAGAATTAAAAGTAGCTAGGTATTTATCTGTTAACTACAATAATTACATGTAGTGTGGCTTCATTTTCATCGGTATTTCATCACAGCCAGGAGAGTGTTGTCTTAGATACGGAATCGACAAGTACTAGTATATCAGTATATTTCTTTATCTCTATGCGTATATCATGCACCTGCAATGATTATAAAAATGAAAGAAAAACACGACCTGTGTATAAATTTGATTAACATGGCCATAAGAAACGGGAAGTGGAGGGAGGTAGTTCTGCAGATATATGGAACAAATTAAATAGAAAACATGTAGCTACTATACACTTGTGTCCCCTCAATGATAACGTCTCAGTGATGATCCTTTTTGTATTTTGATTTTTGTTTTGTTGTTTTATATTTTTGGTTTTGCTTGTCAAGGAATTTTGTGCTGTTGTGTTTATAGCTGTGAAACATCCCTCACGTGAAACTGCTTCCTACGGGCCTGTAAAGTACAAAGAGAGATCCTTTTTCAAAAATCCCATTTACTGTGAGTAGAAATTAAGTGCATGAATTTTTGAATTTTTTCAGACCTATTGTTAAAAAAATCTACTTAGTGGGGAATGCTTCGTGAACAATAGTTTATAAATATTTATTAAAATGGATATCAGGACCACCAGTATGAAAGATATGTATATTACTTAAAACGACTAGCGATATTAGTACATGTAAGAGTTATTCCTCTTTTTGCAGTTTTTAATTAAATATTAATTTCTCCTTCATGTAAATAAGAAATAGCCTAGTTGATGCATTAGGAAATAAAAAAAATGTTAGACAGGCTTGGGTTTCAGAATGAATCTATGGTTTTATTTAGTTGAACACATATGTCGATTATGAAATATTACATAATGTGTGTAGGTAGATTGAAAATTGAGGAATAAAACCATGCTCCAAACACCCAAGCAGTTTTTATTTAAATAATAAAATGCTTGATTTGGTTGTTAGTATGGGAATTAATGTCGCAGATATTGCAGAAAAAATGCATAACCCGCGTTCAACAAAAGTTTTTCAAACACACATATGTATAGGAAAGAATTACCGTAAAATTCAAGTATTCCATTTCTTGGTATAGATTTTCCTTTTTATCTCAACTAGAGCAGAAGACGCAGCTTTTGGCATAAAATGCAAAACTAAAAAAGAAAATTTACATGCATTGAAATATTAAATTGAAACTTATCTCTTCAATTATTTGATGCCTAGGTTAAAAGTTAGAACGAGTAAAGGTATGGTCGTAATCGGGAGGGGGAGGAAAAGATGATAAAGGTCAGGTGGATTACTAGTATTTTGAATTTATTAACTTACTTTGAAACTTGTCAAACAGAGGGGACAATATCAATTTTGAGAGCTCAACTTCCCCTCTTGAAATCTGGAAATTAACTTATCTCTGCTATGGCGTGTCTACAGTTGTGTGATTGGAATAATTTGGAATCTACACTATATACGCAAGGATGCTTCCACATAAGTTTCAGCGTTCTGACTCGGTGGTTCTTGAGAATATTTTTTTCTATATAATTCAATGTGAAAATGACAGTGAACCGCGCGGGGGGGGGGGGGGTACGGGGTCATAATTTGAACAATTTAGAATCTATACTTCTCTAGGATGTTCCCACATACGTTTCAGCTTTTATGGTCCCGTGGTTCATGTGAAAATTTTTAAAGTTTTTTGCTATACATTTAAGGGGTCCGACTTTGGTTTTCATTGCTCAATATTTCGCGCATCATAGTAAAATTAAGCGTACTTACTGTTTTAAAGCAACTTTTTTCACTTGATTAATAAAGTTAAACAAACATAAGAAATGACAGGTTTAAAAATGTAATTACAATTTTATATAACTGATTTTTAACCAATTTTGCAATTGATACTAGTAGTTAGGTTGACGTCGTTATACTTGTGTTTTTGACGTTTTGATAAACTGAGCTCTTAAGAAATGGGTAATAAAAATATGTTATTAAAGAAAAAGTAATAAACATACGCTCTTGAAATTTAAAACATAGAAATTTAAGAATATCTCAAATATTTTTTTACGTTTTCATATCAATCTCTTGTGCTCGTTATAATTTGTAGTACTCTATAAAAACAGAAATATTCGTTAATTTTTTGCATTTTGAGATGCCCCCTCTGGTAACAAGACGGTAGAATTTTGTGTTTCTTACATATAATATACAATATAGTATTACTCATCATCTATTATAGTTTTAACAAAAAGTCGATTGTAGTATTTGTATAATATGCTTTAAAGTGCTAAAAAATGACACTTTCCTGTATAATCCTATAGTAAAGGTACCTGTGTTTTGCGACGGTCCCTTAAGAATACCTGGACGGTAGATTTTCCCCAAACTTGGCATGTACACTGAAGCTAATGTAAGTTATAAATGGTATAAAAATGAAAAGTTTCACTATTGTAGTTTTCACACAATAAAACCCAGTCGTCCCACTATTCTCCACTGAGGCCCTACCCCTGGAGGCCAGGATTGGAACAACTTAGAATTAACACTAACCTGGGATGCTTTAATGTAAGTTTCAGCTTTTCTAACTCAGTGGTCCGTAACAAAAAATCTTGTTGAACTCACCATATTTTTGTCTTTTCTTGATCTCCCCTTGCAAGGGGGCTTTCATTTGAAAAATTATAACTCCCCTTTACCCAAAGATTCTTTATACAAGTTTTGGTTAAAATTTGCCCCATGTAATGCGAAAGGTTTACAGACGAATGTACGACGGACAGTGGGTGATCAGAAAAGCTCACTTTCAGAGCTTCGAGCTCAGGTGAGCCAATAAAAGCATGAATAAAACAAACTAATGATAATCTTGGGCCAAGAATTACGTAGCACTAAAGTCTAAGTATTACAGTGTAAGTTTAATGCCCTGTTCACACGACGAGTTTAATTCGCAGTAAATTAATGCGAAGTAAACTAATGCGAATCAAATTAATGCGAATTAAATTGCGTTCACACGACAGCTAATGCGAAGTAAACTAATGCGAATTAAATTTTTTCTTCTACAGTCAGGCGTCAGTAAGTCAATTATGACGTCATTTGTAAAACACGTCATGTTTGCAGAGCCATCCTTTGATACATCATGTAGTGGCTACAGGTATTCATTGATTTAGTGATTAACATACTTTCCCTCAATTTTTGAACCAAATATAGCACAAATACCTATATATAACCACCAACACGTGTCCTGTGACTTAATTCTGGCCTTACGCATGCGTCAAAATTTAATTCGAATTAGCTTCGCTTAGCGTTCACACGGAGCTAATGCGAAGTAATTTAATGCGCAGTAAATTAATTCGAATTAAACTAATTCGCATTAAATTCTCCGTGTGAACGCTAAGCGAAGCTAATTCGCAGTAACTTTACGTTTAATTCGAATTAAACTCTCCGTGTGAACAGGGCATAAGAAACCTTTGAGAAATTTACTTGAGGAGGGATTCTTATATGTCTTGTAATAGTATTTAACAAGAGGCCCCGGGGCCACATCGCTCGCCTGAGCAACTGGCTTGGTAAAAGCAAGTCAGTTCAGTATTGAAAAGTTTAAATATAACAGTGGGTTCAGGGGGGGGGGGGTATTTGAGTCTTAAATCTTTACTAAGTCAGCTCCACCCCTGGCTAGCAGTTTGCTGAGAAAGAGTAAGCAAAAATATAAAAGTCTTCTCTGCCAGGTATAGTCTCTCTGCAGTTAGACCTATGTGGCCCAGATATGGGATCCTCCGCAAAGTAGCAGGTGGACATTGGGTACCTTACGGCCCCAAGCAGAACCACAGGGTCTTGGAAGAAAATAGGCCCCTAAATACACGGTATGCATTGCCCAACGGCGTTTGGATATGCCCTGATACCTGCAAACCTACTTTCCAGCTATGGGTTAAATAGTACCACTGCCTTGTGGATGGCTTGGGAAAATCAAAGCTACGGAAGAAAATCCAGACAGAAAATCTAAGTGAGGAAACTCGAATAAAAACCTGGAGAGAATGGCTTCATGAGCTGTGGCAGGCAACCTTTCTAGAGGAAGGTATCTGGATTACAATCTCTGGTCCACCAGGTTGAAGGTTGAGCAAGGGGGTACTCCCCACTTCTCGTGAAAACTGCCTAATTACGGATACGAGGATTAGGAATATTTCATCCTTTCCCGAAGCATCTGAATAGCAACCTGCGTACATGAATGCAACCAGTGAAAGCAAACAGGAAACTGGTGGCATGAAGAGTATACTGAGTATTGAGCACGAGAACCAAACTTAAGATCAGATTTTGGAATGTCCGTACCATGTACGAGGCAGGAAAGCAGGCTCAAGTAGTCAGAGAGATGAAGAACAACAAACTACACATACTAGGAGTAATTGAATGCACATGGGCAGGGTTTTGAAAAAGCATGACAAACTATGGTGAAGCAATTATTTACTGTGGAAGGAAAGATGGCAGACATCACGAGAGAATAGCAATTATTCTGAGTAAACAATAGCAAAGTCCCTGGTAGAGTACCATCCTGTAAGTGAGACATCACGAGGGAGTAGCAATTATTCTGAGTAAAGCAGAAGCAAAGTCCCTGGTAGAGTACCATCCTGTAATTGAGGGAATGATAAGAGCAAGACTCGACACATAGACTATTAAAATATCTATCATACAAGTCTACGCTCCAACAAATGAGGCAGAAGATGAAGCTATGATGCACTGCAAGATGAACCCGAAACATGGTTTAATCATTATCATGGGAGATTTTAATGCAAAAGTAGGCCAAAACAACACCCGATATGAAAGAGCCATGGG